ACTCATTTGCAATGAAAATACTACTCATTTATAAATTACAATTCTTAAAATTTATTAATAACTTTATATTACTTTTACCTCCTTACTCTTATCATAATATGTGGGTAAACATTGTATTTGGAGTTACAATTCCTTCCATTAAAGCACTCGAAACGTGAGCGATAAGATTTGAGACGTACGTAAAGTAACAAAAAAATCTTATCGAATTCAAATCTGACTGATATATTGTGGAGTCGCGTTTTCGAAAACATAATTGTAATTCCATCAAAACGCGAACGCAGTACGGCTGATAAACGGATAAAAGGAATTTTAATTCGATTTCGAACGAGTATTGGATGTCAAATAAGATACATAATTATTATTCCAAAACGGGTTACCCTGTATTATAAGGATATACCGGGTGGACTAAATTTAATTAATTTCAATGTTGTTAAATCGCGCTTAAATTGAGTCGACAAATTTATGTAGTATGAACCGATTTGAACCAGTTTCACAGAGATTAATAAATTGGTAACTGCATTTATACACTTATACATGCATACATTATGTACATATGTATGTACATTGATAAACTTACACACCTACTCACTATTGTAATTAAAATAAAATTAATCGTATTTGGCTCTTTAACAAACTTATACGCGTATACCGTAAATATCCTTATTTGATAACGAGGGGTTTGGTAACAAAGTGGGTAATAATGATGGGAGTTAAATTACATTATGATTATGAGGCAAAACCGAGCGTGTCAATAAGAACAGTTTGACATAAAAAGAAAAAGCATAATAATTACAGGTTAGAATTGAATGTTGAAGTGCAACAAAAAATCACGTTTTATATAACAAATGCTTAATTGTAATTAAATAATATATTAAATTTCATTGCAACGAAACCTATTATACGTTGCTCACCAGTGGTGGCATCGAATAAAAATGTTTTAATTTTAAATAAAGCAGATAACTATTTTTAGAGCTTGTTGGCAGATTATCATCTGAATTTTCAAAATACTCCCAAGAATTATAAATTGTGAATTACTATTTTAACGATATTGCATTCGTTACGGTCGACAGCCTATTTTATTTCTATGCCCAATTCTATTTCTTTATGTTTCTGTACGTGACATCATCAAACGTACGAAACAAATCTAGCATTTTAATAACAATTAGGAATGCAGCGATTGTAAATTATTCGCCGAATTTCATTGTAATCACAAGGGATTTCCAACGTTTTTTAGAAACGCCAATCCAAAACCAGTTGTTGATGAATATGTATGATGGAGATTGTAGAAGTAAAATCCACCTCTTGTGCATATGCTATTATTGATTTTATCCTCACCTTCAGTGGGTTTGTTATATTTAGAACAAAATATAACTAATTCCCAGACTAGCTTAATAACTACTCTGTCATTAGAAGTTGGGTACCTGATGAATTTTTTTAGATAGATAAGAAAATTGTTATGCACTGCACGTGCCTAAAATGCACAGTATCTAAAACGTTGCTGGGAGTACATATTTATATTTTATTAGAAAACTCATACTATTATTGAAAATGAAATAATTGCGGTTTCATGCATGCAACTAGCATCTTTAAAAAATTATTTAATACGTTAAACGAAGCACATTTGTGAGTAATAAATCTGTGAATTCTTGCCGAAAATTGCGTGTTTCAATTGATGGAGAGGATTTGTTAAAAAAACAGTATATTGTAATAATCTTTCAGTTTTTTTAATAGATTCAAAATTTTTGGCATGATGTTTATTTTCATATTTTTATGGTTTATTTTGAAATTTTGACCCGAGCTAGGATATTTTTAACTACACAGTCTAGCGGTCTCACGTCAAAAAGCTGGTTAACATATCGTGATGCATACGCATTTTAATTAATATATTATAATTTTGAAACGAATATAATAAACATTTATATGCCGAACATAATATATTTTACGAGCACGGTTTAATTTCGGCTGTAAAATACATTTCCAAATTATTATCACATAAATAATACTTGTTAATTAATAATTAACACTTGATAGTACTTGAGGGATGTGCTTCTGAAAAGAATGAGCAAAAACACTTGGATAGTGATTCGAAATATTTTCAAATTTAGGAGTCGAATGAATATTTTTGACATTTAAACCCCTTGTGCGTAGTACCTAATGGTTTTTTGTTACTTGCAAACTACATGACATAAATCATCTCTGTTTGTTTAAAAATGTATTAAGAACTGGAGACAAACGTACAAAATGATGTATTTAAAAATATAACCAAGGCGTTTTGTTTTTAAATATAGATAACTTTAATTAGCACCTAGTTTAAAAATATACCAGTATGTAGAATAATGCAATACATTTAGAACTATTGCTTAATTAAATATTATTAAGAAATCTCCCTGAGAGGTGCATAGAGTTGTCTTTAAGTACGAGGCGTTTAAAGCTTAATTTGATTGAAGTTCACAACTTATTGTTTTGAAAAAATCAAAGCTAATTATTTTGGATTTAATCCACGTTGGCTCTGAACAAAAACTTCTATTGGTACTCATTCATTTTGGCTGTTTTTTATAATTGCTTTCCTTTATCTGGTGCCAAACTCATTTTCCAATACTCTTAATAGTGAAGTGGGTATTAAATCTAAGATTGGTATGTTAATGAGAAGAATAAAACGCGGTAATTTAACCCAATGTTTCTTTAAACTAATTTTTTTTAGACCTCGTATAGTAATATTTGGTGAATAAAAGGGTATCACTAATATCGCCTGACAAAACATTGGCGATTTAAACTAATTGAATAAACACAGTAAGTAGGTATACTTGAAATGTAAATATAAACAAACAATTTATTTGTTATAACGACTATTTAGCCTTAGAGACAACAATAGATTCCATTGTTTTGTTAAAATTTCAGAAGCGTTATTTAGAATTAGAAAATTTACCTAAAAGTTTGTAATAACTAGGTAATAGTCTACCTAATGAAGGCACCGCCAATGTAATAAGATAATGTGACATTGCGAACGGTGCGCATGCGAGACCTACTATAAAACATGTGACTGTCGCTGTATTGGGCTCGAATTTAATGAAAATGTTTAAGGAAACGAAAGTGGACATTCATTAATTAAAACATACCGAACGGGCCAAATAATAACAGAATAAACGATCGAAAACGTCGAAAGGATCCGTCCGAGATAAAATTAGTCCGGCGAAATAATTCAAAGCGAAAATTATTGGTCGCATAGGCGACCAGGCGCAACCCGAAAAGGCGGCCAGTCTAACAATAACTCACATGTTTCGGAAAAAAACTCACCGTTCAATAGTGGAAAATTGTGGCCGGGATGTCCTAAAAACGATTTGAAACCACTTTCGAGCAGTATCGGCGAGCCGCGGTCCTTGTAGCTCATCTCACTATCACTATCACTAAAATTGTAGATTGATCGCGGAATTTTGGCGGTTTCGTTTCGCGAGCGGTGTCGGAACACCCCTCGACCACACCGGATCACAACGAGGAATTATAATAGAAAATAAAAAAACGACCGCCTCGGACGCGGATTCGGGACTAAAGGCTTCGACTAAGGTACGGACGGACCAACGCAATCAATTTGGACTAAAATAGTCTCTCGACATTAGTGCACTCTAGCGTGTTCGGACCGCCGTGCTCTGGGTTACAGTCCAAGGTTGATAACGCGATGATAATATTATTTGAAAATTACACATGATAAATTAGACGTGTTATGCTGTAATGTATTACAACATAACCAAAGACGGGGACGCGATCCGCTCGCGATCGCGATGACACACATCGAGAGCGCAAGCGTTTCACTCCTGCCGCCGCCGTCGATCCTTCCTGCTTGCATGGACGTTCGCTGGCAGGAAGAGCGCCGCTCGCGCCACCCCTAAACATTTTTTCTTTGTTTTTTTATATCTACCGGTGTGATGTTTTTCCCTCTAACCTAATATACATACGGTCGTTTTTCACGCAGGAAATGTGTGTTATTTTGCAGGAATAGTTGCATACAATATTTTTTCTACCACTCGTAAATCAAGCGGGTATTATTAAAAGTCAATGATTTATACCATTTTGCATCGTTTTTTAAAATAAGAAGTCACATAATTTGTATTTTTATCACTATTTGTACAACACTTATTTTTCATTTTTTTTTTAGTAAAAACTTAAAATTTACATACCTAATATGTTTCTTGAGTGAATCCTTGCTGTATAAATCTGAAAGATTTATTATTATTTTAAAGCCCAAAATATTTTATTTATTCACCAAAAACAAATTAATTTACTATAACTAAAAACTCATTTTATAGCATGTAAATATGCTTACCTGTGTACAATTTTACTGCTATCGCTTACAATAGTTTTAGTTAATTAACTATTACAAGGATTAAAATTTTCAACGCTTAATTGCATTTACTTATTTAAATTTCCATAAAATGTTAACAATATTTAAAAATGAACATTTAGTTCAATTGATAATTAATTTGACATTTATGTGCGAACCACAGCCTACTATGTAATAAAATCCGATTAATAAGGTGTAGAAAGAAAGATATACATTTTATTAACGCGTGAGATAAGGAAGAAAATATCCACGCGATTAATGATCACTCAACATTCACAACGATCACTCATGCAAACACTCCTTTAGTATACAGGGCGATTACAAATAACTCCAACATATACAGGATGAAAAATAATTACTTTTGCATAAAATTTTTCATTTAATAACACCTATCGTTAATAATACCTCTGAGCAAATAATCGATTATTTATATTTATACAATTATTTTATATCAAAGATAAAAGTGGTATAATTGAACAGGAAGGCATTTCGCAATAGAAATTCAAATAAACGCTGACGCTAACTAAGCACTTGACATATTGAAACGCACGATGCAACTTTATGCGCTCGTAAAAGTGCATTAATTACAATATTTGTAACATAAGTGCCATTTTCCTACAACGCATGGATTCCGGTTTTTCTGCGTGGGATTCACCAATTAGATATTTTTAGAAAGTTATTACTATAATAAACTTTTATTCAACTCCGTACTATAACAATTCCTCATTTTTCTACCGACTGTAGTTTGTAAAATTTGTAATATAAACCGCGTTTGTCGAGCAATTCCTTGTGAGTTCCCATTTCGGCGACGAAACCACCTTGTAGGACGCAAATTACGTCCGCGTCTTGGATTGTCGTCAATCTGTGGGCGATCGTGATGCACGTACGACCCTTTCGAGCGTTATCTAAAGCCTCTTGAACAATCTGCGAAGCGAAAAGACGCAGTGGCAACGTAAACATTTAATTAAATAAGTTTTATGAGCTCGCCGAAGGTGATATGAAGGTGAGAGAAATGCACAAAACAATGGTAATCGATAATAGTCAGTGTACCTTTTCGCTTTCGTTGTCCAAAGCAGAAGTAGCCTCGTCTAATAGCAGGATCTTTGGGTTCCTCACCAAAGCCCTTGCAATGGCGATCCTTTGCTTTTGTCCACCGGACAATTGGGTACCCCTGCTTCCTATTTTCGTTTCGTAACCCTGAATTTAAAACCCCTTTTTAACCTACTACATAACCAAATTATGCGATTTCTTAGTTATGAAAACTTACCAACAATTCATTAGAAACCTATTTCACCAGTTCTTCATACTGGAATAACATTGCATAGGTACTTACCAGCGGTAATTGAGTTATGAATTTATGAATATTAGCAGCTTTAGCAGCTTCGATGATGGCGTCCATATCGACTGTAGTGTAATTAGCGCCGTAGGCGATATTCTCGGCAATGGTTAGATCGAACAAATTGGGTTCCTGCGAAACGATGCCTATTTGGGACCGCAGGGTTTTCAAGTCCATGTCTTTGGTGTCCTCTCCGTCTATGGTGATGTCCCCGTAGCCTGGATCGTAATAACGTTCCAGTAATTGAATTATAGTCGATTTGCCGCAACCGCTCGATCCCACTAAAGCTACCGTTTTTCCTCTCATTACGGAGAGATCCAAAGCGTTCAGAATCGATGTTGACGGCCTCGTGGGATAGGAGAAGTATATTTGCGATAATTCCACGCTTTCGTCGTCCTACGAATTTCGTATTGACTCGTATGTGAGCGAAGCAATTCCGAATATAAACTCACCCATAAGGTCGTCGTGGGATTTAAAATATTTCTTATAACAGGCACTCGTTCTAACAGAGCTATAATCCTGGATGCCGCCAGCAAACCTTTTTGGAAATTCGGGGATAAAGACATGGCGTTTCCCACTGACCAAGTACCAACGATCATTACCTCGTTCACACTAAATTGAACAGTTAAATCAATCTTTTCGTAGACAAAATAAAGTTAGAAGACTTACGTAAAAACCGTTCCGTAATTTATATCTCCAGCTATAATAAGATTGGCTCCGTACTTTATACCAGCAGCGTAAGAGAACATGAGGAGACTCCTGGCCATTCCGAGTACAATTCCTCGAATGTGCGTTTTTCTTTTAGCTACAGACAAATACGGCAGCAATTCGTTTATGTACTGATCCAGGAAGACTTTCTCGCAACCGAGCGATACTACTGTTCGTATGTTACTGATAGCTTCAACAGCGAGCTATAACAATCATTATATCATCGTTGTAATTGCTGTTGTAGAGAGTTACCTTAGCAGATTTCTCGAGCATTTTTTGATTCTTTTTAGCGTCCTCGTTCATCATTTTCTGCTCGAAGTATATGGAGAAAAATATGGCGGGAGACATGGATAATAACACTAAAGTGATCCTCCATTCGTAGTAGAACGAAAAAGCGCACGTCAATACGAAAGTCGATAAGAAATTTAAAGTTGTACCGATTTGAGTACCAGCCGCCTGAAAGGGATAATTATTAAACATACTTGTGAAGGATTTGTTTCCTTTACAGTGGTGTTTACTCGTTACATCTTGTGATAACAATTCGAGATAAATTTTAACACACCAATTAAATTATTGGATAACCTTGCTAAAATTTATCTCGCACGGTTTGCGTAAACGAAATGGATTTCCTGATGAGCAATTTATCACGCCACGCTTCGCAGCGACAATCTCCCCTAATTGATAGCTAATCGGCGATTAGTGAAAAACGTTACTAAAAATAATGTGTAGCCTGGTCAAGAGTTATCGCCGGCGGGTTTTAATTTTTAATCGAATCGAGACGAAACTCACTCCTTGCACGGCGGCCGCGTCGCCGGCCAATTGAGCGCACAGCGCCCCCACTCCGTTCTCCTTCCTGTCGAACCAGCCCATCTCCTGCCGCAGCATCGCCTTGAAGGCGTCGGCGCGCAGCTTCAACGTCAGCTTCTCGCCAGCTACGACGAAGCTCAGCATCTGGAAGAACCGAACTTGCATCAAATTCTCGAATCCTCGCGACCCTTTAGAGGTCTTACTTGAAGGAACATCGCGATTCCAGTGGAAATCCCCAGTAGCAGGAAGTAAACGCAATACATGTTACTTTCGGATTTGATTTGTGCATCGTTATCGTTAGCTAGAACCTAAAATGTACGCTTGTTGATTTTCGTTTATTGTAATTTGGTTGCATCAACGTACTCCCATGATGTTACCAAAGACAACTCCGTAAACAGGCAACGAAGCTCCTGTTACTAGAGAAGACAAGCAGCCCAAGAATATGTAAAACCATTCGGCTCTGTTGATTTTCATGACTTTTCCCAACACTCCTTTGGTTTTCGGTTGCTCTTCCTTAAAATCGCATGGTAATTAATACGCATTATTCAATTCTAAGTAACTTACGATAATTTCTTCTTCAAATTCTTCTTCGGATTCCTCGCTAACCGATTTAGCCAGACCACTTGTTGTCCGACTTAACCTCCTATGAACTAAAAAATTAATGAAATGAGTACAAATAACGAAGAGTTTGATTTGAGATTGCACACCCTCTTCATCGTTGGTATCCGTTAAACCCTGCGAGGTTACTAAATTGTAGTATTCTCCTTGCTTTTCCATGAGCTCGGAATGAGATCCCACTTCCAGGACCTTCCCGGCGTCCACCACCACGATTCTATTAGCGTTTCTGATAGTGGACAAGCGATGGGCGACGATTATTGTCGTACAAGTACCGCTAATCTATCACAAATTTAGTAAGACTTTAGTATATTGATTAGTATAACTTACTGAATCTAAAGCAGCTTGGACTTCTGCTTCGCTGGTTGTGTCCAAAGCGGAAGTGGCTTCGTCCAACAGCAGGATGTCCGGCCGTTTCACCAGAGCCCTCGCTATGGCTATTCTCTGTTTTTGCCCCCCCGACAGCTGGGAACCGCGTTCTCCCAGCAGCGTTTCGTACCCGTTCGGTAAGGACATGATGAACTTGTGAGCGTTGGCTTTCTTCGCGGCTTCCTCGATTTCCTTCTGCGTCGCCGTTAGTTTCCCGTATCTGATATTCTCGGCTACGGTGGTGCCGAACAGCGCGGGTTCCTGATTGACCACGGCGATTTTTTGCCTGAGCCACGGTAGATTCAAATCTTTTATATTCACATCGTCGATTTTTATCTGGAAAACAATGATTTCAAAGAACGTTTAAATGAGAGCGTAATGACCAACTTTTCCTATCATGGGGTCGTAGAATCGTTGGAGTAATTGTATGCAAGTGGATTTTCCGCATCCCGAGCTACCCACCAAAGCTACAGTCTCGCCGTGATTGATTTGCAAATTGAATCCTTGCAGAACCTGCAATTAACGTATTAGCAATCAATCTAAAACGTTGGATTATTTCCTTTACTTTAACGTCCGGTCTGGATGGGTAATTGAAGATGACCTTGTCGAATTTGATGTGCTTGGAGAACTTCTTCAATTTCCGTCCGGCGTTGGCGCCCTTTTTGATCTTAGGTTCGCTGTCTAAGACAGCGAATATCTTCTGAGCGGCTCCTTTAGCTGCTCCGAACGTCTCCAGCAGAGGCGCCCCTTGTCCGAAATTCCAAGTGGCTATTAAAGCGCAGAAGAACACCTGCGAAGCGCCGAGCTCTCGTTATTTCCTCTACACTTTTCCTGCGGAAAATCGCTTACCGTCACCATGTTGCCGGGAGTGTAGACTTGCTGTTCGATCGGAAGGTGCTTTTCTTCCAGGATTAACGTGACGCCGTACCAAAAGGAGAGAGCGTAGCAAGCGTAAACGAAGAACCACAGACAGCCGTTGCTGAGGGCGCTGAAGAACCCGCGTTTGATGTTATTGTTCTTGGCGAAGACGAGATGTTTGTTGTATCTGGTGGTTTCCTTGTCTTGACCGTCGAACGCTACTACCGTTTTCACGGAGCTGAGTACTTCTTCTGCTATAGCTCCGGCATTGGCGTACGCTTCCATTTCTTGCGCGGAAAATTTCGTTGATATCTGTGTTTTATGTATGATTTTATTGTGTGTTGAAATAGGGTTAAACTAACGTGATTACCCAAGATAATACAGCCATTATTGCGGTGGATAGCGGCATGGATACCATACAAACTAAAGCCAATTTCCAACCTTTTACAATGCCCATAACAACTCCAGCCAAGAAACACGATTCGAAATATATGAAAATTGCGATTTTATCTCCGATTCCATCCTCGATTTTCGATATATTCCTAAAATAAAAAAAACCGTTTACACACAGAAACCAACGTTACACACCCCTTACTGTGTAAACGTTGTCGCGAAATCCCCCGTTCTGTTCAAATCGAACCACTCCATGTCCTGATCGAGCGTCTTCTCCAAAAATTTCTTCCTAATTTTGTAAATCTGCAATTAAAAGTTTACAGGGCGATTCTCTCTAATACATCTAAAATCATACCTGTCGGATGGCGCTGTAATTGAAGAAAACAGTGGCCAAATAGGTAACTATAATGACTACCAGACCGCTAACGCAGGATTTGATGGCGAATAGGAGTACAGCGTACTCAAGATCAGCATTGATTTCGTTCAATTCATCTTCGAATAATTCGGGATCGTACTTGGTGGCGTAGGTGACTATGGCGCCGGTCACGTCGCCGAAGAACTCCATCAAAAAGGGCTGTATGATGCCGCTTATAGCGGCGCAAATCACCCCGCCTAGCATGCAGCATTTGTCCAAAGTTGTGGCAAATTCAAACTGTAAGAGGTTAGGTTAGTAGGGGTTGGGGGATGGAATTTGAACGTACCAATCTGAAGTAGCTCAGGGACGGTTCTTTGGGTTTTTTAGGTTTTTGATCGGCGGCCCTGTAAAAATGTAATTTTATCAGTGTTTATGAATACGAGCAGGTAATTTATTTGTGTACTTGTAGATATAAAAATCGTTTTATTAATCATTGGCGTTTACGACACATTATGAAATATTTCAATTATTTTATTACAGCTGTATGCTAAACATTCTTTGTATGTATAATTTCGTCTGGAGATTTTCAATTTCACCGTTTTAAATAAAAATGTTTACAAAAATTTATCGAATAATATTGAATTAATAAATATTAAATATTATTAATTAATTTAATTAAAAATGACAGTTAGTGTAAACATTAGAAGCAAACAATTCTAAACCAAATTCTACAAAAAATTAAATCCATATAACACAGTTTTAAAACATTCTTAGTCTGCCCAAATATTTATTTTTTAGTACCTATAAAATTAACTTACTCTCTGATTTTTTCTTTGGATTTCAATTCACCATTCTTTTCCACACCGTTTTTCTCACACGCCATAGTCTTATTGACTTATTGAAACTTATCGAAACGTTACTAATAATCATATCATTTGCGATCGATTCGATCGCGAAGCGTCGAAGAGCCTTCTGGTTGACAGAGAAATGCGTAACTCGCCAATTTAGAATAAAATATAAATTCGAAAGCAATTCGATCAATTAAAAATTGTTATTGTAATCGCACAAGATTTAATTCTCGCTTCAATGTCGAATTAATTCCGATTGAGGCGAGTTGCTATACTCAAAATTACAACGTTTCGGACGTTTAATTGATTATAATTTAAAAAAGCTACTATCATGAAGGCGAAATTTAAATAAACGTAGAAATAAATCAGGCAATCAAAAATCAATTTTCTATATGCATTGTTTTTTCTGTAATTAGCGACCTTACATGCTCGTGTTTTTCCCGGATTGTAAGGATTGCACTATCACACTTTCACTGGACCTTTTTTTCCAAACGACGTCTCCCAAAAATTTCTGAGACTGCTGGCGCCGCGGCGCCAACTATTCTCCTCTTTCGAGCGGAATCCCAATAACAACATATCCAATTATTAATATTGATATAGCGCAAGATGAGAAAAAAACCGATGAAAAAATTGAGTATCTGAATTTGAAATTAAAGCACTTACTTAAATATACCAAATTTTCGTTTGTACACCATTTTTTTCAGACGTCTATAGTATCTCTGGGATAATTTGACAATATTTACCTACTTTGTAAATGGTATGAACATTTATAAGCATTACGATAAGACAAACTAATTAAAGGACAGTATTGTTCTTATCTTAATTATATCACACAATTTTAAACGTGATAAAATAGGGTAGAAAACATAATTTTTACGGGTAAATTTGATTTCTTTGGGGTTAGTATAATGGTATCTCAAGGTATCAGTAAAGGGATGTTCAGGACTCGGAGTAAGGGTAGTTGAGGGTACTCTTGAAGAGGTAGTTTTGATAGCAGGGTTAATTTGTGGAAACTATAAGGAGGAATCTACGGCTCAGAACTCAGAATATAGGATTTGAAATTAACCGAGCTCCAGTGCGATTTTAGAAGCCTTTCAAATCACCTCATTGTATTCCCACAATTGTAATATAAAGAGAATTATTACAGGCGTAGAATAATACCTAGGATTATTTCCTTATTATTTTATTATTTATGTGTTCTGTAAATTACTTTTGCGGCAGGAATCGTCTGTACAGTAAACTAGCAAGCTAACACGTTCCCATTTGAAATTCCTGCAAGCATCTAAGCTTAATTTCAATGATCGTCGAAAGATGTCACTCGGTGTGAAATTTTTGAATCGAATTTCGAAAAGTGGATTTTTGAAACTTACCTACATATAATTAAATTTGTGAACATATAATTTTCTGATTTTTTTCTTGAAGTGAACAAACAGAACGTTTTAAGTATAATTTTGCTATATATTTTAACCGTTCATCAGTGCCGTTAAGTAGCAAATTTGTTGAAACGTTATTTTGTAGTAGTAGCTACAAATTTATGAATTTTAAATGAAAAATTATCATAAATTCATAAACATTCATAAGTTTATAAATTTAAATGAATAGATACTTTTGGAGTTCCAAAATTCATTTTCTATTACCTACAACCTACTACCTATATTCGTTGAGAAAATACAGAATAGTTTTTTCCCAATAAATTTTTGAATTAAACTTTGGCAGATTTTTTGACGGACATAAATTTTTGGCAGATTCCCTTTCCTACTCTTAAATAACATTACCACCTAATAGGTACCTCAGGAGTATGTATTTAAGCCATATTTCAACCCTTTAGTTGAAGCGCCCTGGAGGCGAATTATTTAGCAAAAAATTCCTGCTCGCCGTAGCGGAGCCATTGAAATCACTGAAATTGACCGGACTATCGGCGAGACCCGTCAGGTGGTGGTCGCCTTTTCGCTGGAAGAACTCTTCTGCGACCTACGCCCGACGTTTCGACTCCGGACTCTCGCAGTCGAGCTCTCTTGGAGGACCGACCGAACCGCCGTCGGCTCAGCCTTTTTCGAGCGTTTTGCTGTGTTTATTTTCTTTCCGAGTGCCGGTCGAGCGCGATCCGAGCCCATCGCATGTGCACTTTACTTTACGTCGTTGCGGGCACGAAACGCGAACTTTTAGTGTTTCCTTCCATTCGACTAATAATAAATATCATTCGAGGCTTTTTCCACCGGAAGATTTTCCTGGTTTAGATTTTTTTCTAGTATATACCAATAAGATTTGAAAATGTTGAGGTGAGTTAATTTACTTTTTTTATTATGTATACATGTAGTAAGTTCAATTCAAACTTAGTAATATTTTTTTTTAATATTAAAACTAATCATACATTTTAATTCCTACGAATTTTAGTGAAATAATTTAAGTAGATATAAAACAATTTTATTGTTTTAGAAGTTTGTTAATTAATAGTTGATAAATTCACAAACTTTTAGCAGGTGTGTAATGCTGAAGAGCATTTCTAAGCAACACAGTTACCAGATTTCCTTATTCGTATAATCCGCGTTACTTATTCTACTTTTATCCGTCCTAAAATAGTGTCAACCGGTAGCAATCTCTGCATTTCATCCGGTTTATCCCAATTCGAACCATTTCTTAACAAAATAAAAAAAAAATTTTCGATTTATCTTATCTTCAAACTTCCTTCGAATCTTGTTTTGAAAATTAATTTTCCCAGATACTAAACATGTTTGTAACCGTTTTATCCACTTTTAATATTTTATCGTAAAAAATTATGTGTAGACAAATGCACTAAAAAATTTTATAAAAAATCCGGCTTAAAATACTCGGAAAAGTGTAGCGTTCATAAATAAGAGCAATTCATTATTAACATGAACCGAAAGCACACATGTAACAACTTCCTCTTCGAATAAAAGTGGAACATAAATAGAACAATACGCAGGAGTGTTATTTTTTTAACCTGGCGTTTCCCCGAAGTTCGATTGGTGTGATACGTACCCTGCTGGAATACTACACTAGCCTTTTAATATTTAATGATTCTACTCAGACATTGTCGCTTTGAAATTCACAAAAAAATCGATAAGGATTTTTCCAGGTATATCCGAAAATATTGCTTCAAATTATTCGTTTTCCTCGGATTCGTTTCAGGACAATTTTTATTTTGCAATGTGTTAAATTAGATTTTGTTTGTATAGTTTTGTTTTTGAATCTAATTAGAGAAACGGGAAAACCGAGTTCCCGTTCTCTTTGTGAACGGGCCTCATAACGCACCTCGTTATTTTTCATCTAAAAGGAGTCGCTGTTCTTTATTTTCGCGTGAATTTATGCTCCGGTAAATTCATATTTGAACTGTTTGAGTTCGAGTTCGAATTTGCCACCTGACAACTTTCTTATTGCTTCATTGTTTTTGGAGCCTTTGGCCATTATTTATCGATTTTTCGCCTGGTTTCCTATTTCCTTTTTATCTTTCGCTCACTTCGTTCGTAACTCCTGGATACCACTTATGAAGGAAGCGAATTGTTTTCCTTCGCCTCTATATTGGCAAAATGAATTTAATTGCATAGAGACTTCTAATGAACTAACGTCGAGTGCTACTCAATTATTTTCTAAAGCTTCATTCTTCTTCCCGCCGCTATAAACACTATTATATTGATTTTGATTCGGCTTGAAGTTTGAAAATAACTACCTATCACGTTTGAAATCTAGCTAATTCCGACGCGATAAATCGCGGTATTACACATGCTATTATAGTAAACGAAAAGTTGCAATTTCTGTACGTAATTTACGACTGTCATAAACCATCCGAACAGATTAGAATCCAATTTGAAGTCGTATAGTGAATGTAATAACGATACGTACGCTGTAATAAGTTTATACGGCGGCGTTTAAACGTTTCCCGAACTGCCACCAGGCACGCACGAAGACGACTTTGTCTCGCTGCAGTTTTTCCTATCATAACCGAACGAATTTATTGAATTTATCGTTAGGCAGTAGACGTGTTAAAGGGTGTTCGCATGCGACCGGAATAAGGTCAACAACACACCAATTTTTTTCGTTCAAAATGGTCAAACCGCTTCATATGGACTCGAAGACCAGTTCTTCAGCCAGTTTCTGAACAAAATTCCACCGCAATAAGTACGAGCCTACTTCAATTTCGATCATTCTCGTATTTGCTCCATTTACACAATCCATAAAAGCTTAGTACAAACAGGGGAATAACGAAGGGATATACGAGCTGAACCCTCTTTTCCCCAAACACCCACTCAAACTTGCAAACAGTCCTCACACAAACCGCCAATAAACTTCAAGAAAAACACATAAAAGTAGGTATAAAGAGATACCGAAATTTAAATAAACATCCCTAATTCACAGGTAGGTTCGCCCTTAACAAGGTAGATAACACTGGATAATAATAGTAAGAGAGCTACAATCGTGTTTATATGCTAATAGAAGATACTAGTTTGTTCAGAATATAGGTAACACAAAATTTAATCAACAGTACCATTAATTTTAGTTATTAATTTGATATGTGAAAGATAGACTCGCTGGTACAATTGTTGTTGAGGGAAGGAAGCTTTTGTGATACAATTCTATCTTCTACAATCATCTAACAATCGGGTTTGTTTTGTACACTTATAGTGCCAAGTCCGCGTAATGAGCCGCTTTATTACATGTTTTGCGCGATTTTAGCCTGCAATTCCGCCGGTTTCGAAGCTTTCCAGATACTAATGAGAGGAATCGCAAATAACGAGAAGTTCCTTCATTTTTGTCTTAAGCGTAATGACTTCATATCGCAGGCAAATGGATCTGCGCGATTTTATTACCGGTGTTTTACGTCTCAAAAAAATACTGAAAGAGCTTGATTTATAAGCGTTTAGTTGTTGGTTTTATGGTTATGAATGAGGGGTTTAGATAGCTATTAAATTAACACATTATCATTAATCTTGTATGCGATGCTGCTAGTGCATAATACGGCTAGTTGTTTCGGTATTTTACCGGTCAATTCGATCTAATTTCGCAGCAAATATTAATCATTAGTGATAATTAGGTACTTCTTAACTCGAAACGGTAAAATTGGAAGCCACATATACTTACGAGAAATAAGTAAAAAGATTTCTTCCTATACGTATAATAGCTACTCTTCATCAAAATCTTAGTTATTAATCGAATTAATATCTTCATCCTGAACATTCCTGTAGCCCTCCACTCCGTCGAGATATTAACTAGTTATGTATACCATTTATGTTACGTTCGAGGGCCAGTCTTGCAAGTTTTTATGATGGGCATAATTTCGGAGCATCTTTTTGCTATTAGTTTGGGTGGGCTACCAGCGATCAAGATATTTTATAAGATGACGCACCGTTGAACGGCCGTAAAAACCCATCAACTATGCGTACGTGTTTACCAATTTTCGTCGGTCGCAATGACTAAAAAGACTTCGCTCGAGCGTTAAATTCGAAACATTAGTAGCGGATTTTTCCATCTTTAGTGGCCTATAAAGTCGATATATTTATTACTTGGGAGGTTCAGACGAATTCGACCGGTTAAAAGAGGGTATTTTAGTTGGTTTCCTTTCCTCTTATTTCCTCGTTCGAATAAAAAAAAGGGCAATTTTCCTCGCTTTTCTTTAACGAAATAATATTTCATCGCGGTTGGGCGGTTCATTTTCCGAACGGCTTCCGCCGATCCTGGAAATGACCTTTCGCGCTTTTGTGGAAAAATCTAGCCATTCGGGTATGAATCGCCGTAGTTTATCTGTATCTATGTATCGATTATAGGTTGTCATTCGATTCCCCTTCGTAATACGACCCCCGCTGTGTTTCGACGCGAAACCTTAAAGAAAAAAGCCCGGCGTAAGAGCGTCTCTTTGTGGATCTCATTACAAAATTATATTAGATATATTCGTTGGTTATTCTGTTCTTTTCCGCGAGCGTTTCCTTGACACACCAGGCGCTCTGGGATAAGAATCTTCGAATGTTTTATTAACTGAATACATTAGTACTTCATCTCTCATTAGTTCGAACCGCTCTCCGTACGTGCCCATTAGGTATTGATGATGTTAACTGAAAATTCGATTAATTTCCCACGTCCTGCGTGTAAGCGTTAATTTTATATTGGCACGTATACGATCAAACCCGGTTGTTTCTGTAACGCCATTATTAAGCAATTACGTCGCTTTGATGAAAATCTGAGCCTCCAGTGATAACGCTGCACTCGATGCATAATTGTTGCATGCTCAATTCGAGCTACTGTTTTGTATGGGACGACATTAAATTTAATTTCAGTGCGCGATAATTTTTTCTAAGAGCGCTCGAGAAGTGCACTTTCCCGCAATAAATTGTTGATATACAAGCGACTGGTTCAAGTGGTGGATAGTAAAATTGAAATTAATAACCCCACTTGAAGATGGGAAGCGACTTTGATTCGATTTCGCCGCAATTTCTCGGTTCTGGTCGTCGTCTAATTCGATGTAATTAACGCTAGTCGGTCCGTTAGGACTTAACGAATGCGTTTTCTGTGTAAAAAATCATTCGAGCAACAACCGAAACGGTCGAATTCCGAACATGTGTGTTCCGTTAATGTTCGTTTGTCGTCCGAAAAACTTGCGGTACACCCGCCTTCGACATCATTAGTACACGCCAAAGCGCTCGATTCTTGTAATAAATTATCCTCCTATTATAATTTGCCGTCCGAAAAAAAGTAGGCCCGCTCCTTTATGCGGTGCAACAGCGTTCTCGTATGTGCTTATTTACAAATTTTGATTATGTCACGAAGCATTAGCGATTTAATCATCTCGTCGCGATAGCATTCGTCACCCCGATTTTGTTTGGTCGTATTATATGGATAATCCCGCTTTTGTTCGATAACTTCGCAGTTGGTCGAACACGGAGGGTACGGGAGACGATTTCGTACTTTCTTTAATGCTAGTGCAAATAAACGTAAAAGCCAATCAATACGACTCGACAAATAAATCGGACAATCGATCCGAATATATATTTCGGAAAAGTCCAATTCATTAACGACGCAATTTATATACCGAGTATAAATTCAGCTCAATTACAAGTCTTTAAAGTGTATTGAAATTGTGAAAATCTCGGCAATTAATCAACATCAAACTTACAATCGCTTACGATCGACTGGAGTAGAGAGAGTGTAATTTAAATTAATTAAATTGCCATCGTTAAACCGTTTAAATCTCGATTTATTTGAGCGCACCGCCCACGTGCGCGATACATCTACGCCTCCTAAAAGGCTCAATTCTCCGAACGCGGAGTGCAACGTAACGCGAATATCGCTGGATGAAAAATGATTACAAAATAGCCGACACTTAGACGAAACTGTTATGAATCGCGGGTCCCTGGACTATAACGGCACCAAACGGACCGGGCACCGGGTATTCCACCATACGTGACCTCTAATGACCCAATGCGTACTGCTCCCATGCCCATGATATTATCGCCTCGAGGCGAATATCTGAAGTTTCGCGAGTTGTGTGTGTGCTGAATGCGGCGCGGCGCGTCAAGTGGAATCGGCATTTTAGCTTTTCTCGATTGGCTTCCGGCGGTGTAGAAGGCGCGGCGCGAACCCAGCAATTCCAAACAGAACTCGTGAGATACCCCGAAACGGAAAAAATCCGTTTTCTAGCTTCTATTGCACTCACAACACCTCGGGTTCTTCGTGGTAGGTATTGTTTAAACGTACCGACCAGGATGGAAAGCTCTAGCCTTAAGAGGATTTAACAGAGAGTGAATGTTAAAGGAAATATTATAGGTGTTCTTTAAATTCTTGTTGTATCCTGGAAATTATTATAGCTCTAGTAGAGGTTTGCAAATACCAAGATAGATAAGAACAAACACGATGAAAAACCCGAATCAAAATTGAATCAACGTTTGAATAAAGAGAAGAACTCGTAGACTCAAATAAAATAAAAAATACCTTTACAGAAATTTCTAAAGGTATATAAAAGTAGAAGGAAAAAAGAAAGATCAAAGAGCTATTTCATATTTCCAAGAAATCCAATTGAAAGGAAAGCGAGCTCTAAGATAGTTGCACATGAAATATTTATAAAAAACTGAAGACGTTTCCGTTATTGAAAAAATCTTTCGGATGAAATTCCTGCGACATCCTGTAAACTGTTGGCGTCGTAATGGGATCGATTTAATTCGGGATTAAATGCAGGGATTATAAATTCCATCGTCTGCGACAGTTAGTTTAAACTTGTGGAAACTAGATGCGTAAATTGTTCCTTTCCTGCGCGTTGTACTGCGGGTAATATATTATTTTTATGCAACAGGTTGACATTAAAATGGGTACCTTTCGAATGTGCTTTCCGTCTAATTTGCGGCGATCGATATTTTAACCGTTTCCGATGGCCAAAAGGCGATAAATCAATCCGGTGCGGCTGTTAAAATGTTCAATAACCGCTAGATGTTGGGAGTGCCTATGTTCGATAATTCAATACCGATATGATTTATGTGGGTATCAATTATACAATTTGTATTTGCAAGTATTGTAAGAAATGTTCTATATTTGAACAGCATCAATTGAATGTTGATATTAAAGAGCAACGATGTGGAACAAAAAAAGACGATCTTTATAGGTCAATCTCACTTTCTGGCATTATCATCACTCCATCCGCTCAGCTAAACCTTTTTATTTATTTTCTTATTGTTTTTACTTTCCTGGTAATTTCGTTTATTATTCGATTAAATTGAAAAACACAACGTCATGGTTAGTTTAACGCAAAGTAAATAGCAAGTTGAGATTAAAAAAAAACGAAACTTTATAATTATACTAAACGTATTTGCACGAATGATTTAAAAGCTTTGATTTCCTGTTGAAACGAATCGCAAGCGGAGTAAATTTAATTTACCAGTTTGTGCAAGTTGTAAAGTTGTCCTTTATCCGGAGTCGCTTTGTGGTCTTATCTGCGCTAAGTTTAATATAGAAGATAATTTCTCCTGTTAACTCGATTTGAGTATAAAGTTAAATTCTAACGAACCGTTCTTCGTGTTTTTGATGTTCCAATTCAACGCAATTTTTCTAGCATACTTCTAAAATGCTTTCTCTTATTAGCGGGTGTACCAGTATTTTGATCATTCGTGTGACCGTTTGAATAAAAATTCGTACGAGCCTGGTCTCACGATTTTTTCCCGTCGAGGTATTCTTGTTGTTTGCACAAGTAAAATCATGCTCGTGAAGTTAAAAAGCACACAGTTGCACCAAGCCCACATGTGAGCAAATAAGCCGGAATATGCTTTAACAGTTTCGTCAAGCTAGTTTACACAGACATTTATGTATTCCAAAGTGTACGCTAATTAAATTTCGCGTTCTTTACTAACCATAAAAAGCTCCATACGCGTACAAGAGGTGCGTCGACTATTGAGTTGTTAATTCTCGCCGGAAAAATAATATAAATAAATGTTCAATAAGGCGCTCCTCTGCTTTTTTTTTTCGATTGTAATTAATTTCGTTGTGTGCAATAAAAATACTGTTAGATGTAAGAATATGAGATACAACGTAGACTAATCGAATTTTTTTGTTGTTATTGCAGGAATGTAATATTAACGACAGCCGTGATAGTAATCGTTTGCACAACGCTATCACTCGGCAAGCAACAAACGTCGACGAAGAACCACGAGTTGCTAACGAAATTAGGTCTACAAAAAATCAGAGGACCGAACAGCCATCACAAGAAGCGATTAGCGGTGGAATCGAGACATCACAGTCGATCAGACGATTCACACATGTTCATTGTGAAATTGCCGCCGCATCCGCACTACTACGTTCACAACGCCCAGAATTCCTTGGATATACACAGCAAGAGCAGGAATCTACCTGTGGGATTCAAGAACAACGGCAGACCGGCGAAAATCTACCACTGGAACTTGCCGTTAATGCAACAACTAACCGCAGGGAGAAATGTGTACTCGGACAAATATCCAGTGGTGGACTTTAGGCAGTCGCAGAGTTGGAACGACATTATCGACAAACCGCCGAAGGAGAAGAAACCCAAGAAGCCCTCCTATTACGTGCCGAGCAAACCGAAAAAGTCGAAATTTACGAAATATTTCCCCGGTAACGGCAAACCGCACTCGTTTTACGTAATCGAAAACAGCAAGAAAGGGCATTACCACAAATTACTACCATAGAAGCGATTTTGTAAAGACTGTGCAATATTTTATGTATCAACTTTAGACTGACCCTTTTAAGCTTATTTCTAATTTTATATTATCTATTGTGACGAACTGAACGTTTTTACAATAAAATAGCCAACATTCTTCCTGATTAACATTAATTAATTGCAAAAATTCAATTAAAAAACATCCAATAACCAGGCTAATAAAAAATCCTATTAAGTTCATTGATAACATCAAAAACCAATCTAAAAATCATAAAAAAATATCACCCTTAAGAAGATAAAATGGAACCCGCAGAAAACTCAAAAGGATCCGCGTTTTTGATGTAATTAGCCGACTTCCATTGTTCAATAGAAAACTTTTCTCTGCGAAAAAGTACAAGGAACACAATAAAACGATGTAGGAGGGTGAATCATAACTTCCTCCCTTTAATTCCCTAATTGTTCGTCGGCCTGTCGTACGAGCGCATTGTGCTCGAAAGTTAAAACGTCTTTTACATAAATTTGAATTCGCGAAAAATATCCTCAACAATGCCGTCTCAAAGGAAGTAATCTAAGTTTTAGTTTACTTGGCAGTGATAATTTTCCTGACACTCGTTGACGTTGAAAAAAAAATGATAGAAAATTCGAGGAATAAATTAAAAGTTATCCGCTACGGGGGGCCCAAATTGCCCTACAAGCGGATCAAATGCGAGCGAGATAAAACGCCCCAAAGGTGGTCGAGACGGATTCAATCCTTACCGCCCATTCCTATTGAAGTAATCGCGACGAAAAGAAAAAATAAAACCGTAAAACCGGCGACCACAAGAGGAACGCCCAATGCGAAATTTTCTCTGTTAAAAAAATTGTAAGTGAATTACCTATTTTACGAATTTGGTCTGCTATTTCTTCACTTTACTCTTCTATCCCCAGATGTTTGAAATCCTTGAGACGTGGCTACTCGCACTTCACACAAGACAATTGTAGTCCATTCTATAACAAACAATTACTCGATTAAATGGAAAAACACAGACTTTTTTAAATAAACCTTTATTCATTTACAAAAGTTTTCTGTTAATACCAACGGTGTGGTCAAACAGCTTGGCGTTCCTAAACTCTCCCTTCATATCTACTAAATAATAAAATGAGTGTCCTTGTACTTTTAAAGGTATGTAATTTTTAGCAGTCGATCTTGTATCTAAGGCGCTCAAGTATTTCAAGTTTAAGTTCATCAGTCGATTCCCTCCTGACGGAGTGTAAGTGCCAATTGTTACCATTTGACCGCCTTTACGAAGAATCAGGTATTTCACTGATCGTAGGGAATACATCCAAGTTAGGGCCAGGATACCCCAACCTAAAACAAACATCTTTGCTCTACTATCTATTATTTGCGTATAAATAAGAGGATTACCTAAGAGTCCTGAGCCAACTGATATGGCATATCGATACTTGCTTTCGCCCAAGTTGACTTTCTCCCAAAACCGGGTTCCTCTGCCCGGTTCAACGGGAATATCCCTCAAGGTTGAAAACGCTGTAAACGATAGGTAAGTCCAGAAGCCGAATTGCACGAATCCAGCGACATTCATCAATTTAAAATAACTAGTTCTATCATGTTTGTATAAAATAATATCTTTGGCCACATTGGTGTCAACATCGAGGGATTGCGAGAAATTTTTATGATTTGCTCGCAGTGGACGGTTAAATATTTTTATAAACAACCCTTTTCCATAATAATTTTTGTAAAAATTGCAAAATTTAAACATTTTTTCGGGGTTATGTATTTTATTTCTTCTTTTTAATAATCTACTATTTTAATGTCAATGTCTCAATTTTGCATATATGCAATAATAAGTCAGAGGCCATAAAGAAAATAAGTAAAAAGTAGCTTTGAAATATGACATATTTGACATATATGTCATTATTGGAGTTTCGTTAAAATTTAAACATTTTACTTTTTAATATTTTTACAGTGAGTATTAAGAATTTATGAAATTGCATATTTATATTTAACGTGAATGCAGAAAAACGAAGATATACCTTTATAAGATAAAACTCATTAAAAATGGAAAACGATAAACTGAAAGGATCTGTAGGAGCCCCTAGGGTAAGCTCATCGAAGAGACGTTCATCTCTTTTTAATTTAGAGATTGCTGATGATTCAGAAGAAAAATGGTTAGAAAAAGGAGATGAAGGAACTAACGATTGTCAATTTAATTATCCGGATAATTACGTATCAAAACTTAAAAAGGAAGTAAAACAGTGGCAAAAAGTGGCAATAAGTCACGCGGAAAATAGAAAACACGAACAGGAAGACTTGGAGAAACTCGAAAATATCCATTTTACTGAAGCAGTTCTATCGGAAGATCAAAGACAATTTTTAAGATCAATCCGCGAATCTTTCCAGCAGTTCCTGATCGACACAGATGGCCTACAAGAGTTTCTTAATTTTTGTGAGGAAAACCAATAAGGGATTATTTAAGTTATGGTAAATATAGTATAAACAATATTCTACATTCATTCATTTATTTCTTTTCCTTTCAGGTGCACATACAAAAACTAGTATTTACAAGCACAATGAAAAAGTTTTTGCTGCCTACCCATCCCACAATATCACTTTAACAATATAGATATTTCTCATTGTGTTTTGAATGTTTTGATACTCTTATTTTTAGAATAAGTTATAATTTTTGGAATGAAAGTTTTTGTTACAATAAATTACTACTGAAAATAGACTGCTATAGATTCGTCAAAACATTCCATCATTGATACCGATTGGTACTAATACACCAAGGAACAAAATTAAATTCCTCAGTGCCAATTTCCAGTCGTTGGGAACGTAATAAGGCAATAAAACCTTGGTGATATTATGAACTTCATGCGATGCACAAACGAATATATAAGTTGTTATTATAAGATTTAGAACTGGATAACCCGGAATAAGTACTAACACACCGTGCGTATCGGCCGCTAGCCAAATGTGATATTGACTAATGAACAATTCCAATGAAATTTCCCCGAACCAAGCAAACAAACTCGAGTACCTCGTTCGCAATATCCCCGATACGTTCCTTAGAAGAATATAACTAACTATCGGAATAAAAACGATGTACGAGTGAATTTCGCTACACTCCAATTCATTTCTACAGAAATACGTAAACATAATATAAGAACCTATACCAGTGAACGCTACCAACGTAGAACTTAAAGCTATACCCCTCGAAAACAAATTTGAATGATTATTATCATCGAACACGTTGTACCTTTGAGACAGAATCATTACAACGCCGAAAACCATTCCGCACATAACGGAGTACCTGTCCAATTTCCACCTCGACCACCACTCGTGTATATCGTCATCGGTGGTAACGAACAGAGCCTTCCAGGGCCTGGTGACGAAAATCTTTTCGAAAAAAACCTCCGACATAAACAGAATCGTAATCACAGAACACATACAAATAAACTTAATAACTAGATAAAAATATTGCACCACGTTGTTCTCGGAACTTTGGGACGTAATGTGCGGTGGAAACGCCACAAAGCAATATACCATTACATACCAAAACGATAACAGAGGAGCGAAATAGTAAAACTGATATGGTCGATTCATGATCAAACACAACGTTACAGTCATGAAATTGAGCCGAAAGAGCATCGTACAGAAACTGACTATACCTATGTCGTTTCTGTACCAAACGTAAGAGAAATGTTCGTAACCTAACAAGAACAAATACGCCGATATTAATACTTTAATGTGCATGCTAATCATAAGAACTCTGGAAGCTCCGGTGACGTGGTACACCAATATGACTATTTGCATCCAACCTTTCCACTCGTTCAATTGATCGGGGTGGAGCACCTTATTGAATTTACTTTCTTCCATAAAGAACAAACCTAATACTGTAATGTAACCGATCGGCAACCAAAAACTAAATTCCGAATAATACTTGTTTTCCTTCATGAAGAAATTCGTACGATCGCATACGAAAAAGTACGCCATTATCAGCGTCATCGTGGATAGAGCCTTAAAAAGCTCGTAATAGTTACTATTAGAGGATACCTGTGATTGGAATTCGGCATTGGAAAGTCGTTGGTAATCGTAGTTTCTACCGCCTCTGAATTTTTTAACTATTCTTCTTAATACTATTATCAACGTTACGACGACACTGGAAAATATTCAATGTAAGGTCGCGTTTAAATATTTAAATTGTGTTTGTTACCATAGAGCCATCACAGCGAAAGTGACAATTTGCAGGGTGGTCCTCGGTTCAACTGAACTACAGCAGGTTCCGTCGTTAAAATTCATGTAGTCATTGCAGTACATGTTAAAAAGTATCTGAGTACTGTGCTCTTGAGCCCTTTGAGCCAGGTGGATTCCATCCGAACTTTCTTGTATCATCCCTTGACCGATCAAACGGGCACTCCACCATAAATCCGCTGACGAGTGAGACAACACCTAAAATATTTAAATTATTTAAAAAATTGCTAGTAATAAATCAAAAATTAAATTCAAACCTCTATTGCTGCCTTATTGTATTCATCTATCATTTCGTTTGTAATCAACTGTTGGTCAGGTTTCAGCTTCTCTTCGTTTACAGGTGCTTGTAGTGCCCACAGTACTCTCGTTTTTCTTTGGTACAAAAGATCTATAGGTTGTACCAGTCTCGTAATATTTCTTTGATATTGATCTATAGCGAATTTTGACATGTTTGCAACTTGTATTGGCCACAAAGCATTACCCACTACTATTACCGACGGAGGGTGGTCAGATAGAATCCAATTTCTGCATTAAAAAATGTACATTAGTTAAACGAAATTTAGGAATTCATCTAAATACTCGCCTGAATGTTTCTACCATTTGTTTCGAAATCATGGGCGCCCAAATGAAATCCACCCTGATTTTCATTTTGTTATCGATGTGGGTTAAATTGGTAAATTGACTAGGCGGTTTTTGACTGGTTTCTTCATCTTGATTCAAATGCTTTATGAATGACTGATAGAGTTCAGCTATTCTAGTGTCTCCCATGAAAACGAATCTTGTTTCCAAGCCAATGTAAGCTATGTAACGGAGGCATCGTCTTGTGTCACTAAAATATAAAAAAGTTGTAGAGTATTGAATTACTAATCAGCACGCTTACATTTTCGTGTATAAGTGTAGCATACATCCGTACGGCTGCCATTCTTCGTCTGCTTTATAACGTCCATCAGACAAAAGCCACTTGCAAGAATTTGTACCTGTAAAGCATTATATATTCAATCGTCTACTTTCGATTAACATGTGATATTACGTACCAAATCTCAAGTGCAAGATGCCATGAAAACAAGCAAATCCTATAACTAACAACAAAGCGATCTTCTTGGCATTTCTTGAATTAATTTCATCAATTACTCGTTCTATTCGGGATTTATCACCAGTCATAGTAACGTGTAGACATCAAACAAAGTCGCCATTCCTGTAAACAAATCGTTATATTTGATTATATTTCGATATTTATCAATATTGATAGAGGTAAGATGCAATTCACAATTTTTATTTTTGAATAAGTGGTAAATGACATTTGTTTGTTGTAATTGAACTACTTGTAGGTTATATACAAAAATAAATTAACCAAATAGCCTTAGTAGTTGAGGCATGAAAGAAGAAATCTGTTAACAATTTTGACATGTTAGTAAACATAACCTTGAATGCTCTGTGATTTCGTATTTTTAATTAAAATTATAATTACTATAAGTTTCTTTCAAATCTTTATAGTTTAATATATTTTAGTTTTATACAAAAATATTGTACAACTTATGAAATCATAATCTCCGTTTTACTTCGTTTAAAATATCTTCTAAAGAGACACCTTCTTCATTCACCTTGTCTTTTAAAAATATTTGTACTCTTAATACATAAGACCATGAAAAAGGCTGATCTGCAACAAATATTTTTGTATGACATGAATTAATTAATTCAAACGACTCACTCAAATTATTTTTAAACAACAATATCGAGTTTACGATAAAAGTTTCCGAAATTGAATTGTATCCAAGCAAGGGTAACTTGGAAAACAAACCATTTTCCTCTCGTGATATTAAACATTCCGATGAAATGTTTACCAATTTATCCACCATCTTTGGTCGAATTCTAGCTAAATTGCGTTGGTTTTCTTTGTTCAAAGATTTACAATAAGTGTCAATCATTTCTTGTCTAAAAACAGATAAAAACCTTTCATATTACTTATTGTTAATAATAAAAAATCTTTACCTTTTAGAAAAATTCATATTCGTTAAATTACAATCGCCCAGTTGAATTGCATCAATGATATGTAAACTGTATCTCACATTTTCAATTTCATTGTTAGTTTCCGATTTTGTAATGCACGTTTCTTTTACAAATTCACCATAACACAGAGTATGTTTTGATAATTGGATATTTTTAATTTTTACCCATTTTTGGTTCTGTAATCTGTATACCTTAGAATATGATGTACCTGAAATATACATTTTGTATTTAAAAAAATTGATTTATGTATTATGCAAATTGCTAACTTACTAGCATAAAAATTACAGTTATTTTTATTAAGTGAACTGAATAAAGGAAAATAATACCAATCCTCTAAACACACAATAAGTTCGTTAAAAGTTTTGATTTGGACAATTTCTCTAGGCGGTGCTAACATTATATCTAAAAGAGTTCATAGATTATACACAATGTTTGTATATTAAAAATATAAACTTACCAAGTTTATCAAAAATAGTATTCACAAGTTCTGAGGGATTTAGGTGAGGTATAGGTATTCTCTTTTTATCAGGAATTTTCCAAAATTCCAAGCATTCCTTCCTTAATTGGCTTTGTCTACATTCGACTAAGGTCGGATTTCGACAAAATGTTGCTAATTTCCTCAATGAAAATGTCTGATACGTTGCTACACTGAAATAAAACATTTTATATAAATAAAAATAATAATTGTATAAACCAAACATACCAGTTATTACTAGCGAAAATATACTTAAAGAATTTATCGTCTTTTTTTATAACTTCCAAGGGCACAATTTCCAAAATATCTACAATACTAGGATCATTCCTTTCCCATAATTGATTCACAATGGTCCACAAATACTTTTTAAGATTTTCGAAATATGGAGTATTTCGTTTTAAATTCGTACAAACGAAATATCTCTCACTGTTTGCCGGTCTCGAAGAATTAGGTTTTATAATAGAAACTACAAAAAAATATTATGCACTTCGAATAATAAACGAAAATTAATTTGCTACCTTTTTCGAAGCAATGGTAAATCAAAAACAACAAACCAACACTAAACGAGGTGAAAACATCAAATAATTTAGTAACAAAATGTCCATGAGATCTCACTATTTCTAGTGCTACCAAACATTGACAAAGGTAAATGCTTTTCGAGAGAATTTCTTGAAAGTTCTCATTGCCTTCCACTGAGAACCCCTGCAAAATAAACTCTTTCAATATACCTATTGATTAAAAACAACATATTTACCCCGTCAGACATCATAAAATGGACTCCTTTTCCCCCAGTTTCGCACAAAACTTTCTCCTTAAAATCCAAAATATTGTTTGGAGAGCACACATTGCCATCGCCGTCTTTTCCATAAAAAGCTTGAAACGTAGCAGGACATGCACAATAGGACTCGTACAGTTTAAAATCATTATCATCTTTCAACGTCATCCCGAAGCCTTTGAACAGCCATTTCTTCCTCCACAGGATGTATTCAGTGAAACCCCCAGGACCCGCACACACATCGGCAAAGTAAAATGGGCCTTTGTCGTCTTTAAAATACTCCTGAAAATTCAAACACGTTGTAAACCTGCTGTTAACGCAAAATATAAGAAAATGTGAAGACCCCTTACATACTTGTCGATTCATTATTCATTCAACACATTCGAATTTATAATGAAACGTACGTTTTTATCGATATTTGTGAACTCGAAATCGGTGATTGCATCGATATTAGCCATTTTCAAAGCGGCCCTGTTCATGAAAAAGACCGATCGAACCGTCTCGAAGGGATTGCATCTAGCTCTAGCCTGACAGAGCTCTAACGCGTCCATTTCATCAAATATGTCCTGCAACAAACTTGTTAAACATGGATAAATACTCGACGAAATACTCAACCTTTGCTTTAATTACTTCGGTTAGGATTTTCTCATCGCAGAAGTTTGATTGAGTGTTAATATCGGTAATAGGTGATCCCTCCTCAATCCAAGAACACATTTCTTCGAAACTGGAATTCAACGGGCGGTCGCTGCTCAACCAAGATAAATTTTCTTTTACAAATACTTCCTGAAACCAATAAAAGGTTTCAACTTAAGTATGTATTAAACATTTCTGTGGTTTCTACAGTAGTAAAAAATATACCTTACATCTTTATTGAAATCCCACGTTTCCATATTGTCTTCAATTTTTTTGAGTTTAAGGCCGAATCCTTTTTTGCCCAATTGGTAACTGAAATCTACGAGTTTAGTTATGCCTTGTTCATTCTTGCCTAATCCGTAGCCTTCCTTGTAACCCATTTTTTGCTGAAAATAAATACGTACTTGTATAAAATCAATGTACATAATCAAAACAAAGAATAGAATGGCGATAAAAAGGTAAATATACCATCATTCGTAAGGCTCTTTCGTCAACATGTGAGCCCGAAGCTTCGCTTCGAGAAACCTTTTCCGGACCATTATCATTTAAATTGAGATTCAAATACTCCTGGCTCATGGTGAGCTCGTAATCGTAATCTGGAAATGTGAAAACATTTATTTGGATAAAATATATAATTAAATTCATTATTTTATTACCGATAGAGCTCTCTGAAAACATGTCGAATTGAAATATTCAAAAACGGTTACCTGGTACAAATTAATAAAATAAATGATTTAATAAAACACTAATGTACTGAAGACATTACACATGTATTAAGAATGTTAACTATTTACTTGTGGAGATGAATGAGTTGAGTATTTACAAATTACAAAAACGAAAATTATAAATTAGACGAAATGGACTTGTTTTTGAGGTTATCTTCTTTTTTTATTAAATAATTCACATCTTTTTATTCTGCATTTTGTAGTATTTTGTGTTCTGTTCTTCCGGCGACCGGCATTTTCAGATAATCTGTCACTGTCAATTCCTGTCATTTTCGGTTTTGTCGGACTTTGCAAATATCGATTGTTATTTCTCTTTAAATTTTAATTTCACTGATTTACTTTTAACGAAAGAATTAATGGCCATGTCTCTGTTTCCATTAGAATCTAATCCAGATGTAAGTAGCAATCATACCAAATAATTTTCCGATCTAACTAACGACTATTATTTTTTTCTGTTCCAGGTTATGAATAAGGTAAGCTCGTATATAAATAATTAATTACTATTTGCTATTTTTTACATGAATTGCAGTTTATGCACGTTCTCGGAGTTCCAGAAAAGTTTAAAATTGTTGATGTTTATGGTCTTGACGCCGATACTCTTGCTTGGGTCCCTAGGCCTGTATATGCTCTTATTTTACTATTTCCTTGTAGCGAAAAGGTAAAATATTATATTTTTAATAACAACGTATCTAATTTAACTAAGTTTTGGTTTTTGTAAGTACTACGAATACGCCCAACAAGAAAAGGAAAAATTGACCAAGGAAGGACAGAAACTTAGCCCTAATATCTGGTATATGAAGCAGAAAGTGTCTAATGCTTGTGGGACCATTGCTTTAATACACAGTATAGCAAATAATGATGATAAGTAAGATTTAATTTGCACGCCTATCAACAGTACAACTTGAATTTTACCTCAAAAACATTTTAGAATCCAATTATCTGAAGGGGCGTTCAAGAAACTTTTAAGCGAATCGAAAAATATGTCGCCTGAAGAAAGAGGCGATATATTAATTAAAGCCGAAGATATTGCATTTAAAATTATCAACACACATCAGGAATTAGCAATGGAAGGTCAAACTGAAGTGAGCATTATTATAATTCATTACAAATTGTGCATCCCTAATGTTATTATTGTTTGTTTTTTTAGGTAAACCCAGAAGAACAAGTGAATCACCATTTCGTAGCTTTAGTAGAAAAAGATGGCGAACTGTATGAATTAGATGGTAGGAAAGAGTTTCCTATTGTTCACGGGAAAACATCCAGAGATACTTTCCTGGAGGTAAATTCTTGTTTTCAATCACACAATAACATACATAAAATATTAATATTGTACTTTTTAGGATGCTGCTAAGGTGTGTAATGCTTTCATTGCAAGAGATTCAGAGGACATTAATTTCACCGTGATGGCCCTTGTGGAAGCCGACTCTTAAATTACGCCAGAAAATCTGGATCAAGCTTGGAATATCCTTTAATTTGCTATTTTTTCATGTGCCTTGTTTTTTTTTAAATTTCGTTATTTCAAATACTTGTGATATGTGTAATACCGCCAAATAAACATTTTCTTTGTACCTCGCGAATTTTCTTCTCAAAAGATGAGCAATGGAATCGCAAATTTGAGTACAAAAAATGATTTAAAATGTTTCGGTAGGTCATATGTCAAAAGGACAATACACACATCATCCTCGTCATGTGTGCTGTGATGAAGTAGTTCATATGTAACATGTAACCATAACAACCGATTCTAACCTATGTTTTATTTTTGGAAAATTGACAAATTATTTCATTCTTTCATTTTGTTATGTCGTTTAAAATCGACATCGATATCACGAACAAGGCAATAAGTAATCCGGATATGATTAAAGCAGTTTTAATAGATCTAAACGGCACATTGCACATCGAAGACAAAGCCATTCCAGGAGCCATCGATGCCTTGAAAAAGTATGAAATTTCCATTCTCCCATTAAATTTAAGCGATTTCCACTACTTCTGTTTATTTAGACTTTCAAAGCAAAAACTCAACGTAAAATTCGTCACGAACACGACCAAAGAGAGCCAACGAGTGTTGCACGAGAAGCTAAAGAGCATCGGCTTCGAACTAAACAAAGACGACATCGTGAGTTCTTTGGGCGCCGCTAAAGCACTGCTCCAACAGCGGAAGCTGAGGCCCATGCTGATGCTGGCCCCGGAGGCGCTCGAGGACTTCCAAGAGTTTCCTACACAGCCCGAAAACCCGAACGCCGTGGTCATAGGCTTGGCTCCGAGTGAGTTTCATTACGAGCGACTGAACGACGCTTTTAGGTATAAAGTATCCAAGCAGCGGAGTGAACGTGGCTTTTACGAATACTTTTAGGCACTTACAGAACGGCGCTCAGCTGATAGCCATACACGAGGGTAAGTATTACAGAAGATTCGATGGGCTTGCGCTGGGCCCGGGTTGTTTCATCAAAGGGTTGGAGTATTCGGCGCAATGTACCGCGGAATTGATCGGCAAACCGAACGCATCGTTCTTTCTCTCGGCCCTCGGCGATATTCCCCCCAATCAGGCTGTAATGATAGGTGATGTAAGTATACTTGTAACTGAATCGAGTGTTACGTAATCGATCGAATCGAATAGGACGTTAACGACGATATTAAGGGCGCAATGGACGTGGGCATGCAGGGCTATTTAGTTCAAACGGGGAAATACCGAACGGCGGACGAGGCCAAAATTCAACCGCCGCCGACTGAAGTACTGCCCAGTTTCGTGGAAGCGGTAGATAAAATTCTTTCGCAAATTTAAAAATATATTTATAAAATTTCGTACTCTTTTCTGTACAATATTTGTTTAAATATAAAACGTTATAAAATATGAATAATTGTAAAAACATTTCGGATATAATAATAATAATAATGAGCGTATATAAAGTTACAGTCAACGGCTTATCAAGAGGTAAAATTGCTCTTCTGTAAACGGGTTTGTGAGGTAACTTGTCCAGACTGGCCGTCTTTTTGCGGTGGGCCTCTGAAAAAAAAAATATTAACATTCGATTTGGTTTAAGTATTCATTAAAAAAAATAAGCAAAGCTAAGAAGTAAGCTAAAAATTTGTCATTTTAAAGGCTTGCTTACCTTATTAAAACAGGTAAATTAGACGCTTTGGTAAAATTTTTATCACTCGTTATTGTCACTTTTTTCTTATAACTATTGCTAAAGCTACTCTTGATATTGCCATTTTTATTGCACATAGTATTTTGTGGTTTATCGTTATTTTCTTCATACTCTACTGGAGTGATTTTCAGTTTGGAAGACTCTATTCCTATCTTATTTTTTCTTATAATAACAGGAATTCTACTTGTTTCGTTCACTGTTAAATTAAGGCTTCTCCTTTTCAACACAGATTTATTTCTCTGGGTATTATCATTGGCAAAAAAACAAGAATTTCTCTTGTTCCTCTTTCTAACGTGCTCTTCGAAACCCTTTGATATTGAATTGCCAGTTTTCTTCTCCAAATCAACCTTAACATCATCCGTAATATTCGTAGTATACGTTTTTAACTCAATCAGGTCGTCATCGGACATATTTTCTATGTTTGTATTTTCTACAGATATTGTCGATACCTCGTCGTTAATAAATTGGGAACGTTGAACGCTCAATAGCGATAAATCGTCTTCTAAAGATCTAATAGAAGTTGAAGAAGCAGACTCTGGCAATGCGACACCAGCGTCTGTATAGAAATGTTGGTCTAAGAAGTTCATTTCACTAGAAGAAAAATAGTTTATAGAAGCAGAAAGCGATGGAATTTTAAGACGCTTGAAAAGTTCAAATATACTCACTTTATAAATGTTCCACTCGGGGTGCTACTCGCCCGATTCATCTGCATTAAGTTAGTACTCAACGAAGATTTCGATTGGCCTCTGGAATTCGATCTCTGGTTTTTTGAGTCCCTCACAACTAATAATTCATAATTAATATCAGCTTGCAGTGCTAAATAAAGCATTTAGTTTACCCGCTGAAGAGATATTTCGATTTCTCGATGTCATCGGAGCCAAACTGCTGGTCGCCTTCCCCAAATGCACCTTATCTTCTTCCTCCACTTTTCGCTTTTCCTCGAGCAATTCTTCCGGTTTGGTAAGTTGTGGATTTTTCATTATCTTCGAATTTGCCTTCAATATAGCCAACACGTCTTTGTCCTTTTCATTTGCCTCTAATTTCGTGACTACATGATCGAGTTTCGTCTGCAACTGACGATCCAGCGGCATCATAAGCATCTTTTTCAACAAAGGAAACATATTAGCAACAGTTAATCGTACTGTCGATACAGGATCTTCTGTAAAAATAAATAAATCTTACAATAGATATTATGAACCCCGAACTCTCGCTTCTTTACTATCTATATGCGTGGAAAGGTGTACTAGAAAAGGAGCGAGAATTCAAGGTGAGCAATAGGTCCGCCTATCATCGTACCTCCTAAAGATAGAAGAGGAATGTAAAATGATTCTTTGAAATATTTCCAACTGAATACTTGTATTGCTTCGTGGCACATATTAACGAATATGTGCCTGTTGTAACAACTTTCGGAATTGCATAAAGTGCTTATTAAACTTTCTTTGATCCACTTTCGGTGATTATCTTTTACATTATGCTTCAAGAAGAACAAAAGAGTTCTGGCTGCTTGTGTTCGCACTGGTCGAGCCCCCTAAAATATTTAATCAGTTTGAATGAATTAGTGAATATTTCGTCTTTACAGAGAATCATAATAATAAATTACCACCTCTATTGTCAGTTTCAATATTAACGGAGTAAAATGTTGGTGGATAAAATCAGATGGAGTACAATTTGGTAGTTTCTCCAATTGCTCTAAGAAGGACCTCTTTCTACGCCAATTGTGATATTTAAATATCTCTGTTTGGCACTTCACTAGAGCTCTGCCCATGTCTATAGTGGTCTGAGTGGTTTGTTCTTTCGACAGAAATCCAGCATTAGCCAGAAAAGTAAAGGTATTACCGATATTAGGAATTAAAACGTCTAGTACTTCTTCAGAATCGTCTCTAATTAGTTTCAGGATATCAGGTATTATAACTTGTGATCCTGCACCTACAACAATGTTTTTATATGAAATGGTTACTCAATTTTACTGAACAAATACTGACCCAGTGCTTTAGTGATCTCAAAGATATTTTCAGCCACAGTTTTCCTTACGATAAAGCACGGATCAGCGGCTAGTTCTTCAAATGCATGGTACAATTTATCCTTCTCGTTTGGTACGACGCTAAGTACAAAAAAAGCGACATTAGCAAGATTAGCTGCGCAGTGAACTCGACAATTAATCGACTGAAATTATAAAATTAACAATAAAATCGACTAAAAAATCAATTGATAATCTACCAGTGGTTCGCTTTCGAAATCCTCGTGTACTAACACTAATCCTTTCCTCGATAGTTCCACAAATTGATTGATAAACCACAAACCGTCCTCTTCGTTCAGATGATGCTGAAGGAAAGTCAACATTTTACCATAATTCTTTGCTACATCAGCAAAGGTCATGTCGCCTTCACTTAAACTATTAAGGCACAGTCGTTTTACTAGGGGAACAGCAGCAGTATTTACAGCTTCTGCAATTTAACGTAATTTCATGTATAGTAAATACAATTGATTTATCAGCAAATACCTTGACTTAAATAAGGAATTAGTGCTACAGCAACATTCACAGCCGCTGCCCTTACTTGCACGTTTTCATCATTTGATAACTCGACAAGACAGGTCAATAAGCTCGCTTCTACGTTCTTCTCGTTCGCTAAACCTTTGGCAACATTGCACAATTCTGAGCACATTGCGGCTCTAACTTCATATAAGCAATCCTGACAGAGACTTTGGGTCACAGGAACTATTTCTTTTTTAACGCTACAATCATAGTATCGAAGAAATTAAGCTGAATCGAGGCGCAATGATTAGAAAAAGCTTACTCAAATGTAGATACTTGAGGATGTATAGCAATTTTTCCTATCATTCTGCAGCTGTTCACTCTGGCAGTAACAGGTTTATTCAATTGTGATTGTTTTATAGCAAATGGCAGCACCTAAAATATCAAACAAAACATATTTGGTTAAACAAGCAACGATAAACTGATGCATTTACTTCGTTTTTTACAGCCGCTTCCGATAAAAAAGTAATTGTTTCTACAAGTGTTTCGTTCCAAGCGCCCGCTACAATTGGATCTTTACTTTCAATGCCTTGCAATACTATTTTTAACAAATTAATATCCAGCTTCATTTCTATAAGTACTTTATAAATTTTGCTTGTGATCAAGTGAAATTCTATCGAGGATGTCATAGGCAGCTCTTGTTGTATTTTTGGTATAATTCGGGTCAGAGTTCCGTTGTAATCATCATTTAGCAGGTTTGGAAGATTTTGGATCACACTAAGTTTTTGTACAACATCTCCTTTCCTATTAAAAGAAATAATTAAACCAAAATAATATTAGACTAAATTAAAAATGTACATGTATAAATTGTGCCACTGTTCGGATTGTGATGGTATAGGTGCCATTGAAGGATTCATGTTTTTAGAGGGTATTTTGTTTTCAAATATATTGCATTGTAATCAAAATAATTTAAAAAAGTAATGTTAAGGTTGCAAATTACATTATTTTCTACATTTTTAAAAATTCATTGTTTGTTTATATTTTTTATAGTATTCGTTCTGTTGGTAAGAAGAGTATGTCAATGTCATTTGTCAATAACCATTTATACTAGTACCAACCTAAATAAATTTTGTACTTACGATAAAATGTACAAACTCCTCTCTATGGGTTTATTTTCAAATGACGGATCGATAGAATGTTTTTGAATTTGTAGGGGAGTCTAAAAATTAAAAACACAGCTTATTTTGTCGGCAGATATTTTCTATAAATGTGTACTTTCCCACTCCCGGGCCGATCGAGTTGTAAACTTTCAAATTCTTCATCGATTAGTTTTTTACTCATTGAATAAAATCAATTTTTTCTTCTATAAAACAGGATTTAAATTTGAAAATTCGATTCGTTAATTTGAAGTGAGTCAAATGAAACTGACAAAATATTCTCAAACAAAAGAACGTATTTGAAATTGTCAATGTCAGTTGTCATGTCACATGTCAGCGTCATCTGTCGCGTTAGATCTAGATGTCTCTGATTGTCAAGTCAAAAAGTGTACATAAAAATATAGGCTGTTTTGATTTGAATTTTTTAGATAATTTAGTATCTAAAAATGGAGGAGAGATCAAATATATTGAAGCAAATGAAAGTTTGCAGATTTTGTCTAACTGACGATGAAAATTGCTTGACAAATATCCACGATAAACTTACCAAAGGCTCAGACGTAAGCGTTCCACTACCGTCTCTTACTCTTCAAATAATGGCTTGCACTGCCATAGAGGTGATAAAGAATGATAACATGCCTCAGTTCATATGCAATACATGCCGTAATTTGACCAGCCAAGCTTACATATTCAAAGCAAATTGCAAAAAGGTCGATGATGCGTTGAAGTTGTTCCTTGTGACTGGCCAGCTTACGAAGCCAAACATGCAAAACGTTGTTCAAATTAAAGTGAAACCAGCCGAGTACAAGGTAATCAAAATAGTGCAAGAAGAAGACGAAGAAATCGGAAAGGTTGCCGATAATCAGATCACAGATGAAACTCCAATGGAATTTGAGGACATCGAAACCAACGACAGCGAAATTGCAACAAACAAAACAACAGTAACCCAAGTCAAAACCGAATGCTACCCGTGTACAGAACCTTCATGCAATCGAACGTTCGCTTTAAAACAACTCCTCGATATTCACATGAAAAATCATTCTCGGGAGAGGAAATTCGAGTGCGACGAGTGCGAAAGCAAATTCTTCACCAAATACGAACTCCAAAAGCACGTACTTACTCACAACGCGAGCAAGGAGTACCAATGCGTCGTGTGCGACAAATCCTTCCTGCGGGAATCCATGTTAAGGAGGCACGAGAAAACCCACATCGACGCGCCAAAATACGTTTGTTTAGAATGCGACAAGACCTTCCTAACTAAAGACTATTTAGAGCTTCACTTGCAAAAACACAAAAAAGAGAAACCTTTCACATGCCAAATATGCAGCAAAAGTTTCGTCTTCAAACAGGCAAGTAACTATAATAACTCCCTAATTACTAGTATTCCTAATTAATATTCATTGTAGGGATTGGAGCGCCACCAACAAGTACACAGCGAGAACAAGCCTTTCAAATGCAATTACTGCGAGGAGAGCTTCAATTCAGCCATCAAACTCACCAGGCACATTACGACCCACGCCGGACTACGTCCGTATCCCTGCAAACTCTGCAAACGAACCTTCCTGCTCAGCCACCATTTAACGAGGCACATGCGCAATCACTACACCGCAAAAACCTCCTGGGACCACTTGGGCCAGCACAAGTGCGACATATGCAGCATGTCGTTCAAGAAGAAGGAGTCGCTGGTTAATCACAGCGCTATACACTCGATGGTTAATTTGAAATGCGTGATTTGCAACATGAAATTCGAATCGGCCGATTTGGTGAAGGAGCACATCACGACGCATTTGTCGGGCCTGCCCCATCCCTGCGACAAGTGCGATTACAGCTTTGAAACAGCCGAGCAATTGGAGGAGCACGAGCTGAAGCACGCCGAAATGGAGTACGAGGAGCAGATCGAAAAGGAGGTGTTGTCGGAGAGCATCCAGCAAATGGGCGCTGAAGGTCAAAATTCAGAAGAAGACGAGGAGTTCTTGGAAGAAGAGGGAGAAGTGGGAGAATACACCATAGAGGATATTAACAATCCCAATTCGAGAATAAGATGTAAGTTACAATCACACCTCGGTTTTTAAGCATTATCGTTGGTTTTTTTTTAGCAATACAAGAGCCTGATAACGATATTAAAACGGAAATTCACGATTTAGAATTCTTGAGACCGGATTTCGATAATGAGCTGGAACAAACCGTAGAATCCTCAACGCAAGCTGTGGAAGAAATCGAAGAGCAAGACGAGGAAGAGGAGGCTCAAGAGGAATCGATCAAGCCCATCATTCGTGTTGAAGGCACTAAAATGTACGAAAGAAAAAACGCCCCTACGAAAATCCACAGCGCCCCTACAAGGTTTGTTTTCTACCATTTAAAAAAAACAACCGTGTAATAAGAGTATTATTTTTAGATTCGGTTCTATCGACAACCCAGCAGATCAACTACAATCTACGTTAGCTTCTATTAATAACGATGCGACGAGTTCAGTTAGCAGAAAGGTGGGAGATAGGGTAGTAAAAGTTAAAAAATTCATACTTACTAAAGACGAAATGAAAGCCATGGCCAAGCAGGGGATTATAGAGGTGAAAAACGGCCAAGTCGTTCTGAAAAGTGGAGGACAACAAATTTTAAATGCCACGTTGAAGCCCATACAAAAGAATGAAATCGATTCTTTATTGGATAAACGACAGAGCGCTGGTAATAAGTTACAAGTCAAAACGTATAAGAAGAATTTACCTCAGCAGGATTCATAAATTCAGGCATTTTTTTAGAATAAGTGGTCATTATTTTGAAACTTTATCTATTGTAGGCGCGCGAGCGCTGCAAATTCCATTGCAAATTTTATTTCTATGATTATAGAATGTTTTACATTTTTTTTCTAATTTATTTAGGATTACGTTTATAGAAGAACATAAGTAGTAGCTAGTATATTATTAATGTTTAGATTAATTAAAACTTTTTTTTGTGTAGTTTTTTTTATTTTTTTATGCTTCTTCCCTTTATTTGAAGAGTATTTTCTGAAGTTGACCAATGGGATTTGGGTATTTTTAAAAAAATTTCAAATGTCATTTTTTGACAGTTGCTCACCTTCACCCAATGTGAACCATAGAGCTTATTGAAAAGCTCTAAATTGAGTAAATTATTGCAAATATTTATTTGCTGTTAATAAAATTAATAAAAACGTTTACAATCCTAAATCATTGGATATTACACAGCAATGCGACGCCGCGCAGGGCCCAATGCTCGGGAGGCTTTATCGTTGACAAGTAAAGCGTGGTGATGTAGTTTAATCCAGTTCTCCTTGATTTCTTGTAAACGGGACACTAAAATAATTCACAATTTCGCATGAATTTTTGCGCCTCGCGTAATTATTGACAATCAACTTACCACATAGTATTTACTCGATTTCACTTCGTAATTGTAAAGGGCGTACACGTGAACGACAGGTATCAACGTGTACAAAACCTTGTTAATGGCTTCGGTAAGTTTGGCGCCTCTCCTATCCCATCCGGCACCGTCCAGGAATAAACCGTGGATAAAAACTCCTTCCTACCAAGTAAAAGAAAGCGGTTATTATAATTTCTACTCGACGAGTTAAGTTCTTACAGTTGGTCCTTCCATCACTTCATCAAGGAACATTTTAGTAACGTCGTTAAATAATTTGACATTATCTAAAGCCCATCCTTTATGCGACCTGGCCACTTCTTGTTTCATTGCAGTCAAGAATCCTAAAGTATAGTTTTGATTAAGCTTTAAATATGGATTAAATACTCGATGTACCTTGCGGGTTAAAGAAACCCGCTATCCAGAAAACTAAAGGTCTCCCGTTAAACGTCCAGTTTCTAAATTGATCGTCTCTCTCCACCAATTCGGTAAACCAAAATCCTAGGGAGTTTGATAACCAAGATGGACGCAACCACAGTTGTGGTACTTTGGCGTCGTAAATCATGTTCAAAGCGCCTTCTAGAGTCTACAATCAATTGTAAATGTTTTACCAAACAGTTTGTGGTACTGCATGTTTGTTCATGTACCTCGCTCATAATAATTGTCCCCTCTATAGCAAGTAGCAAGTCTTTTAGAGTAGATCTAACGAGCGATATGACTTTTTGCATTCTATCAAGCTCCTGCCTTAAGAATATATTTAGGGAGCTTAAGTGGCCCATTATTTTCAATCTAAAGGTTTAACGATATTTTTAGTGCAATAAATTAGAGGAATATGTTATTTTCGATAGTACCTCTCTTTTACTTCGAACGGATCGTAATTAGGCGGAACTTTACCAAGCATATCCTTTGCTAATCGACCAACCACAGTTTCTCGAGATTCTTCAGTACTGCTTCCAGATTCTTTAGGTTGAATAGCCAATATTTGGTCGAGCATGGCAATTATCGTATTCGTCTGATATCTGTGAAAAAAATTTATCAATCCAAACTTTTGGAGCATCAGTAATCTTACGTGATGTCGGCATTAGAATGCAATCCGTATGCTTGCGGCGGATCCGTAGCCGGAAAATTGGCAATGTGATCCACGTAATCGGAAGTTTGTTTGAATTTGATTATTTTATATCCTGTATAGAAGTTAAATTCGTCGGAGTAAACTCCTTCGTTGAACCACACTTTGCAGAAAGTGTTCAGTAATCTCTTGTCGAAATCGTCAGTCACTCTGCCTCCGTAGTGAACTTCTCCCAACATGTACCTAGGAAATATAAATGTAGTAGTAAATTATGGATTGTGTAAACATATCGCACACCTCAAAGTTGGCCAACTAATTCCTCTTTTCGGGTCTAAATCGTCCAAATGATTTTGAAGAAATAACACGCTTGACAACCAATCGGCCGAATTGAATTCGTAGGGAATGTTCCAACCCAAAGGTCCAAATTTTCTTCTCTCTTGCACTACGGTATGCAAGAAAGATATAGCGTAAACCAGGGGTATGTATTGCCAGGCGTCGGAATAGTCAAGTAAATCCTAATAAAAAAACAGCGATAATTTATATATCTTATATTGCTTTCTGGTTATTACCTGATTCATTGAACTGTAAGTTCGCAATAATCCAGCCCGGATGCCTTGCGGGGCTTCGTTGGTGAATTTGATGCTGATTTGCAGCAATGTCAATGGAAAGTCATCGTGCGGTTCGGTGGTAATCCACAATCGAAAATCTGGATTGAATTCGACGGTTCCTTTATCCAATTCGAGCAGCTCCCCCAAAATTTCATTCATGTAGTCCAACGACAGATGGCAATTCTGAAGCAGCGCCCAATAGCCCTCGTTCAGAGCGCCTTCAATCAGCTTCCTCGCGTGGACCTCCTGACCTTGTCCCATCGATATGCTCTTCAGGGGGGTTTCCAGTTTCTTAGCCAGCTGTTCGATGAACGGCGTCGGGTCCGATCCAATACTCAGGAAGCATATGATGGGAGTCAGAGCTCGCGATTCGTAATAAATTACTTCCAAGTTGAGAACAACAGGCTCGGCGAATCTCTGGCCCAGCGAGGAAGAAACGTATTTTCGACTTTGGATGACCGTCCGGTCGGGACACCATGCTCTATAATATAATCGTTCGTATGTGATCCTTAACGTTAATTAATTTAATTACCTTATCAGTAGTAATTTTCTAAAAGTATCGAGAGTATGGTAACCATCTGGTATCATTGATTCTTCGGGCGCGTCCTTATCGAACCACTCTTTCCATTTTCTGTCGTTGTTGGTCACCTGAATTGAGCAGGAACTTCGCAATTTGCAAAACTTAAATTGTGATATTTTATATTATACCTGTGTTACAATATATTGAAAATGCCTCAAGCTGGATATAGCCACTACATTCAACCATGTAGAATCCGTTATCCACTTGGCGGGTTTCGGTGGGCAAGCGTTCAAATCCAAGGCCGCTCCACCTTTGATGAAGTTCTGGAACTCTTCGTGACCGATCGCCTCTCTTTCCAGATCTATTCTGAGGCACATCAGCAATACGAACATGTACTTGTGCTCTTCGTACACTCCTCTTACTGTATATTTGAATATTTCGTACGTTAAGTAATCGATGATGTTTTGTAAACGCCTAAAAAGTGTTTTAAAATCCATATATCCGAACAAAATCCATATAAAAAATGTAGAAACATACCTCGCAATAATGGGAGATTTGTCCGATTTGAGCAAGGAAATATCGAATCTCTCTAAAAATTGACCTAGAGAAGTTTGGTACATAAAATTAACCAAAGACATCGAGACGATTAAGAAATACAAGACGCTTCCTCTGTTTGCTATCGGTCTGAATTCCTCTCTAGCTAAATTAATTTTAATTTCGGTATCTTTCGCTACGATCAGCTTCTCCTTCACCTCGTTAGCAGTACTTTTGGTTACGTTCAACACAATAATGACGGATTCGTCGTCGAGCAAAGAACCCTTAGTCGTCGTCAGCTTGTACAACAAGTTCTGTTCGAGTTCCTGCATTTTCCTTTTATTCGCCGTCACTTCCTTCAGCAGGTTCGTCTTCTCTTGTTCCAGCTCCTTCTTCTCCATCAAAATCACTCTGCCCAACAACTGGTCTTCCAAGCCCTTCATCGTGACGGTGAAATCAATTATGGACGCTCTAGCGAACACTTCGGGCGTATACTTCGGATTGGCCAGTTTGGTTGTTATGTACAGTTTGAATTTGTCGTTGAAATCGACTTCTTTGTCGCCCACTTTCACCTTCAGCGTCGAACCGACTTTGACTAGGTTCTTCTCCATTATGTCGTTTAATATGGGATCGATTTCCTCGCCGACGTCTTCGAGCAACATCGGGTATCCCAACGATATCGAATCTTCCAAGAAATTCCTATACAACAACAAAAAATAGAAGTATTAAGTGTTTATTGTGCATTTACACACCTGAAATATTTGTTCGTAAGCGTTGTAACTATTAGATTGTTCGTTTTTTCTTTCTCCTTGATCCATATTTTGCCTTGGGTTTGTGGATCTATTAGGAGAGGGAATCTCGACGCTGTCGTTACGATAATTCCGTTTTGTATCGATAGATCGTCTGTTGGTAATCCTTGGAGATTCCACTCTCCAATCTGAAACGATACAATTCAATATAAGTAACATTTATTAGCGAAATTCCGTACTTACCGTAGCAGAATCGGTTAAGCTCTCAATGATATTCAGGCTAAGTGTTAGGGGTATTTTCCGCCTAGTTAAAGCGTCAATCCACGATTGCTGCATCAACGCTCTGAATTCCTGGTTAAACGGACCGGTGTAACCCAAAAACCCGGTCAATAAAATAACATCGCCGACCAATCTTTCGGTTTCGGCTTTGAACAGGGCCAATTGCTCCGTCCATCGCACCTTTTCGCCGGACAAACCGTTTATCAGAGCTGTAGCGGCGTCCATCTTAAATTTCACCTTCGCCGCTTCATCGTATATTCGCTTTTTCGCAGAAAAATTTAATTAGGTATAATTTTGAAGCAAAATGTTGTAGAAAATAATACCTGTTTGAATGCTATAGCACCTTCGTACTTGTCTTGACATGCTTGTACTTCTTTTTCTTTGGCTAACAGCAGCGCCATGGCAGCGTTTAGCTCGTTTTGAGCTTTCTCCAGTTTGCCTTGTTGAATAGCCAAGTTTGCCTTGTTTAAAAATGTGCAATTAAATAAATATATTGGAGAGCTTCTATGATACTTACCTTGAGAGGTAGTACATCTTTATTAACGTCGTAGAACGATGACATAGCAATTGTCCAGGATATCAAACCTGCTACATTACCGCAAGCAGTTTTGGCGTTTTCGTAAGTATACACTGAGTTAGTGAAGTAAGGCACAAGCAAATCGATGATTTCGGCGTTAATGGTGTCTTTAGGGTATTGTTGAAGGTTTTTCAGGAAACCAGTTTCAGACATGACCTGGAAAATAAACCGTTTGCAGATTCTTTCATTTTGCAATTTGCAAACTTTACTTTTAACGATTCGCTCCACGTTGCCGTGAGGAACATTTTATCGTAATCCGGCTTGACGGGATCCAAGTGTCTTTTGAAATATATCAGTACGCAGTCCATGATAAGCAAAATTAGATAAGGAGGTTTTCCCAATTTTCTCACAGTCGCTATATCAGCCGCTTTAATAGTCTAAACAACATAAATTATCAACTCAAAATGTGCATTAAATTATATTACGAGTAGTTCACCTGTAATGCCGCCTCAGCTGCATCCAAAGCGGGTTTGGCGTCCAACAACTTAGCCTCAGCCTCCTTTTGATCTATACTAATTTGTGCTACCAGAGTCTCGGCTCTTTCCTTCACTATCAAGGCCTCTTCCTTGATTTTGTTGGCCATCTCGGAGGCTTGCAACACGGACGTCAAGACACCTTCGGCTATCTTCGTAGCTTTCACCATGTCCACCTCTTTAACGGCCAGATCTTTGCGCAGCACGTCCACGCTAACAGCCGCTTCCACCAATTTGGATAAGCCGGTTCTCATTCGGTGAGCCAGTACCGCGATATCGTCCACTTTTGTCTGATATATTCCTTTGTATTCGCCCACAAACGATATAAACGTTTTGGGAGTAACGTAAGTTCTTCTCCGGAACCTACACCAATACAAAAATGAATAAAAATAATAATGTATTTAGAAATTGTTTGTAACCTGTTGAAGTATTGGTCGCAAAAATCGTTGACGTTATCGTGAAGTTCGGACATCATGAAGATTAGTTCGGCTTTAATTTCCGGCGTCGAGACAATGGCGTATTCCTCCATGAAGTGCCAAGCTACTTCGATTAGAGCGTCCAGCGGCCATTTGCTGAACCAGTCGATCGTGCAGCCGGCCGTAAGAGCGGGGAACTTGAGCGATCTTTTCCTGAACTTCTCGCCCACCTAAAATCAACGAATTTCGGTTAGAACAAACGTTTCTACGAGACGAACATGGAGCGTACTGGCGAGAAACACAACACCACGTGTATATTAGATTTCGCCCTGGTGATAAAGAAATCGTATAAATTGTCATTTGTCGGTATTCGCTTCGGGTCTTTCTTCTTCATGACCGGTATCAAATAGTTTTGGATTTCGTCCAATTCGTCTTTCGGAAATAGATTGGCTATTTCTCCGGAGCTCAGAATGTTATTCAAGCTTTCCAAAAAGGTCTCTTCCTTAATTTCGTTGTCGGTGAAAATGAAGGAAACGCCCGTGCCAATCATACCTCCTCGACGATACAGAAATTTCATGTCATCCATAAGATTACCCATATTGTAAGATCTAAAATAGCGATTATAACAAGGTTAAAAGTTACGACAATGATTTATATTTTTACCTAGTTAATACAATTTGGAAAGCTTCGTAGTTTGCTATAAAAGTGGCAAGTCTAGTCAAACTTTGTTTTCCCGACCCACCGACGCCGACCAAAAGGGCATTTCCTCGCGGCATTCTAATTATCCTGGAGATAATCAAAAGGTGGATCAAAGCGTCTCTAAAGAACACCAAATCCATATTCCTTCCGGACACTTCAATGTTGTACGTCTCCATGAAGTCAAGCAGCTTTCCTTTGAGATAATCGAAGTCCAATACCTCTTCGTAAATTTTCGGAGCGCTAAAATCGAAATCGTCGGGCTCGTCTCCGGTGGCTTCTGGGGGTTCCCTGAAAAAGTCCGCCCACCAGGAGTCGTCGTTCAAGTAATATTCGTAATCCTCTTCGAGCTCGGCTTCGGCCTGCTTCCTCAACAGTTCGCAGAACCAAATACGCTCCGAAAAATCGGTAAAACTGCGGTATAATCACAGAGTCACAATAGATGTATAAGTATCGAGTATTGATTTTTTTACCGATCGGAAATTACTCGGCAACATTCGTGTCTCCACAATTTCAAAATTTTCGATTTAGTACTGCATTCAGCTTTCTGCACTATTAGGATTCCTTGCCATATTCTGGATAAATCGCGGAGATTGAAGACGTAGTGGAATTTCGACGGTGTGGGTAACATTTTCTTTTTAGTAGCTTCCCATATGTGCCTGGTCATCGGTATGATTTTAGGCAGAAACTCCGCCAGTTCTCTATTGAATCGCTCTTCGCAGAAGTAGCCGCAAGCTATTTGGCCTAAATTGAGCGATTTGTTAAATACAATTTAATAAATTCTATATAGAACTTACTAAAGATGACGTCCATAGCCGCTTGACTGGGAATAGTACAGTTGAAGGTGTTAAATTGCCTCTTCAGTCTGTGAGGTATATCATTTCTACCTCCACCTGGATGAATCATGGCAGCCAAAAAACGTACATCGACTATGTACGAAAAATCGCCAGGTTTATCCAAATTGTAGAAACCTAATATATTTATATTATTGTTTTAAAACTATTCCATAGTTATAATGTAATTACCTCCGGCTTCTATGCATTGCCTCACGATTTCGTTAGTGATCTGATCACCCCAATCGTTAATGATCGGCATGCTGATATCATCGATGAATATGGTTAAAATTTTCCCAGCTGGAGGGCCGTAAGTCGAGCCTACTCTTTTGTCAACGTACGATTCTATAATTCTCTAAAACGTACAATCAAGAAGTGTAATCGTCTTGCGAATATTGAGAAACAATGAACATATTACCTGGACCATATTGGGCGTGGTGGCGGAAGAAAAACTAAAGGATTTGTATAGCTGATATTCCGGATTAAAACTCTGACAGAACCCTTTGATCATGACGGTTTTAGCGGTACCCGGCTCTCCTAAAATTCTTATTTTAAATTCCGCTAGTGCTAGTCGCATTATTTATTACCTATTAGAAGAACTGCTTTTCCTTGGTTCGCTATGATCGTGATCAAAAATGTAGTCCTCACGTTATCGACGTTAGGCACTAAAATACTGGTATAGTCTAGAACCTGGTCCACTGGGTACTCGAACGCTTCAACCCTAAAAGTCGTGTATTAACCGCTATGTAAGAGGTATTATACTCTGGTGATTTACCTTGCATTCCAATGTTCCCATTTGCCTGTATCCGGATTGACCAAATATTCGAATATACTTTCGTGACTCAAGCACTTCGGCCAATCCATTTTCGGCAAACCTTTCAGTACGCCCTCCTCGAATTTCTGCCTATCGTCCAACTCGAGAAGCGCCCCCAGAGACCACATTATAGAAAAGAGCACCATGCGTTCTACTTGTTTCTCCGTCCAAGCCTCTGCATATAATCAATAATTAGAATAATCAATCGAATCACTAGAAGTAACAGCGTACTCGGTTCGTTGAAAATATCCAAAATTCCTTGAAGTACATCGTAGCACTGGCGAATGTAAACAGCCGGTCTTATGAACATCTTCGGTTTAAGTTTCGTAATGACTAGATTTTCAATGAAATCGTAGCACTTTCTGAATTGGTTTCTCGTGTAATCTGCCTCCGGGCTCGGTCTGGTCTTCAGCCAAGCTTCGAGGATCGGCGACCAAGGAAGCACCGAAGAACTCATGAACACCATGCCCATTCGAGAGACCGTCGCCGGGCTCGCGTTGTCGACATTATCAGGCTCGAAGACGAGCTTACAATTATTCGCCATTACAATACGATCGCCGTTAGCTAGCGTTAAAGTTTTATTGTCGTCCAAGACGGAGTTTAGATTTTCGATCCATACCGCGTCTACCGGTCCGTCTAGTATTAGCCTGTAAAATTGCTGTAGAAGAATTTGTGGTTTTCGAAAAGGATTCCGTGTTACCAGCAGTATTCGTTTGCTTTGAATTTCAGCGTTCTTCTCCATAGCGTGGAAAATATCCCGTCGGTCCAATCGTTGGTGGCTACATCTAGTCTACCAAACATTTGCGGAGCCGTAATAGCCTACAATTTCTCTACAGTTTAAATTGTAAATTTTATATTGTTAATTTCTTACCTTCGGATTCATACGAATCTCTTTGTGAGGGAGACCGTTTTCCGTCATAGATTTCATCAAGCATATCATGCACTGCGTTTTTCCGGCTCCAGTGGGACCTAAGTAAACGCGAAATTAATGTTCGAAGCGCAAGAAAGTCGTACAATTTTCGTACCCATCACCATCAAACCGTGCCTCACGAGCTCGGTTTCATAGAGCTGCACCACCTTCAAATTCCAAGCAGGATGGTTAACCAAACCCATTTCGACGACGACTTTAGTTATGGCCCTTTGCAGATCCTTCCATATTTTCGGGATGATTTTTACGCCGGGGAACATGTCGTCGATCAACGACAAAAACAGCGGCTCATCTTCGTCGATTAGTTTACTCAAATTCATGTCTCTGGGAATGTATAAACGTTTATTCAAAAAGAATATTTTGTACTTTATAATGTACCTTAGTACTCTCATAACGACAACTTCTTCGGTTTCGCTGGGATTCGCTCGTTTTTGCGCACCGAGCGTCCTGAGTACGGACAAAATGTTTCTAAGACCAAAATCGTAATGCACCTGAAAATCGAGCGATCTCAAATGCAACTTTATCTATTTTCAACAAATCCTTTACCTGTGAAGAAAGTTGTTCCTCGCACAACTGGTATAATGTGTAGAATTTCTTCGATAGATGAACGTTGTCTTTAAAACCGCAAGAGGCCAGTTTCACACGAATGATGATCTGCCTGTCGGGCACCATCATCGCTACGCTCCTGAACATGATTTTCAAATTCTCCGGCAATTCTTGTCGACCGGCGTAACCGGGATTCATCGTTAAGAAAATGCCGAATTCGATGTTCATCGACACGTCGTCTCCGTCCCTTTTATAAATATTATTAAAATATACAATTCAACGACAAAACCGCTTTACTTACAAAAAGAGAAACGAGGGTTTTCTTTCTTTTCTGGCCAATAGCACGATATAAATTTGTTGGGCCGCTACGGATAACACGGGTAATTCAATTCGGTTGAACTCGTCGAAACATCCCCAAGTTCCAGACTGAGCTAACCCCTGAAATTAATTATTTTTAATACTTTATCGCAGAGTTAATCAATTTCTAACTTTGTATATTCTTCCTAAACCACGAAAATCCATCTGATCCGAGCAATTGAACACCACGACGTATTTACCCAGAGTCCTTCCCATATCTTTAGTGGTTTCGGTTTTGCCGGTTCCTGCAGGACCGGCGGGAGCGCCTCCCATATTTATCCCTAAAAAATTGCGTTCTTAATGCCTGGCTAATGATAAAATAAGGATACTTACAAATCGCTTGAGATAAGGTAATGTAACATCTATCAGTCAATGGAGTTATGGCTAATCTTTCGGTAATTCCTAGATATTCGTTTTGGTAGAAAAATATTACATCGGTGATTCTCACCTCGCTGTCGTCGGTCTCTTCGGAATAGTACACCCTAGTTTGCGCTTGCCATTCGAAGTCTAGTAGATCTTTGATTCTCAGTTTGCACATGGTGTCGAAAATGTCTCTGAAAGTATCCAGAATTGTGGAAGAATTGTAAATTTGTACGTATAAAAATCGCACCTTTGGTGTACGTGAATCGTTACCATAGTTTCGTACTGAGTTCTTTGCAATTTCGATATGTCTTTCGATGTTAGGTCGATCAAATCGTTGAGAATATCTAAGAATTTCTCGTTGGCGATTCTCATCGCGTTTCTATCAACCTTCGCCTTTTTGATGGCTTCCTCAGAGTCTTTGGTCCACAACACTTGCATTCCCATAAGACTCGCCTACAATTATGCTTTACTAACGTGTAATTATTAAAAATTGCGACTTACTTGTCCGCAAAATTGCATGAATCCACCGATAAAGTCGTAATCGGGATCTTTGAAACATTGACATTGTATAGCAATGACAGTTTTTACGGTTTCTTTGACCATTGCCAATAGGCTACCCAACCATTTTTCGACGCCACCGGTACATTGTACAGGCTTGTCCAGCGGTACCACTTCACCATTAGCGGATCTCATGGCAATTATCGAATCGGGCTTCTTAGGATCAAAGTCTACCTAAAACCAACCACCATTTTGTTAATTTAGTAAATTTGTACATTACTGTGTGTTCGTACTTTGAAAACAGCATCGAACAAATTCTCCAACTGCGATTGAATGGAGCTCGGATCCGAAGCTTGACCCAATATTTCCAACAGCACTGGATCCGAGATAAAGAAAAATCTCGGAAAGCACAATCGTTTGGTTTCTAAAAATTTCATTTTCAAAAAAAATTAGAATAGAATAATAATGCATACCCAAATAGCTAGTTAAACTCTTTTGACAAGTCTCTAATTGTTCGAGTAAATGTGGCAAGAGTTGGCCCATCGTTTCGTCTCCCATACAGCATTGCACGACGTTGGGCTTTTCGCGAGCTTTCGCCATCACTTTCACCCAAGCTTTGTCGATATTCTAAAAATAATCGATTTAAATCAACGATATCTAGTTGTAGATTTGTAAATTTACGCTAAAACGTTTCGCTTCTACAGGCATTTGCTTGGCAATGTCCCCGCCGACAAACACGGCTTCTAAGTATATCCACAAATTTTGAACAGACAACCATTTGTCCAATATCTCGTAGGTGTTCACCAACAAATGCACCCATAGGACAATTTCCTTTTTAAAAGGCGCGTTGTACCTATAAGAACAATTAAATTTCCACACACCAACAGCATTTATTACACCTACCTGTTGCTCAGCAAAAAGTTCAAAACCATCAAACTGTCTTCCAGCAGGGTAATAATCTCGCCGACATCACCGGCCCTCAGCAGGAGTTCGCCTCTCGTTTTGAACGTGGTGAAAGTCAGGTCGATCACGGCCCAATCGGTTTGCACTTGCTTCAATTTCATCTCGATATCCTTCTCTTTGACGGCGCTAATGCATATGTCTTCGACGTCGTCCTTGTAGTCCAGCAGCGGCGCGTCCATCACGTTCTTTAACGTGAAGTTGGGATTCTCCACGTCGAAGAAGTAGCCGGTGAGGTCGTTGAGCCGTTTCCAATGTCTATCTTTCATGGCCTTAAAAATTGGTTTGTTATTTTACTGTAAAAGATTGTTAGTATTTAATGGTATTTACTTTGTTAGCCATTAGCTCCAATAATGGGCAAGTCTCGTTGAAATCGTCAATTTTCTGTTTTAATTCTAGATAGGCCGGCCAATCTTTCATACCTTTGGGTAATTTTCGGCACCTGCATCATAGTTTTTATAAAATTACTCTTTGTGTATATTATGAGGAGAAAAATAATTAAATACCTATTTTGGAATTCTTTCAATTCTTCGAAGATAGCTTCGATATCCACATCACACCAGGGTATATCGAAATAACCATCAATACTGCGATTTACAGCAAGGTACAATCCATACAATTTGTTTAGTAGATTAAATTCCTTCTTTCTCTTATTCAAAATCTGAAGAAATAATAATTAGTATCGATTAGTATCGATAGGAAGAAATTTACCGGATAATCTTCAACTTCCAAACCAAACAATTTTTGACCGCTACTGAATATCTCCAATTTCGAACAGAGATCATCGAATCGATCTTGGAAGAACAACACCCTATCACTGGCTTCTCTCGCAGTCAACCCAGGCACCATGGGGCCCCTTTCTTCGAAATCGATATCGAACTTAATGACTTCTTCTTTAAATTTAGTTACTCCTTTAGTCAATTCCTCGAGAAGAACACCTTGGATGTTGTATATCTCTTCTTGCACTTGTTTCGACTGTATACACATGTTAGATGCTTGTATAGAGTTCAATTTGAACGTTGTATACTCACGTGATTGATCATATTCGTGAAATTAAGCCTCAATGATTCGACTTGATCGATGTCTTCTTTGGAAATATCGATTTGATTGCCGATAAATATCGCATAGGCTTCTTCGATAACCACCAATCCCATGTCCATTTCGATAAAGTGCTCTCTGATTACTTCCAAGCACTTCATGCCGATTCTACAATCGTCCAAATCTCTAATCGTCTTGCTCAACGTCTTTTCTTGCATCTTTATGAAAGTAACCATTTCGTTGAGTTTGTCTTTGTAATTCGTTATCAATTTCCGTCCTAAAATGTGCTTCCACGTCTCGGATTCCACCAATATGCCCAATTTAAACGATTCTAAAAGAGACATGTTTTTATACGATTATCAAGGTTGTTATCTAATTAGTTACCCAACATAATTTTTATTGGACCAACGGTAACGAATTCAGGTAGGTGTCTTATTCGCTCCGACGTTTTGGCGTATTCCTGAAATTTCTCGGATATCTGAACAATTAGAGGATCCGTGTCGCAGAAACTTTGCACTTGGTCTTCTCGGTCTTCGGCCCATAGGAAATCCCATTCCAAGAATTTCTGATTAAAAAAACAGAATGAAAGCTCGATTCGTGTTAACACTATTGTTTTACCTTCAACACAGCTTCAATGTCGTCGTTTAGAAAATTTATCACTCCGTTAAGACTCATGTTTACTCTAATTATGTCTTTGTTTTCGGTGACTAGTTTGTGGTAATTGTTAACTTTGACTTCTTCTTCGACTGGATAAAATGGTAAAGTGAGAAATGTTTCGAAGGAGGGTTGTATTTTTTTACCTTTTTTAGTCTGTTTTATGACAGACTTTTTGACGTGGCCCCACAAAGTGATGTATTGGTGAGTCTCCAAGACAGCGCTCAAAGTTCTACTAAAAGCTGCTTGCATTTCTTCCAACGTAGGGTTAATGCTATTCGTGGGTATTTGCAAAATCATATGGGTCACCATTATAGGATTGTAATCCTCGGCGCTGAAAGATAATCGTGTTTATACAAAATTATAATTAAGTATGGTAAGTTCTACTTTAGAACCCTCTTTTTTATATTCTCCAACGAAAGTTTGGTGCACTTCACCAGAGTATCGATGAATTTCCAGTTGAAATAGGCGAACATTTCGATGCAATTCGTGTGAATGACAGACAAGCTTTCCGTATCGTTCCTGTCTATTTCCTTGAATGCTAAAAATTGGAAAATTTTACGCTGGAAAATTTATTCATCGCGCTAAATATTACCCGCATCTTCTCCCATAACAAGCGCCGAAGCAGACGCAACGGGTTTTACGGCCCTCTCGGGATCCATCCAGTTGTATTTAGAAGATTGATATTCCGGCTCCTCCACGCAACTGACGAATTTATTGATGAGATCGATGACGCATTTTTCGATAGCACTCGATTTCACCTCCAATTCCGTCGCTAAAAAACAACAATACAATGATTATTGCCAGATCAAACAGTAATAATCTTACTAAATGTCGATCTCAATGCAATATTTGCTTTGTAAAGCTCGTTGGGAGTGATAGCTTCGTTGGGAATGTATCCCATTTCGATTTGGGCGATATTCGCAAGCACCTCGTCGATTCTAGCTTCCCTCATATCCTTGACGTCCTTTATGAAAGTCTCCACGTAATCCAGGACTTTAGAGGCCTGCTCGCAAAACTCAGGTATCCTCAATGAAGTCCATGTTAGAGTGGCGAATCCCGGTATAAAAGCGTCTTCCATTTTTAGTAAATGCGATCTCATCATAGGCAGGAACAGAAGAGGTATACTGTCTCTAATTTTATCGTTCCTTTCTACCAAAGCTTTAACCGATTCGAATGAATGCAATAGTTTTTCTTTGCAAAATAGTAAAACTTGTCCTACATCTGGAACATCTGAAATAAATAGTATTTCATAAGGTGCCCCAGAAGTGTTTGTGTAAAGGAAACAACATTTACCTAAGTTTAGCCTGTAAACGTACTCCGATTCTCTTATAACTTCCATAATGTAATCGTCGAAATTGACGTAGTACCTCTTCGTTTTTGGTTGCTTGACCATAATGGGCACCAATAGGCAATTGCGCACTTGTCCAGCGAATTTGTACCAAGCCTCGTGGTAGATGTTTTCGTAGTGGATGAAGCAAAACGACATGGCGTTGAAGAGGGCGATGCATTTTTGAACCTTACGGTGTCTCATCACCTGAAAAATAAACAACGAGGACTTGCTTGATATGCTGTGGTAGCCAAATTGAACTTCCTACCCGAGTTCTTTCTCTGAATACATTCATAGGTTCTATCATGCGTCTGTAAAAGTGTCTAATCCAGTAGATTCTACCGGAAACCGGTGGCATGTTTTTACCCAAAACTGGATTTTGCCTTTCTTCGTTATACTGATCTCTCAAAAAGTCCAATTCGCTGTTATACATCACCATCGCTTCCAAATATCTCTCTTCCAAATGCAGGCATTCCAAATTTAATTTCTCAAACCTATACGTAGTAATTTAGTACATTTTTATTGCTATCTCGTTCATTGTAAACCTTTTAATTAGCCTGATAACGTTGTCAATATCGTTCAACTTAGCGAGAGAATTCGCGACAAACTCTTCCAATTCCCATTCGCTGTCGACGACGTTCTGTCGAAATTCGTTGTAATCGTTGTCGAATTCGACCAGCCTGTAATTCAGCGCGTCGTACGGTTTCTGGGAAATCGTCCGGAAATACTCCACGAATTTGTCGGAAAACTCGTCGATGCCCTCGATCGTGCTGTTCTTCAATATGGAGTATTTCATCGTCGTTTGTAAGATGTAAACGATTTTCTGCAAACGGTTTTTGAAATTTTCGAATTTACCGAAAATGTACATCTCCGAACAATCCAGCGCCTTTTCTTTCAGATCCACCATTACTTGCTTCGTGTGTTTGTAGCATTGGTAGTATTTCAGATATAAATCCAAGCATACCTGTAAGATACGTTTAAAAGAGTTTTTTTTTGTTAATTAATGATACATACTTTAATTTTGTCTAGAACGACAACTTTTAGTTGATTCCAAACGGTTTTGGTGTCGTTGCAATTCAAATATTCCCTGCAGTTCTTGATCATTTGATTGGAAATTTTCACCAAGAAAGCCGTGATGTTTCCAATGTTGTAAACCTTCGATGTGGTAAAAACCATTCGAACTGTATCTAACAGCGGGGGTACGTGCGGGGCCAATAATGGAGGTTCCAATCTGTAGAATGGTTCCCAGTATTTTTCCAATACGTACAAGTATTTCACCAGGTCCGAACTGTCGTTTCGCGTGATGTATACTTGTTCTGTATTAATTTTCCAATGCTAGATGAATGTTTTTAGTTGTAGAAAATTCGCTGAGAGCAAAAGAAATGTCGGGTTACCTTCAATATTTCTTTGTTGTTGATGAATTTTATGAAGTCGAGGTATGTTTTCACAATCGACGATTCCACAAATTCCACCATCGAAGTAAATTTGCATAATTGTTTTCGCCAATATTCCAATTCTGCTATTGGACCAACAAATTCGCCTTCTTTTCTCAACTGCCTAAATTCCACTATGCTCTACGTGTATAGTATAAGTGAGGATGTTGAATAAATAAACGAAAATCATTACCCTTTCTATAGTTCTATACCAATTTTTTACAGTTCCCTCGACTCTTGCAATCAGCGGTTTATTAAAAAAAGCTTTCTCCATTTTATCGCTATCGTCAATCTGTCCTATATCTTCTTCGCTATAATCGAATATTATTATTCCGCTCAAATCGTTTTTGATTCCTAAACAAATAATTTTTTTTCACCAATCTTAAACCGGTAACCTGTTAAAATGCATACTATTAAGAAAAGTTATGAACGATTCGAAATCGCCGTGGAAATTAAGTTTCGCCAATCGCCCAATTTCCGTCTTAGTTAAATCACCCCATTGGGTATACACATCCAAAGTAGGCTTTATCAGCCTATTCATCACATCGAAAGCGAGCGCCGCAAAATTGACCTGACCATCCAGAGTATCAAACGATACAGTATAAATTTCCTAAAACATGTTAATCGAGGTGCCTTTAAACGAAAATTTAAACTTTAATCTTACATCGGTTATATTCTTCACTTCGATGTTAACGTTGTTTAATTTGTATACCGCAAACGCTTTATTTCTCAGCGGATAAGTCACTCCGTTGGTCACGAATATTCGTATGATTGGATCCTTCGCGGAGCTTAATCGTCCAGTTTCTAAAAATAACTAATGGTTAAATACACAAACAACTAACATCGAGGTTCCCAATAGGTCTTTAAGGCTCTCAGGAAGATGGCTGAAGATATTCTCCATCAAGATTCACGCAAATTTTATTTAATATTGTACCAAAATGTACGTTCATGTAAAATATCATACCGATTCCGAAAGGCGGTCCCATTTGGTAGTAAAACAAAATGCACTTATTTCCGGTATCTTTCTTTACAAAATCGTCCATTAGATCCATGTGCAATTGATCGTCAATGATGTATTCTATGAGTTCGGCCGTGTCCATGTTTAAATATGATGCGACTATATCGCAGATGTATCTCTGCGCCATGGTCATTTCCTGGTATCGAGTATTTCTAGCTTCTTTGGTTTTTTGCTATTTAACAAGTAACAAATTTTTGTTCGATAGTCTCCTTTGGGAGCACGAGAAATTACGGTTGTTAGTGCAGAAGAATTAGAATTTAGAGTAGGATGAAATAGATTGGAAAAAGTGGAAGTTATTCGAAATCTTATAGGGAGTTTACACTTACTATCTTTTCTTTGGCAGACTCTTGAAGAGCAAGATACAATTGACTGGATTTGGCCCTATTGGGCCCCGCAGCTGTTACTTGCCTCGTAATTTCAGTCACCATATCGACGTCTTCTGTATTACTCTCTGCCATATTTTGATTGTTAAATTAAAATCCTAAAATGCGCTAATTAGCAAGCAATAGATATTATTTTTCGAATAAATTACCTTTAAAAAATCAAAAATAAAATTTTATATAAACTACAAGTGTGACTGCCACTTGACAGTTTATGTTTATTTATTTTGTTGTTTCTAGGGTTTCGTAAAAAATATTCCAAATCAACGAGGGTTTTATTTCTTTTAAATTTAAAAAATGGGTTGATTAGCCTTAATAGATGAAGTCTCAAAAGAAAGAAGTGTTATTAAATATGCCAATGTCATTTGTCACTAGTGTCAGATTTTAAGCGGTAAACAAATCAAACAAAAATGCAAACATGCCTTGTAAACAAAAACTGTTATTTTGTTGCGAAAAGAACGACCAAAAAGATATTCGCGATGATTTCGAAGTAAATTTTATTCGCCATTTGCCAATGCCTACCGCAATGGCCGTGAACATTGCAACAAATCGTTGGCACAAGGAAGAAGTTTTGGAATACGTTGAAGAGTTAGGGAAGCGTATACGAAAAGAATGGTTTTCGTTTCAAAATATCGCGTTGAACGACGAAATTCCTACGTTCGATATGAAATACGGCAGAGAATTGATTAATCACTCATTCCAAATCATCAGGGAGTCCATACAAATAAGTATTAACGCAAATAAAACAGAGAATTTAAAGAAGAAAGTAAAAGAAATACTAAAATGTATTGTTAAAACCATTTACCCTGTGAGATCCATGAGAAATGAATTCGTTATTAAATTAACCAGTGAAAAATATAACGATATTAATAATCCCATTTACCAATACTTTCATACATTCCTCGAGATACAATACTACGTTTTGTTACTGTACTTGGTCTGTGACGAGGACAAGAGTGTGCTGGAAAATATGTCTAAGAATTTGATGAGCAACTTAATTGATTTGAGTAAAATGAGTTACCAAAGGCAGACCAAAAGAGTATTTGTTTGTACATGTTTGAAGAACTCTTGGTTAATCATTCAGAGATTGTTCGAAAAAATTGAGCCAATCGAAAATGCATTTTGGACCTTATTTAATAGCATTATGGCAGATGAAGATCCTCTATTCTCTATATGGTTGTTAGCAGAAGTGGCCTCTTTACAACTATTTAACGAACAGTGGCAATATGAGGGCAACGATTGTTCGAGGATTGTACCAAATTTTGACCTGTTAGAAAATAAAGTGAAGAACTTCCTTACAGACGCTAATAGTGAATTGATGATGCAACTTTTTGAATATATAACACCTTTACTCAACAATTACTGGCTCAAAAATGGCAACATCGAAGTATACCGGATAATGTGGGACTTCTACAGAAGGCGAATGAATATCTCCCATAAACAATATTCGAATTTAAGCGCTGTAGATTTATACGATTCACTGAACAATATAGTTTATTTTCCGGAAAAGTGCAATGAAGATTTCGAGAAGTTCACAGGGTATTTGTTGCATCACTTGAACGAATATCAGAACCATTGGACTAAAATTAAAGGGCGTATATATTCCCAATTGGGATCACAGAAACTGAAAGAATTGAACGACATCGGAAGGGTTCACGTGATATTTTTATTCTCGAGCCTGAGCACATTGAATTGTAGCCAAGATGTCGTAGATAAGATTTTATATGTATTCAGAGAGCTAGCTCACGAGCAGAGGAAGAGTCCATTGTCTTGGAACTTACTTACCTGCTTCGTAAGTTGAATTTCACGATTTTATTATCAATAAACAACGTAATTTTTTTACAGATTTTTATGCAGGTGAACAAGGGTTTATCGATAGAAAAACCTGCAGACATTTTACTGTCGTGGATCAGAGAGGCGTGCGGGAGCGATAATAATTTCCATCTAGTGAAACTCTTCGTTGGTAATTTCGAAACGATGTTAAACCACAGCTCGAATTTGCAATTACACCAATGGATGTTCCTGGATAAATGGTTGACGAGTTACTTGCTGTCGTGCTATCACGCTGATATGATTGCAGGAGTGGAAGTTTTGCTGCGAGTTTTAGAAAGGGTGGAAAACCCGGATTGTTGGAGTCTTTGGTCGGGGAGGTTTATCGAATTTGTTTACCCAGTTTTGAAACAACTCGCCTACGCTTACAAAGCGCCTAGTTCTGTAGGGAAAATAGCAGGTAAAATGTACCTGATGGAGCCGAAAATGCGCGGGGAAATTCTAACTTGCTTCACCAATTTTAACCTACCCATTGATATTTGCCTGAGTTTTTTGGAAATTATTTTAGCTGACCACTCGAAGAGGTGTATGATAAATTTTCAGTTAAACACTCCATTACAGATTTTAATTATACAGTTGTGGTTTAAGTTTTGTTTAGTTTCAACTGAACCTTGTAGGTTTCTGACCGAAATTGTCACGGAATTGAATTACTTCCCTCAGGATCTTAAGCTACAATTAAACGCATCACAAGACCCCATCAGTACTCTCATACAATATTTAGGTAGCGATTTAAGCAATCACAGGCAAAATAAGAATATAATCGTATTGTGCGAAAGTTGTTTCGGGAGCATTGTCCACTGGTTTGATCAGTTTTTGAAAACTTCCGAATCTGATTCAAAAGTTTCACGCATATATTTCTACACTTCCTCAGCTTTCCAGCATTGCTCCCCGCTGCTTTACAACAGAAACAGCGTCTCCAGTTCTTTAACATCACTCGTAAATACTCTACTACTTCCACCCGATGTTTTACGCGACAAATCCCCTCGCAAATTCATCCTAAACTGCGTCAAAGAGACTTGGAATTCATTCTACCAGGGCCTGGCGGTCCTTAAAGACGACTCCGACGCGTTTATCTTGAGAGTGCTGAAAGATTTAATCACGAAATACATGCGGTACTTCTCCACCAACGAATCGCCGCTTTTGAAAGCCCTTCAAAGCGAGACCATCGCGGACGTCGTGCTGGAAATCATTTCGAATTACTATTTCATACAAAGACACCAAGAATCCGATAGTGACGTGAAGAAAGTCGTTAAAATCCTCTGTGATACCGTACAAAGTACGACATCGGCGCCGATTTTGAAGCTCGTCGTGACGAAAACTCTGTATGGTTTGTTCGAGTTCTACATACACCATCATCAAGGGAAACTGGCTGTGAGTTTGATCAGCGCGATGTGCCTTTCGCCGTTGTATCCGCAAGCGAGGGCCGAATTTTCGCATTGCGTAATGCTGGCAGCTAAGAAAGAATTGGTGCTCAGCGCCGGCGCGTATTTTCAGTTGTTACACATCATCGCCAAGTTTGTGCCTGGCGATGTGAGAAATTTAATCGGGAAATTAACCGAGCAAGTGGAGCACGCCGAAAGGCTCAGGGGCGTTGGTTACGATGCGAGTCTCAGAAAGCAAGTGGAGATATTAGAAAAAATTGTTAATGTATAAGGAAATTTGTTATTTTTTTTAAACATGTTAAATATATAACTTTATTTTATTATAAATTAGATGTTTATTTCGGCTCTTAAAGTACTTACACAAGACATACTATAAGGTTCATTAATTTATTCAAAAAAACAACTCATTTAATTGAAGTAGAAAAAGCCTAACCAGTACAAAAGCATAATTTCCAATATTTTACACAGGTTTGTAGTCTAATTTACTCTCCAGTTTCTTGTTTTCGGCAACTTTTCTTACAGCTTTCATGAAATCTTCCTGAATCACGTACTCTCTTTCTGCTCTAATGGCGAAAAGTCCTGCCTCAGTACACACATTTCTACAAAAAGAGAATATCAAAACATCAGATAATTTCTAATGTAAAAATAATCCAACCTTAAATCAGCCCCATTGAAGGTGTCCGACAATTTAACGATAGCTTCATAATCAATTTCCCCGTGCTTAGCAATAGGAAGCGCGTGAATTTTCAGAATTTCAAGTCGAGCCTGTTCGTTGGGCAGAGGAATCTCGATTTTCCTGTCCAAACGACCCGGCCGGAGCAGGGCAGGATCCAAAGTATCAGGCCTATTGGTCGCCATAATCATTTTTACCTAATACAAAGAACAATTAACAACACAAATCAGACGGTACATTAAACATTACTTGTCCTAACGAATCGAATCCGTCCATTTGATTCAGCAACTCCATAAGCGTCCTTTGGATTTCTCTATCGGCCGATGTACCTTCGGAGAACCTACGACCACCGATAGCGTCGATTTCATCCATGAAGATGATGCACGGTTGATGGTCTTTGGCGTAGTTGAACATTTCTCTAATAAGCCTGGCCGATTCGCCGATGTATTTGTCTACAATAGCACTCGATACGACTTTTAAAAAGTTCGCGTCCAGTTGAGATGCCACAGCTCTAGCTAACAGAGTTTTACCGGTACCAGGCGGCCCGTACAACAGACAACCTAAAAAGAAATTCAACTGTAATTTATCGGAACTACACCTTGGCTGGAGTCCGTATTGGTCAAGGCTCGCCTGCGCCTTTAGTTTAGTACACAATGTTCTATATTAACCTTTCGGGGGTGTAATGCCCACTCGCATAAACAATTCGGGGTTCATGAGAGGCAGTTCAATGACTTCTCGCAACTCCCTAATCTGCTCGGAAAGTCCTCCTATGGCGGAGTAAGTGACGTCTCCTGGATCTTCGTGGCTCATGTTGTAAACTAACGGGTCGACTTCTCTCGGTAAATACCGCATTATGGTTAAGGTGGTCATGTCGAGAGCTACTCTCGTGCCGGCCTTTAATTTGGCCTTATCCAACTGACGACGGCAGCCAACTACATAACGAGGACCATTTGTTGCCTTTACGATGACTGAAAATGAAGGTTTAAATGAATTATGAATAATGGTGGTAGTGTTACGAGGCTTACATTTCTCTTCTGTCAGTTGCTTCAAAACTTCACCTACAATTTGCCCCATACTCTGCAGGGCTTTCAAATCATTTTCTGACTTATCGTACTGCTTAGTTAAATCTTTGAGCTGTTCTCGCACTAAAACCGACGATTCGAATTAACTGTGGTTATTAAATGTGTTTATTTCGCTTACTTTCTTTTAGCCTGGATTCCACTTCTTTGTGCTCCAACAATTTTTTTCTGTACTCTTGGAGGCTCTTCTCACGTTCTGCATCCATTTGTGCCATTGTGATGCAGATTTCGGTTTATTTTATTTCAATTAAAAGAAAAATTTAGTCAAACAAGACCGATGACTGGCAAATCGCTTATTTTTGTTTCGACATTGACAATTTTGACATGTGTCATTAGTGTCACTGTCACTTATGTCAATTTTACTCGAATTAGTTCATTTGTAACTTTAAAAGTGAGGTTATATCGAATTTGTCAACACAATTATTTGTAAACATTGTATATTGTGGACTATAATTTTCGCTAATTATGTCGTTACCGGGTAATGCTATGGACTCGCTCAGCGCGGCGTTAAAGTGCAACATAATCCCGAATCAGGAATATCTCCTGCAAGGTTCCGTTCTGGACCAGTACGTAGAAGTTCTGCTGCATCGATTAAGAGGCTTATGCGACAACGTCGATAGCGGCCCGGAGAGCTTCCACGATCACGAGATATGTTTTTCTCTAAGGATTCCGAACACAGCCGCCTCCACGCCGATGCCTATGTCTATATTTTCCCTGCGAGTGCGGAGAGCTTTGGACGTGAGCGATACTCCCTACCAGCTACGGTACATCGGTCAGCAGGAATTGGGGGACAAAAACAGGCCTACGGTAGTTCGTTCTAGCATAGATATGGCCTGTAGTTCGACGATACTCGAATTTCTCACTGAACTAGGATGTCGTATAGAGTTTGAATACATAGCGAGGGGGTACATGTTTCGTAAAGGGAGGATGAAGATAACCGTTTCGAAGATATTCAAAATGGGCGGTAATAAACCGGAGAGCGTGGAGCCGATATCGCAGAGCTACTTGGTCGAGCTGTCCGTACTGGCTCCCTCAGGACAGGATGCTATAGGAGAAGATATGAGAATCTTCGCAGAGCAATTGAGGCCTCTAGTGCAGTTAGAGAAAATCGATTACAAACGTTTAGGAAATATTATGTGAAGATTTCTTTTTACTCTCACCAGCTAAATAAATAAACTAGTTTAAGTGCTTATTTTTTGTATTTAATTTATACTATTTTCCAATATGTTATAATGTTTCTTTCATTATAAGATACGTTATTTATTAAGCGGAATTTGTGTAAATTATTCTTTAATGCTCTCGTTGTCTTCTGGAATGGTAGCCAGTGTGGCAGTTTTGAAGTTTGATTGATCGCCTCTTTGGTATTGAACCATTTCAAATTCGCCCTCATATTCGCCGGATTCTTTCAGCAAATGCGTCATGTAAAGTTCCATAGGATCAATGTAATCACTTTTCGCGCTCGATTTTCGGGATTTCGCGGATATCGCAGATTTCGTGGATTTTGTAGATTTCCTCGAACTGATAGCGCTTTTTCGGCTAGTCGTTTCCTGCGAAAAAAGGTTCATATTAACAGCTTTGCTTTTGTAAATAAATTATAATTACCCGGGATGTACTGGGTTCGATATCCGCTAGTTCTAATTCCTCCAGTAATTCCTCTTCTCTAATGATAACTTCTAATTCTTCGTCTAATTTTTGTTTGAGCTCGTCCATTAATTCCTCGACGACTTCTTCGGGCGTCGGTTCAGGCCATACTGAAAGAACAACGAATTTTATTCCGAAATTTCAATGATTTATTCCGCATGTACCAGGTGCAGGTAAATCTTCGATTTTCGAATAAATCGCGTCGTGGACAGACTTCAAACGTTGACTTTGCACGTTCGAAATTCTCTCCCGAATGATTTTCTTCTCGACATCGGGAAGCAAGAAGTGCATAATCAAATTCGCTATGAGTTCATCTTGCTCGCTAATCGTTGTGTCACTAAAACACCTCGCTTTATAAACTTTATCAACTTTTATCTGCGACCTTACCATTCGTATGCGCTTTCAGTATCTTTCTCGATTTGTACGGCTAACTTCTCCACATACTCCGCAGCTTCTTCTTTGGAACAGAACTGCATTCCTTCCGTGATCACCTCTTTCAGGTAGACGTCGACGCTCTCTTCGGTGATCTTCACGATTTGCTTGAACATTTCGTCGTGCTCCTTTCTTCTTCTTAACTCCTTTTGTCGCCTTCCGGCCTCCACCGCCTCCTTCTTGTACCGCTCTCTTTCGTGGTAGAGGCACATCGCGTGGGCTTTGCGCTCCTCGAGCAGCCTCCTCAGTTCTTTGTTCAAAAAGTCCAACAGCGAACCGACCACGACGCCTTGGAGTTGGCCCAGGGATCCTTGAAGCCTTTCCACCTGAGTTGGTTATTGATTTGTTGAATCGATTTTGTGAGGATTTTGAATTCGGTACTTACTAGATTCAGTTGTAAGTTTTCTTCTCTTTGTTGCACCTTCACTTTTAATCTCTTCTTTCGTTTGCGTTCTTTCTGGTTTTTCATTAGGCCTTTGGAGTGCTTCAATTCTCTGATGAGTTCTTTGCAAGTGTCTCTGCCTTCGTAGATCTGCGGAGTGCATTGAAATAAATTGAGCAAATATTTAAATGAAAATTGGTACTTACTGTTGCTTGGGAAGCCCGTCCTTTAAGAACTTTCTGTATAAGTACGACGGCTTGGTATTGTGCTTCTTGTTCTTTCGGTACGCCTTCTATTTCTGGTGTTAGAGATTCTTCGGATGTGAATGTTATTTTTTTTCTTAGAGATAGATGTCGTTTTTCTACGCCTTTTCTTAGGTCTGCAAAAATAACGGTTGTAGTTGAATTAACGAGTTAGATTTTGGTTACTTTTCAATTCTTCGTGAAGAGTTTTTAATACAGGTGCTGTCCATTTCGTCTCCCTTATGCACAGGCGCAATTTGGGCCAATTGCTGTATAAAGTGTGCTTGTCTATCTTCGTAGCTGTGTGGATCCACTTGGGCAAAGTGTTGATATTCTCCACGCCTAAAAAGTATTATTTAGATACTTTCCGAGACGATGTATTCATAAAAATGCGTACCAATAAACCGGGCTCGGTACTGTTTGAGTTTTTCATCGATGACCAAATGCCAACGTTTCGGATGTTCGCCGTGCCTCATCAGAGGCGCGTAAATTTCAGCCTTTTTATCGGTGTGCTCCTCGATAACGTTCATCTCTTTGTATCTCCTCTGGAAGCCTCTGCGCTCGAGTTCGAGCTTCCGCAGTTCCCGGGACGTTTTGTGCTTCAATTTCGCCAGCTTCTCCTCCTTCTCCTTTTGAATCCTCTCGACGATGTGCTGCATTTTCTCCGTGTTCCTGGCGTTGCTGGTCTCGTGTATCTCGCTCAGCATATTCTCCAACAGCTGCAGGCGCAGCTCTTGTATTTCGGAAATTTCCTGCTCCCTGAACGCCCATTCGTCCATTTCCAATGCGTGCATGTACTCCTTAAATTGTCGGCTGGACTGGACTTTGTCGCCGGTATCTTGGTCGATGTGCTTTTCCCAAGCTTTCTTCATTCTGGCTCGTTCTATCAGCTTTATTTCGTGCATTCCGGCTGGTAGACCGCTACCTACGAGACATATGTTAAGAGTTCACCAGTGTTTAAGTGTTCGCAGAAGTTTACCCCATTTCAAAAAATCTAATTTTAACACCTCCGGCTCCCCTTTTCCGACTACTTTGTAAGGGGGTTCCCAGGGGTCCGTTTGCGCCATAGATTCCCTGAACGCCGTCTCGACTTCTGCGTCCTTGAATTTTGAATCGATGACTTCGGTGACTTTTTCTTGAATTTTTTCGATCGTGAAAGTCGGAGCGTGTTGGAAGGGAAGGACGTCCTGAATGGGATAATTCATTACCGTGACAGAGAATTTCGACCTATCCGAACTGTGGGAGAGATTGAATAGTTACGGTAAGAAGATCTTGAATAGGAAACATTACCCTCTAACGTCTACGGGTCGTTGCATGTAAGGATCTTTTTTCTTCTGCTTAATCTGCTGTTGCAGCTCGTGGAAGGTGGGTACGGGTTTCTGTGTCCTTTTGACTAGCTGCACCCGCGGATGGTGCGGTAAATCCGAGAACATGTTGGGAAATATGGGGCATATTTGCTGAAAAAAGCGGGGAAATTTTAAAGAAATTGCCGTAAAGAATTTTGAAACACTTACGTATTCTGTAGTCGACATTTTGGCTGCTAAAACGGCCTTATAATGGTCAACCGGTCCTGATACAGTAAAGACAGGATCTGCAATTTGGGGTAAAACATGAGCAATTGATGTATTAAATTCCCGCGAATGTTTCACTCACCGTACATGAAATCATTAGGTCTGTAGGGAAAACATTGTCTCGGTCCCGGAGGCATGCTTAAAAAATATTTTTGTAATATGCTGTGCAAAACGTTCGATAAATCTGCTGGTTATTAAAATAAAAAGCCAGTATGTTATATAATTTGATATATTATGATGGTAGTCATAGATACTGTCGGTATTTGATCAATATTTCGGATATTGCGAATATACCAAGGCATTTTCCTAACAAGGCGATTAGTAAAGTAACGAGGTTTGTTGAAATGTTTATTGTTCTCTCAAATTAAGCTTTTTAACATTGATTGTTTTGTCAATGGAAATATATACTAATAAGTACCTACTTTGTACAATTATGCTCTTAAAACTAATCAACTATCCAATAAGGTAGGTATATATATACAAAATATAAAAATATTTTTACTACTAATATAGTATGCTTAGATTAATTATTTTACAAGGCTGATCATTTTCGAAATCTAAATTAAAGTCTACATGGGAGCAGAATTCAATGATAAATACAGTTCTTATGATTGTACCGATCAACAAGGAAATTTCAATAACACATAATTTGATGATTTTTATCCCAAATTACGTACCAAAACTTCTTCGCCCACCTGTAATTACATTACTAATTAAGATTATTGAACTATTAAGCGTTATTTCTCTTAAACTCGACTGAACTACATCAATCGGTTTGGTTAAAGAAATGTATATTCATTTAGTTATTAAACAGAGCGTTTTAAGTTTCAAGCCCTGGTAAGGAACACCCCATCGCCTGCTTTACCCAAATAACTGGGCCAGCTCTGCTGGCTCTTGGGCAAAAATTTGGCGCAGCGTTTTTTATTGACGCAATCGCACTCGATTCTCAATCGATACACCGTCATTTGGCCGAGTTTGAGCCGGTTGAGGCGATTGAAGAAATCGAACTCGCTGCTTAGGCTGGTTTGCTCCTCAAGACACTCGCTTCTGAAGAGTTCGCGTTGCTCTTTGTCGGTGGTTTTCTGGTAAGCGTGCGATGTTTTATCTGTAATTGAGAGAATTAATTATATGAAATTAGTAGAGTTGTTGTGTTATCTACCTTTTTCGAATTTATCTTGTATGCATTCTTGCATGGCCTGCTGTAGGAAGTCTTGCATATTTTTCGTGGTCGGTTGCCAATAAGTTATGAAAACTACATCGAATGAATTAGACGCGTTTGATTTATTAATAGAATCCAATATAGCACCTGCGAATTAAATTATTTTTTTAACTTGGGTACCTATTTGTTAATTGCGAATCTAATTTACTTACCTACTGATGTAACTTTAACACGTCCTTCAGAGGTATAATTAGCTTCTCTTTTACCTCTGTATTGTCTGTCCAACCATTCTTTCATTTCTTTCTCGGATTCCAAGTCCCACAGGGTCAAGGATTCGTTCTTCTTGGCCTCTTCGATTTGCTTCTTAATGATGTTCTGTATTTCCTCCTTCTCTTTGATTTTATCCACGTGCTTGTTGACGTCTCTTTGCTCGAACCGCGACTTCCTCAGCCGCATCTCCTCGTTTTTCACGTAGGTATCTTTCAAAATCTCCGTAGGGACGTAGTCGACATCGTGCAGAAGGCGATTCTCAGACCTGAGAACATTGGCAAAGTCGTATATTCCTTTAGGGCTCTCCGATAGGTTCTTCTTCTTCGTGGTGTTCAGTTTGTTATCTTTGCTTCGGGGGTCCCTGTTGTTTGATCTTTCCTCGATTGGGTTGTACCCGATCGGATCTTCCATGGAGGGGTAGTAATTGTCGTAATCTTGGTCGAGCAGAGGTGTGTCCTTTAACAATTTAAATTAAGAATGAAGTTTTGTAGGAAACGATTGTTTACTTACTCTTTCTTCGGGTAAATTCTCGTCGTCCACGTAATTTTGCGGGGGTTTCCTGTCTTTGTGTCTAAAACTCGAGGAGCCGTATTTTTTGATACCTATTGGGACTGAATCGACTTTGTAATTTTCGTTCACTTCCGATTGGCCCTGATTGGTAATGTGGATTTTCGAATGCGCTTTGTAATACTCCTTCAATTGCTTTATCGCGGATACATCGCTGCTCAGCTGGTTTTGCACTTTTTCCACTAGAAAATGACCGTTAATGTATAAGCAATAATTCTAATAATACTTGTAACATTACTTGAATTGTAAATGACAAATCCTGGGGGTTGGTGGAATTGACTTAAAGCGTTCAATTTTAAACCTAGCGTGTTGTTGTTGTGCTCTAAACACTCCCCATAAGCATCATTAACTCCTTAAAAGCGGGTTAAAATAGTTGTAAATATTATTTATGTATTGTACTTACCTTTAAATGGAGTTTTGTCGAATTTAACGCATTCAGAAGTCCAAAATAAGTACATATCGTAACCGTGGGATTCTAAACTGACGCTCAAACCGCTGGATTGCGTTATTACACCGCCAGTTATGGGTTTATATATGGGCGTTCCGGTCTTACCATCGATAATAAAAGTCTAAAACAACAAACATGTAAAGTAGTGAATACTTTACTGAAATATGTAATTACTTGGGTGTAATTGTAGTTCAATATATCGTCGTATTTCTGGTAAATGATCAGAAAATCGGTAACGTTGTCGAAATTGAAGTAAGCAGGCGTGGGACTGATATTGGTTTCGGGATTGGGACCGGGCACCGTGTAATTCCAAATTTGCTTGAAATTTTCGCCATTGATAGCCACCAAAGTTGAGTTATACATAGCAGTGATTATATCGGGCGTGCCGTCACCGGTTATATCCACCAGCACCGATTGGATCAGTACGCCTTTGAATTTGTCTTCGTACAAGTTTTTAGTGGCGTTGCTCTACAAAAATCAATGACAATGAGCTTGTAGAGTGCAATTATTGGCTTGCATACTGACCAGTACGCCGATAGAAATGTCCGTAAATGGCGCGGCTGTTAAATTTCCTCCACTTGTGGGAGATCCGGTGCCGAATATAACGAAGGATTTGTTATTTTGTACGAGTATCTCAGGCATGTAAAATATTTTGGCGTCTCCGGGTGTTCTTACGTTCTTCAATTCCTCGCCGGTTTTACCGGACAATAATACCAAATGACCGTCTCGTTCAGCTATAGAATGAACAATTAAACGTGCTATAAACTCGAACATTAAACTTACTGCTCAACGACGAATGCGAAGCAATAATGTCTGGTATCGAATCGTTGTTTTGATCCGGAATGAAAGAAGCCACGAACACGTCCAATTTTCCTTTATTTAAAACCCAAATTGTCGTACCGTTTTTGGTATCAACCATTGCTATTGTCTACGAAATAATTGTAATATATTGCAGTTTGAATAAATCGCAAACTTACTCCTTTTGTTCCTATTATCAGGCAATCGTTCTGCGCGTCACCGTTCACATCCACCGTGCAATGCACCGAAAAAATTGTATCGTTTAACCAATGTCTCCAAATTATATCGCCCGTTAAACCATTTAGAGCTATAATTCCCCCTTCGCAGGGATGCGGCACGCCCATGTACACCGGGCAAAATATATCAGGAGGCAGAGTGTTATAATTATCACCTGAAAATTGAATCTATAATGAAGTACATGCTATAATGAAGACTAAAGGTTCGATTACAAAATGAGCCTATTTTCTGGAGATTTTGTGAAATTTACCTGTGCCAAAACCGAAAATAACATCATCAGATCCATCCCCGTTGACATCCAGAACTCGAACAGGAGAATCGGTCGTAAGTTTGGGCAAACTGGCCGACCACACGTCTACTACTTTCAAACTATCGCAAGGGAACAGCTCATTGGCGTTGGAATCGTCCGCTTTGGGCGATTTTTTTATCAACCAGTCTTTAAGCTTGTCCAGCGGCAAAGGATAAATCGAAACTAGCACCACCACTACGATTATTAAACCTGGAAACACCCCAATATTACAGCTGTTAAAATTAAGTGAGTGATTTACCAATTAATATACTGAGCGCTGCGAATACATAGCAACACGGCTTGCAGAAGTCCCTGCAGATGGGCTTCTGTTTGAATCTGGAGGTGCTCAAGCCCTCGGACCGGGTTCCATTTCTTCGAGTAGCCATTAGCGGTCGTTTGACGGTTAAATCATCAGCAAACTGTAATAAATAGCACCTAATAATGGGCCTCGATGCGCTCTAAATGTACCTTGTATCCCGTTTTCCCGTCTCTTATGAACACCTCGTCTTCCACGTCGCTGAGATCGTCTTCGTCCAGAGAGATGCTCTCTCTCACCTCTCCTCGTAGATTCATTCCCGTGTACGCCGAAACTTTCATCTTTATACGCCGAATGTATGTAGAAAATTTATTATTTATTAAACGCTTTATCGACAAATAAAATATTATGTACCTAGATAGAGACCTGTTGCTAATATTTATGGAGATAATTAGAATTTTATCATTCTCAGAATCAATTTGTTTTAATAACTGGCTTTCGTGTGCTGGTTCAATTGATTCTCGTTGTGATTAGTTTATTAAATTGTTGAATGAATTTGTTATGTAAATGAAAAATTGTTGTTACCATAGACTCACCTTATGTCTTGACTATCTTACTCCTAGTATCACAGTGAATTTTAAAAAGATTCTTGTTTGAAAATTTTGAAATACTAAACTTGTTATTTTGTATGCCTTATACCAGTTGTAAACATATGTTGTTAGTGGTTTTGCATATACTCTAACCATGAGTTGAACAAGTTCGTCTAATTTAGGACGACTGCACAACGCTAAAGTATTGATTTTTTATTTTTATAGATACGCATATAAGTAACAGGCAAAGGGCATGGAATATCAAACTATTGGGCTTTAATAAGGAGGTTTTTATTATGATTTTAATAATGGAATAACAATGAATAATCCGTATTTTCCATCGTAGGTATGTGAATTAGTCAATAAGAAGGTACTGCTTATTGAGTTTATATAAGCGGCTCAATTTGATGATGTTTTTTGAATGAGTAAAGTACATACATAACTTATGAAAATTGGTATTTGCAGTACTGACAACTTATTTTCATGTTTTTAACAATTTACTCGGCAGCTTCCAATAGTTGTTATAAGTTAAATTGAAACCTCACACAGTAAAAGGCACAATTTTGACTTTTGTGTCAGTCAGCTATTTTCAAACGTCAAACTACTTGAAACAAAACAGGTGTTTTTTGATGTGATGAGATAATTTTTGTTTATACAAATTTCAATTCGAATTACAATCAACGAAAATTTACTGTTTAAATTAATTTAAAGACTGCATTGATTTGATTCGTGACAACTCCTACAAGAAATGTAAGTAAACTTCTTTAATTTATTTCAATATTTAAAAGTAGGTTATTAATATTTTTTAAGAAACTACTTTTATATTTAATTAATTAACTAATTTAATTAGTCAATTAACAAGGTAGGCTTTATACAAAAAGAACGACCTAATTCATTTATAATCTACGTAATTAAGCATAAAAATCGTACAAAATGTTATTGGACATTCATGAAAAGTCAATTTATAATTAAAATATAGTTTAGAAAACCCACTATTTAATTTTCTCGCTTTAATATCCATGCAAAAATAATTTGGGCGTAGAGGAAGTAGGATTTAAATTAAAACAACGATACGACGTAACGATGCTGAATTAATCTCTTTTACTATATTATTAGCAAACAAACAATTTTAGAGAAGCATCGCACCGAGTAATGGAATGCAGAATTTAATTAACATACATTACTTCTATCAATCGTGCATAACCATACCTATCTACCTAATAAAGAATAATAAAATAAATTATAATTGAAGTTTTCAAATTATATAGGTATTTCCCAAGAATGTGGTGCGTTATGTAATTCCAGCTGCTTATTATTATCTAATCTAAAGTTTAATCTTGAAGGTCTCTTTAGTATAAAAAATAGCCAACTAAAATTTATCTATGTAATGCAGAAGGTGTGAAAATAAGAGGGGTGTTTCTTTGCACCAGTTTAGAGCACTTAATTCTTGGAAGATTCGTTGATAAAGTGTCATAAAATATCCAATTATTAATACACAATGCATTCATCACTTTCAATATTTACTTCGAGTTTCCTATGATTATTTACTCTTTATCTAATTGAAAAATTACGGGGCATTATGTCGTTATCTTCATGCTGGCCTGCTTTTGTCACTCTATTTCTATCCAAAGAAATTAATAAAGACGTTAACAATATTGTTATGTCGAAACAGCTTTCTGCATTATAAAAATTAATTCGTTTATAATATACTGATGGGTAAACGAGGGGTTTAAAATTGCTTATTTTCGTCGCTACAAAAATACCCAGGTAATCTACAAAAAATTCAATTAGATCTGATGGTTATAGCGCCGGGAAAATCGAATCCATCTCTACCTCCACTGAGCCATTCAAGGTCTACAATGCCGACGAAAGAGATCTATCTATTCGCTCACATCGTCGATTGTCGAGTATTAAATTAAACCTTTGTTCGTATTCCGGATAGCACGTGGTACGTGGTGTTCCGTGCCACAAGAAGACTGGTACAGTGGTACCACTGCCGCAGTCGTCGCCGTCGTTCAGTTAATTTTCAACTTCACCAGCTCGAGCTAGCGGCCAGCAGCAGGTACGGACCCGATTTCCATTCCGAGTCGACCGGTACGACAGTTTTTTGCGCTGATATATCCGTCTCTGGTGGATATTTTTCGCGATTTAATTGTATAATGCTCGGCTTAAAGTCCGCCTCCGCCTTTCGAATGCATGATCTTCTAGCGTCGGAGGGGACTTTAAGGCGAGCACCCGTTGTATAATACCTACTTGGTTTTAGTTAACTTAGTTTGTGGTTTGTAGTGAAAGTGCCTTGTAGAATTTCACCGACACACCGACGGATATACGTTAGTTTAGTTACAGTTTGGGAGTATCCTATATGGCAATGGTCGGCGCTAAGGATAATAAAAGGTAAACAAATTAAATCGGCGAAAAACAGCTGTAAAAAATGATGAATTTATTCATTAATTTACCGAAATCGTAAACCTTGAAGCAATCGTTAATATTCGATATTTGCGTTATTTAAAATTAATTACGAGGTAATAGGTTAATCGCGTTTTTATCTCGCTTATAACTATTTTTGGAAATTTATTGATATTGGTTAATTTCGAAACGAATTATTTACGAAAAAAAAATCACAAAAAATAACCTGTTTGAGTAAACGAGATAGCTATATCAGCCTTATTTTAAAATTTCAACAAATGAAAGTTTTCTAACGACATTTTAATTAGTAATTTTGATAAATTATTAAAGCGATTCGAGGATATATTTTTTGTAAACGATTCAAATGTGTGGAACGCAAATTTATCAACAGAAATGGTGAAATCAGTGCAATTTAATTTGTTAATTTGCAAGATTTAATTTTTTTAATTTCTACTTTTTTTACTGCTTCCACTTTACAGCGTGGAAGAAACTATTGAAAATTTGATCAATTCAATTCCACTATACACAATTAAATTTTTTAATTGCGTTCTCTAGATGTTTTATGAATATATTATATAACTAACAAAGGTTTTCAACTAGTCAGTTTACAATAACTGCAATTAACATAAGTAATAGCCAATAATATAAGTCATTATAGACACAATGGGTGTGAAACTTGGGAAATTTTTTTTGAAATCCAATTTCAAGGCTTCCGAAATTCTTCAACCAATAACGATTAAAATTAGCAGGTTTTTCATCGAGTCTTTTTAAAACAGAAAAACCAATTTGCAGTTAATAGCAAATAGAATAACCCTGTACTAACGGAATTCTCAATGTTAACTAACTTTCCCCGCCGGTTTATAGGTTAAAGTCGGTTAAGCACTCCGGGCAATTTTAATATTAAATATAACCATTTGAATTGCCTCACGTTCGCAGTGAAATGAAAATTGAGAAAGTACGTGTAATTGAATTCATAATTGTAACATATTCCGTACTAGTTTAGGTGCAAAAAGTCAACTGATCCTCCCATTGAGCCCCAACGCACGGATGTTTATCGAACAACGGGCGTGTTCGATGAAATTTCGTCTCATTTTTTATTTACCTAGATTGCGAAAGTGGCGTTGAACCCGAATTATTGTCTAGTTCCGTTGCTTAATATTCACGTCATTACAAACAATGGTAATTAAAGGAAACTTTCATTACCAAAGACGTAACAATGAGTGAGAATTATTTATTTACGAGCAAGTTGTGAAAATGGCCGTACCGACTGCATTAGTATGCAGAATGCACACATTTCACTTGACATAAAAACTACATTTGGTTCAACGACGCGCTTACAGTTATAGCATTTATTTGGGTTTTCATTCATTCACTCACAATGAAGATGATAAAAAAAATAGGTAGGTATCTTTGAACATTCAAAAACCATAAAATTGGTGATAAACGGAAGAGAAATTCGAGCAAATAGTGTTAAAAATGAGACCACAACCAAATTTAACGCACTTGTGACGAAATGCTTAAGCGTTTTACCGTTTTTAAAATTCGCAATTGTTACAATGGGCTGGCAGATGGTATTCTAACTGTGTCCTCAGTCCTGCAAATTTATAAAAAAACCGCAGAGTTTTTTCATATATTTATATACATCAGGTAGCCAATTTAACACAATAGTCGTGTTTGAATTTTCAGAATTTTGTGTAGGTATAAACGATTCCGTTTCCTATCTCGCATTTTATATAGCACCGTGGGCGTTTAATCAATGTTAATCGATTTTTACTCGTTAATAAATTAATCTTATTGCATTCACCTAATACCAAAACCCGAAGTGAGTGATGTCTTATCGACTATTTAAAGTTGCATTTGACTTACGACAATAGTTTTAAATCGAAAGTCGCTTGTAAATGCAGGTAATGTCAAGGAATTATTAAAAGAGCCAAGGAAAAAAAATCTTGCCGAGAGAACATCTGCACACACAATTAACTCGTTCTTGGAATATTGCAGGATAATATCGTATCAATAACATACAGGTTTTTTAACGCGTTTTCTGTTTGCTTAGGAATTTTCTATTACGTAAATGGTTTTTTAGATTATTTTTTCTCCTCAAACACTACCTGGTGGATATTTCGTCAATTAATAACTCGCTTTAAATTAAATCGGTTCGCATTAAATTCGACTTAAACAGACAGGATGTCATCAGATTAAAATCGATGTAGGTAATTATATTCCGTGGAATTGTAATTTCCTGTGTAATTTTTTCCAATGCTTTACGTTTCAAAACTAGGTCCGTGTTTCGTATATGCATTATTTTCGATGAATACAACATGCTGTTAGACCCAAATATGCTACGAATGAATTAGGCTTTCAAAATTATCCATAATAAATGTTATTGAATTTGTTCAAATCGAATATTTCAGCTGTTTAGCATTCGATCACTATTGTTTTTACCAGTTCGTGTCTGGAACAATGAAAAAATTGATCACTATCGAGGGGAATATTTCAATTGTCTTATCAAACGTGACTTTCAGAAATAAACAAATAATTTCATTCAATCCCTACTAGGAAGTTGTTATCAATTAATATCTAAATATAATAGTTATTCACCTTTCTAAAGAGTAATGAAACCGACGCTTAACAATAATAAAACAATATACATATGTATATAGAAAAATTTAGAATAAGGTGTTTAATAATAATACATTTATCTACCTAATACACGGAATTAATCATATTGTTATATTTGTTTATTTTCAAATTAGCGATTTGTTTAGTACGCCTATTGAAGGCTGTGACTATACAGTGTAATGGAATGTTAAACGTAGATAGATAAATAACAGCCTCGAATTTACATTAGCATACTTTTTAAAGCGAACGAGCATAATGGGATGGTACTCGATAATTGCAGTTTAATAGGCTTACAACATTGACTGGTACTTGTCGATTAAAAATGCAACAGGACGTTTTAATGAAAAGAAACTTTTCTAACGAATTCGTTTTTTTTTTATATAAAATTAGTACCGTTATGCACTCATAATGCCCAAGGTTTTCTGTTGGAAGCAGCGCTTGAATTTGCATTCTTTTAGATAAATGTCTAGCGCAGAGTCACTACGTAATGCGCTAGTGGTATTACCAAAACAATAAGCGAGTTTGTGGTGAAAAAAGGCGTGTAGAGACCGATTAGGTCAACAGTCTTTCGCTCAAACGAAGCGTCGAGTTGTCGCTGTCGCTCCGCAGCCTGTACTCAGTACTTGTACCGTTCTATTCATCGATTTTAACAGTAATTTCGATGTTTTATTCAATAGGGATAACGTCGATCGTTGCGAATTTTAAGGCGATTTCGATAAATCCGAGCGATGTTTCGTAATCTAAGCGCCGATTTTCTCTTTGCAGAATGTCGACCCTGTTGAAATGGGCTCAGAACACTCAAGGCAAATTCAACGGAAAGACCAGTAATGGCACAACGAACGGCGAACGAAAGTGGATCCATCCGCCCGACCTGTTGCAAAAGGGCCACATAGCGTACCTCGTCAAATTCCTGGGCAATATCGTAGTAGATCAACCGAAAGGTCAGATACAATCGCCTTAAATGCGCACGTTCTGATTTGTTGTTCTCATTTACAGGAATAGAAGTAGTCAAAGAAGGTATACGTAAATTAAGGTTCAACCAGCAGCTAAAAAAGAGTGAAAGCGGCGCCAAAACGAGAAAAGTAGAATTAACTATAAGCATCGATGGTGTTGCTATCCAGGAGCCCCGCTCGCATAATATAATGCACCAGTTCCCTTTACACAGGATATCGTATTGCGCTGATGATAAGGGAGAGAAGAAGTTTTTTTCGTTCATCGCCAAACAGCCCAATCAAGGTAAGAGATTTACCACTCATTTTAACGAATAATTTATACACAAACTCGCTTTTTTAGTGGACAACGATGCGGAAGACACCCACGAGTGCTTCGTGTTCATATCCGATAAACTAGCCGAAGAAATAACGCTGACGATAGGCCAGGCGTTCGAATTGGCTTACAAGCGGTTCTTGGAGTCGTCCGGAAAGGACCTCGAATCGCAACGGCACGCCATGGTCACCCAGCAGAAGATCAAACGGTTAGAACAGGAGAACAACGTCTACAAGCAACGATTGCTCGACATCAGCCACTTCGCCAACATCAAAGCCGAATTGGACCAGTACTTGCGGAACAACGGCATCAAGAACATCTTAGAAATCAAATTGGGCAACGAGAAATCGAATCACGTGCAATCGCCGAGCAACGGATCCGCCAACACCAGCGAATTGCTGGATTTGAACTCGGAAATATCCAACGGTAACCTTCCGCCGGTACCGCCTAGATCGTTCGATAACGCCCCGGCAGTGGGAACCAAACTCGAAGGGTAAGCACTCCATATTCGCCTGAATCTACGCTATAATTACTCGAATATAATTAGGTTGTTGTTCAACGAATTGGACCCGGACGACGATTTTGATCCCAGATCGTTCGAGACGAATCCCGCCAACGGCTCCGCTTCTAGTCCGCCTCTGATCGCGCCGCCACCGAAGGCGGCTCGACGAACGGCTCTGTCGATAAACAGTAATGTTAATAACGACGCGAGTAAAGATCTGTTCGGGACGACGCCTTTTACGCCCAATTCGATGGGCACCAAAGCGCTGGATCCGTTCGAGATGGGCGACTTCGGCAGCGCGCCCACCCCGCAGGATATCGAAAACGCTATTGGGTTGTTGGACAAGAGGATTTTGGAAATGAAGGTAATATACTGGTTTAATTAATGCGTTGATGGGTGATTCTATGGTATTTTTTAGACTGGATTTAGCCGAGGTTTGAGTTTCGGCAACGATGATTTTTCGCTGGAGAGCTTGGATCCTCTGAAGAACTAATTTAATGATATTAGCTTAGGAATGATGTAAAACATTTAGGACGATTTGGGTCATCTTTAATCGGAGTATTTATTACGTACTGTTAGGTAAGGAAAGAGCTTTTTGAAGGCATGAAAATTTGATGATTCTTGTCATTGTAAATGTGTTATTAATGTTTTGTCATATTGGCAAAAGAAAAAAGTCCTCAAAGTATTATACAGAAATATCATGTTTTGTCAATTTTGTTATGCAGTGCGAGTCAAAAATGTAATTCAATCTTTAATAGTATGATAGAAAGGAAAGAGTATTTTCAGAGTTGATTATTAGAGAAAGAGTGATACTTGTGATTCGCAACTTATGTTATACTATACTTTATGTTATACTGTACATATGTTATTGTTATAGGATTTATATATTGTATATTTCTAATTTCTTAAAATATAAATAATTCTGGTAATTGGAAATACATTTTTTATTGAGTCTTAAATACATAACAAGTTATAACACGGATTATATTGCTTTAGAGACCAGTGACTGCATAGATCTACAAGGAAAGCTTCTTAGGTGTAAAACAAGTATCAGGAAATTAATCGATATGTAGAATAAATTAGTAGTTAAATTTTACCAAACCGGAATATTAGTATTTCTATGTTAATAAAATTAGTATTGCCTGATACTCGTTTAAAAAAGAGGTAAGTATGTATCACTTTCACGAATTGTTATAGATATATTTCTTTTTATTATACTCAATTCACTGTGGACTAAAAGGCAGCAATATTATGAATTCATTTAACTACGATTTCAAAAAATTGTTTATCTCATAATTTATTGCTTGTTAATATAATTACCACATAAGAATTGTTGATTATAGCTACATTATTTAGTCCACATTATTAATTTTTTATCACTTCTGATTTATAGATAATATATGTAAGTATTCATCAGAACTAATTGCATAGTACTAGTTTTAAAGGCAGAACATTACTAACTTAAACTCTACGAAATTAGCTTTTTATAGATTATTTCCCCGTTTCACATCAAACAAAACCATAATAAACATCTACTATTTAATGACTAGATTGCAATTATTATAGGAACTAAAATATTTAAGTAAATGGAAAAATAGTTTGCCGATGTAATTAAGCTAGTTAAAACTGCCTATTTTTAGCTTCTTTCGATATTCGAAACGCCATGAAAGACAACGAAGTTAGGTACATTTTTTATCCCATCACACTGAGTTTAGAAGTAAGCGAAATAGATTCGTTCATTGACTAGATCCAAACGAAGGTAAGGACACAACTTCAGCCATCGGAGTGCCCAAGACTTGTTCGCAAACAACGTTAGGGTCCAACATCAACGAGCTTATTTGGTCCTCGTTCAACATATCGACGCTACTGAAATGATATTTGTAATGAAATAAACATTTGTAAATAAAACGTCTTACCTCGATACGCTTTCGGTATCGGAATTGTCGTCTTCGACTGCGAGATAGGTGAGGGTTTTTTCTAAAGGACTGGGAATTTTTTTAATACTGCCATTCCGATTTCTGTCTTCGATAAGCCCCAGTTTGGGTTCGCTGTTTCTTCTTTCGGTGAGGGAACCGATGTTTAACATCATTATACCTTGGGAGAATATTTCTTTGACTTTTTCACTTGTCGGGCCTAGAAGATTGTCGAGGCTCTGTCGGCGACCTGAAGGGGTAAATTTTAATTCGTAATACCCTCGAGTTTTCGAAGTTTACTCACTGCTATTCATCGGAATTTCCTCGGTTTTAACCGACGATCTGCTGATCCAATTCGTTATGGTATTGTCGAGCTTCATCTTGTTTTTGATGGTTGAAAATTCGTTTTCTAACTTCGGATTCGGTAGTGTTTTCTGTCGAGTTAAATGGGGTTTGCTGTATTCGAATCCGCTTTTCTTTTCCGGGTAATTTTCTTCCGGACTCGAACTGTCCAAATTAATCTCAGTCCATTCGCTGGATTGGCTTTGCGCAATGCTCGTTTGGTCATTTCTTTCACTACAATAACACCATTAAAGGCAATACAAAGCTTTATAAACGGAGTTAACCTGTTTGAATAAGTCGATGTAGGAGACACGTTGAATACTGGGTTTCGATAGCCATCAACATCATCGCATTTAGAAACAATCGGACTAGATCTATCACCTAAACTTTGAGGAAGACCTTTAAAATCATCTATAAGCTCCTGTGCGTCCTCCATCAATGAAACATTAGAGTCGAGACTTCTCTGCTTTCCGCTGGCGAAGTTAGCCGCGAGAAGAGACACTTTCCTCCTATTCTGATGGATTTCATCGGAAATCTGCTCCAAATTTTTCAAAGCGTCCGAATAGGACAGCTTAGCGGTGGATACTTGCGACTCCAAGTTATGTACTTTGGCCTTTTGCTGTTCGAGAAGTTGGTTGAAATGAGCTTTCATCTCATAATAAGGTCTACAATGTTTTAGCAAAGAGGATGTCGGTATTACTTGTTAGTGTTCATTACATAGGATAGTTAAGTGTAGCAAAAGGACGGTACAAACAGAAATCCCTAAACCCAAAATATAAAATTTACTTACAAAAACAATAATTCGTGCTGAGATAAAAGATTACTCATTTGCATTAAAGATCTCCGAATTGATAAACTAGAGGAGAAGAAAACTTATTAACTTAAACCCGCTATAAAAAAAATAAAATTTCAAAGCATATCAGAACAAGTACAACCTCTAGATGTGTACTTAATACTGTACGAATTAAAAGTAGTACAATCACCTGCTTTTTGTAATGGCCCGTTTCAACTCCTTTTGTAAACTTTGTACTTTAGCATTAGCAGCTTCGTGTTTCACACAAGCAATCCTGTGTTCGGTTTCGGCCAAACCCCTATCTCTCTCAGCTTCATTGACTCTTTGTGTGGCATGATTAAGCATCTCTTGCCAAGCGGGATCTACATACAGAGAAAATTTCAACACAATGCTTAAAAAACGATTTGAATTAAAAGTACCTAGTGTTCGACCACCGAGACCTTGTTCAGCCAAATACACCATTTCCCTAGCCGCGCTGTGCGCGCTATTGGCCTTTTCGAATTTGCCAGCAGCCAGCTGCGACTGTTTAAATGCCTCATTGGCGTAAAATCTGGACTCGTAATAGGGTCTGGCTCGTTCAACGCACATGCCTAGTTTCAAACGTACAGCATCTATTTTAACGGTGCTTTCGCAAAGGAGAAGCTTAAAATTAGTTCTGCATTCGTCCAGTTCCACTTCGAGCTTGTTGATTTCATCTGTGGCATTATTTAATCTTTCTAGTTCTACCTGCACTCTCGGATCAACTGTATCGGTGAAATCTGAACCATTTTCGCACATTATAAAAGGACAAATCGTACTTGATTTAAAGGAATTGGTTTTTAATTCATTTTCGATGCGTTTGTGCGTTTATTTTGCTTTTTAGAAGGTTTTTTATTAAAACTTGAAATTTAAATCGATGTTGTGTAAAATTTTGACAGAAGTTAAAGTGTGAAGTTAGTGATGGCTGACAGGTTTATGACCTTGACAAAAATGATTGTTAATGGCCTTCTATTGTTCAGTTAATAGAATAAAATTATTGTTTGTGTTGTGTATTGCCTACCTATTAATATCTGGTATCTAAAGTTTTGTGATTCTTTTATAAATTTACAATTGCCGGAAATTAGTAAACATTTTACAGAAAAAATTTGACAGGATTTGATTAATAGGAAAACACTTTATGGCAAGTAAGAAGTTTATTAAGTGCCTAAATAAAATTTATGGTAAACACAACGCATTTGTACTATTATTGAGAAATTATTAGTGGCTTAAGTACTTATTTTTGAATACAATTCAGTGTTCTAATTGATTCTCTACTATATTTATTAAAAAGCCATTATCTTCTAATAGGCAAAAAGGTAATTTCGTGTTCGAACCTTGACAAATCTTTTTGATTTATCCAGCCAGAAAAGGCCTTAATAGCTTCCAACAATATTGTAGTATTAAAAACATACAGTATCAAAACGGTAAAAAGTACCATTATATCTAAAACTGACTAGGAAATACACACATTGTATAAACAGAGCAATAATAATATATAACTTATATCTACGACTAAATAACTACAATTAAAAGGATACGAAATGCTGCTCTTTCCCATTTCTCTACCATGAATAAATCTGTAACAAGAAGATACCTAAAATACCAGTAGCTAATAAAACTTTTAATTGAATCGAACATGGTTCCTTTGATCTAGCACGACTCGCGGAAAATGAGGGTATAAATTACAAATTAAAACCAACACATAATAAACTGTGTACACTATAATTTTCCCATTTCAAACATAAACATTAAAATTGAGGTCACTTCTCTTTCTGTTAAAAAGTCAAAAGCGTGCCTTGTGTTTGTAAGTTATTTGGTTATTGGCTGAATAATCGAGGTACAGGTAATTGTTTAAATAGTAAGAAGAAAAGTTAAAATTTTAAAATTTTTCATGTGGTGATTTTGTAAAACTCGTTTAAAAAAAATTGAGAATTTGTGCATTAATGCAGAAAATGATCAATATGTGTAATACTTTTTACTTTTATTTTATTTTAACCTACTGACTGCAATTTTTTTATAAAATTTACAAATTTCCATTTGCTCCTATTAAAATGAATAAATTGTTAATTTAAACGCTGTACATGCGAGTGCCAATTTCGTTATTTTAATATCCCGTTCATTTTATACTAATTCGTGCCATTTGATGTCGAATTTCAAATGCTAATTTTTACTCTATTTATTAATGCACAAATGCTACTGCCTATTTCCATTTCAAATAAATCTACCTGCCTACCTAATTACTATTTATCCACGCCTAGAATTTTTATCTAACGCCTTGTTATCTTGTTTTATTAATTATGTAAAATAGGTACCTAAGTGCACCTGCAATTTTCTTACAGATATTTTGCACCAAATTGATCTAAATAAGCAGTGTATTATCATACTATCAGTAGTATATAGTCTCCTATAGAGATATCCTCGTCAATGAACTCTGTACGCTACGTTATTATCATATAGTACGATGCAATTTGGGATAAACTTTTCCTTATTGCAGGACAAAGTAGGTATCCTTAATTTACGGACCAAGAATCATGCATTAGTTGCAAAATTAACATAGTTTTATTTATGTTAAAACCCCACTCGTACTCTTAATGAGCTAAACGTATAACTACCTCCTCCATAAAGCCGTGTCTATTTTATATTTACCCAAATTTCTACCATCTTGCCGTCTTAATTAATGTAAAACGAAGGACGGACTACGGTACGTGGTTTTTGGCAGTTTCAAGGTCCGTACCTAGATTTTAGCCTATACCCATATGTATAATTCGATTATAGAGGTCCGGCCTAAAATCAGAAATAATTTCTGTTAACTTTATCGAAACCCTTATTAACAGTCAGCCAACTAATCAAGCGGACTTCTGCCGTAAAATTACTAGCCAAATATAAATCCGAATCAATCTACCGTATACTGTATATTTATAGTCAATCTAGCGAAGGGATGGCACTGCAAAGAGATTTATTGCTGTTATTTTAGGGGTTTTACTGTAAATTGAGATATTCGACAATTCGATATTCGACATTACCTATTTATAATTAATTCAGGGGGATTTTTACAAAAAATTTACGCAAAATTACAGAATTACCATTTTGATATATTTACATTTCGCAAGAATAAGCAAGCAAAAGTTTACACGATCCATTATTGCTCGCAATAAAAAGAACACGACCGTGATCGTCGTTGCGTTTCGAATACAGTCTTGGGGAAGATTAATTTTAACTCGTAAACTCGAGAACGTTTTTCATTTTCCTCGGAATATACAATGCCATTCCGCGGAACAATTTCAAAATATTGAAATCTCGAGTAGTATTCTACTCGCAATAATTGCGGAATGGAATCATTCCTGACGAGCATTGTGTTTCTTTTATTCCACAATTAGTTGCATTAAAACATCGAGAAGACTTTTTCCAGCACATTTCGCCTGTTATGCTATTCTAGCTATGCGCATAGGTAGATATTAATTTAATCACCTCGCATATTCCAGTGCTATTAAAATTAATAAAAAAAGTCCATAGCCAGTAGCACATTTTTGAACGTCCGGTGCTAATGGGCGCAGTTAAAACGGTCCTGCGGCACTTGATATATGTAGGTGATAATGCGGGGCAGTCCGGAGGCGGTCATTAATCCTTAACCGCGGCATACTTGACCGGCGTGTTGGCGTCTTCCGGGCGAACTTCCGGAAAACCTTTAGTCCCTGTAACCTTCGACCGAATTCGGATCATTCCAGCACAGCGCTCTTTGAAGCAATTCTAATGCGCTTTGTTTGATCCCTGCATATACATTTATACCAATTTATGATCATATACATTACAAGGAATACTTCGTAAACGCCCCTCGTAGAATCGATTACGGAATAGTACACGATAGTTTACGGGACGACGGGATTTCGCATATAAAGCACTCGGCTGAAAATAAAACAAACGCCGTATTCCTGTTTCCTAATAGCTAAGAGCTTCTTTATCCCCAAAACGGCAGGAGCGTTCGAATAAAAAGAAAGCAAGTTGTGCTCTATCTATACAAGAATGCGCGTCTCGAAAACGGAACGATAAATTGAAACGTGTTGAACGTGTTCTATTATTTAAAGGTTTGCATTGTCGATTTAGTTTATGGGACGGTTCGATTTTTAATGAAAATCCGGGAGTGTATAACGGCAACAATTTATCGCGTTTTATGATTGATGGAGTTATTTACTGGTGTTAGATTCAAGTGTACTCCTCGATTATGTTTTAAAAAATCGCTTTGTTTGCAACAAGTTCGGAAATTTTATCGAGAATATTATTTGTACTTATATTTGTAGATCAAAGTGTAAACTCTCTGTCTCGTCTTTTAATCTTATAAAAATAATGAAAGATAGGAAATAGGTAATTGAGATAATAGAGAAAAATATATAAATGTATTGGCATGATACATTATAACACATGGTACAACACGTGCGTATTATTACATTTACTTATTAATACAATACAAAATATACAAATAAAATGACAGGTAAGATTGATTCAAAGTTTATTGTTTTAATAATTTGTGTGAAGTTTTAGTAACATAAAATTTTCTTTCTGTTTGTACATTATTATAAATTCCGTTTATAAAACTTGTTTACAATTTTACAATACAATACAATCTATAATTACCTGTCAATTAACCATTAATAATTACTTTTTAGATTCAAAAGAGAACTTCTGTTTGGGGGAAATATATTTCAAAGCGTTACATTTATACAAAGAAAGAAATTTAATGGTATGTTTGAATTAAATTTTAATTGATTTCCCACAATTAACTTCAATCGATTTGTTTTATAGTACATTGCTGACACAGATGAGGTGGTCACCTACAATGAATTTCTTTCGTTGTGCGTCCGAATGGCCCTTAAATTGAAGAAGAAAGGATTCAAAAGAACCGACATCATCAGTACGTGCACTTACAATCAAAAATACGGGATGGTTCCGATCATAGCAGCGCAATTCCTGGGATTAGTAACCGCCAATTTCGATCCGAGAATATCCCGAACCGAAACCATCCACCTGCTAAAACTGATAGAGCCGAGGACCCTTTTCGTGGTCGAGCAATCCTCGGGATTCATGGAGGAATGCGTGAAGGAAGCCGGCTTGGAAGTCGACATCGTCGTCTTCGAATCCGACAGGTTCTTCGAATACCTTCGGGCCGACGAGGACGAATCGACTTTCTATCCGGAAATCGTCGATGAAAATGACACTGCGCTGATCGCTTTTAGCAGCGGCACCACCGGCTTGCCGAAGGGTATATGCTTGAGTCACCGCAGCTTCAAAATAGACGCGCAAGTCTTGCACAAAATCAACCCCAACCCCGTCAAGTCCTTGCTCTTTGCTTCCAATTATTGGATCAGCGCGCACATCAATTTCTCGAGATCAGTCACTAACGGGAACGGTACGGTGGTTTGCAAGGAATTCGAACCGAAGAGCGTGTGGAAAATTATAGAAAAATATAAGGTAGGGTAATTTTCTCAAGTAGACCTCTACGATTTTAATTATAATCTCCAGGTGTTCTCGATGTTCCTGCCTCCGTATCTCGCGAGAGAGTTATTGAAAGTGAAACCGGAACGTTGCGATGTGAGCAGCGTGAGGTACATTGCGACCGGTAGTTGCCCGTTAACGCTTGAAACCATGCTAGATCTCAGGGAAGCTTTTCCGCAGGGTCAAGTTTTTAACGTGTACTCCCAAACGGAATTCGGCGGAACGATAATTTGCTTTTTCCATCCCGCTTTTGAGTACGAAGAGCAGGTCAAGAAGCCAATGTCCAGCGGGAAATTCCGGGATTCCTTCGGTATTCAGTGGAAGGTAAATTAGTAATTATACGCAATGAAAACCCCAATAAAACTTACTGTTTTTAGATAGCGGATTTGGATTCGGAAAAACCACTGGGCCCGTTCGAGCGTGGCGAGTTGAGAATTAAATCCGACAGCCTAATGAAAGGTTACTACAAAATGGACTCGTCGCACGTTTACGACAGCGAGGGATACCTAAAAACCGGCGATATAGCTTACTACGACGAGGACAAATGCATATACATTCTAGACCGAGTAAAAGAAATGTTTAAATGCAAGGGTTTCCACGTGATTCCGGCCGTGATAGAAAACGTGCTGAAATCCCATCCCGCCGTCAAGGACGCCGTTGTCGTGGGGACACCTCACGGTGAAGAAGGATTCCATCCGATGGGCATTGTCCAATTGAACGACGAACGCGGGAGTATCGACGAAGCGGACCTGGTGAATTATGTCAATGAGAGAGTGGCCGATTATCAAAAATTAAGAGCCGGCATCAAATTTGTTTCGTGCATTCCAAAAACCGTCACGGCAAAAACCAAAACCTCCGATTTATTACAAGCCATTAATCATTAATCAGAGTTAGGTAAATTTGGTAAATATACCCGCTAATTTATGTTAATGTAGTGGATGTTTTCGTGAACGAGATTGCTGGTACATTGTTTTTAAAATATCGACATATCGCCTGATTGTTTTTTGACACAAATTATCCTAAAATTCACTTTATATACTACTAGATTTTTAGGTCAGGAAGGGCAAATATTGTTGCCTGTAGGACCTCTTTTTCCTTTATTATTTGTGTTAAAATAGTATTTATATGGAATTATGTATTGTAAGTAATGTAATATGTTTTGTTATGCAATAAAAGTGAATTTCCATCAATCCAGTTTCAAATGAGGCAGATAAAACGAGATATTCGCTATCTAAGTGGAGCGCGATTATAAATCCAACTGCGATGGCGGAGCATTTTCTAGCATACGAAATGTATTCGTTCGGCGAAGATAGCAAAAGTTTTTCAGGTAGTGTAATTAAGCTGAAAGTCTGTACGCGGAAGATTACATATTTGGCAAAGACGAATTATCCACTCGGCGAAACCTTATTAAGGAAAGCCGGCTACGCGGACTGAAATTCGCATTCAGAGTCGCGCACGCCGTCTTAGTTTGAATGAAGGTAATCAATTGCTCGATCACTTTATAGAATAAACCGATCTCCGGCCGCTGGAACTACAAAGTTAGTCGACGAACCGAACGGAATCGGATGATAGAAATTCGTTACTTTCCACACAAACGCGCTGCCGATATACCTATACCCTATAGGTATACTTCAATCCGGTCCCTTTTTTTGTTCCGTCTATAAATGCTGAAAACTGATTCTATTAGATGTCTCAGCACGCCGAAGCGCCAATTTAATTTTACACTCGGCGAAAAACAGGAACCCGCCGGCGGAGATGATAAAAAAGCGTTGGGAAATGCCGAATTGTATTAACTAAGTGGATGTAGGAGATGTATCAGTGGAGATGAAAAGATGCAAATGGACACCAAAAAAAAATCGGAAGAGTAGAAAAGGGATTGTGGAAATAGTACGATGGAAAGGAGAATATTTCAATCTAGTGTAGACAATATAAAATTAATAGAGATTCTCCAAATTTTCTTTCTTCCCACAGTCAGGAACTAAGTTATTCTTATAAATCAAATATGACAAAAAAAACTTTTAAATATACTCCCTCGTATTTGTTATTTCCTTCACGGTATATAAATGCATTACATAATTGCATAATTTCATTGTTTGATAAATTTCTATAAACCCCATTCCAAAAATTGTTTGCACTAGATACAATAGTGAATTATGGAAATGAATATCAAATAGTTCATTATAATTAATTAAAGTCGCAAGAAAATGTTTGCATGCAAATATCACATTTAAGTAATTTTGTTCATTAATAATGTATTATTAGTTTAAAATAAGCTTTTTATGAGAAAGATATCATTTAAAAGTGCATGCTATTACACCATCTTTAAACAATACTTATCACTAATTATTGTTTGTATGATACTATTTCATATGTGCACTATATAATATCTATAAATATATGCAATGAAATAGCAAATCATAAATAATAATCAAACACCACATTTCTTCTGATAATCAATCAACATGCTGAACAGTAAGTACAGTAATTTTATTAAATTTATCTCATTACTTTCAGATTACTTATTATAGTTTATAATTTAATTAAAATTTTAGATCTAAAAGAAAATGCAAGTTTGGGTGAACTTTATTTTGAAGTATTTAAAAAATATGCTCAAAATGTTTGTCTGGTAAGCAATTAACAGTGAAATTTTTTTAGATCATAAAAATTATATAGTTTTCACAATTTTGACGCTTTTCAAAAATTCGAAGAGGTATAAAAAATTGATTAAAGGTAATTTTTTTACAGTACATTCAGGAAACGAACGAAACACTAACCTACTCAGATTTACGCACTTTGAGTGTACGAACAGCTTTAGCTATCAAAGCGAAAGGGTACAAAAAAGGTGATATCATAGCTACATGCACACACAATCAAAAATACAGCTCTTTACCTGTACTTGCTTCGTATTATTTGGGAATTATAAATACGAACTTCGATCCAGCAATGTCCCATTTGGACACGGTGCATTTGCTCCGTTTAATACCACCAAAGCTGATGTTTATATCAGAAGAGTCTCTGGAATTTATGCAAGGATGCCTTAGTAAAGCAGGACTAAAGCCCGAACTGGTAGTGTTCGGAACTAGTACGAAATATCCTATGTTTGATCAATTCATTCTAAGACATCCAGAGGAAAACGAGTTCCGTCCAGAGAAAATCGACCACAAAGAATTGGCTTTGATATTGTTCAGCAGCGGTTCCACTGGGTTTCCGAAAGGCATATGCCTGAGTCACTATAGTATCAAAATTGGCGGGCAAAATGTCGGCCCAATGAATATCACTTATAAAAATCCAACCGTAGTGCTCAGTTATGCTACCTTTTACTGGATATCTACGCATATTCTGATCCATTGTTGTTTAATTAATGGATATGCTTTTATGGTATGCAAAGCATTTGATCCTTTAGATATCTGGACAATATTTAAAAAATATAAAGTAAGTTTACCTACTTTAAATATCTTGTTTTGAACAATAACCTATTCCTGGCCACTTTTTTATATCTTACATTATATTGACTCAATTCCAGATTACATACACTTTCCTAGCGCCTTATAACGCCTCAGCTTGCTTGAACAGCAAACCTCAAGACGCGGATTGCAGTACTTTGGAGATAGTACTAACGGGAAGTGCTCCTGTGAACAAAAAGCTAATGGATGATCTTAGAACCACGTTTTATAATGCCAAAGTACTCAACGTGTACGGTTCAACGGAGGCCGCAGGTCCGATATCCTATTTTGATCCAGTGATCGAGGAGGAGTACAATCTGCAATTAAAATATCCCACATCTAGCGGATTAGTGAGGAGTGTATTTATGTGGAAGGTAGTGTAAACCCACTTTAATTTCACTTCTATACTGTTGAAGAATTTGAAAATGTGGCAATATTTAATTAGGTGTAATACATTTCTTAAAATACTAACTAATAATAAGCTAGGTTGTAGATGTCGATACTGAAGAGAAGCTTGGACCCGGAAAAGAAGGCGAATTGAGGTTGAAAGCGGACCATTTTATGAGCGGTTACTACAAAATGGACTCGTCTACTGTATACGATTCGGAGGGTTATGTAAAAACCGGAGACTTGGTTAGTTACAATGAGAGTAATTGCTTGTTTATTAAAGACAGGATCAAAGAAATGTTCAAATATAAGGGTTGGCACATCCTACCGGCTGTATTGGAAGAAGTTCTAAAAACTCATCCAACAGTAAAAGAGGCTGTAATCATTGGAGCACCGTGTAAAAATGTCAATGATGGTTTTGATCCCATGGGAGTAATTACATTACGTAATGGTTATCACAATGTAGATTTAAATGACATTGTAAAATATGTAAACGAGAGAGTTTCCGATTTTCAGCATTTAAGAGCTGGTATTAGAGTAGTGGAGAGTATACCAAGAACAGCCACCTCGAAACCGAAAAGAAGGGATGTTTACAAAATGATATTCGAATCAAATTAATAAAATAATTCTTAATAATATTGATATTGCGTATATTTATTATTAAGGTATCAATTATCTAATAGTTTCGATTTTTTTAAATCCAAGTACCTTATTGCAGTGAATAATTTGTTAATTAACTTATTCAACGCTTGTTACATCATGTTATATTCATTTAAAAGCGCATGTCATCATGCCATTTTTAAATCTATACCTTTTACAATGCCATAGATTCTCCACATTTTTTAAATATTTTCTCACTTCCCACAATCAAGAAGTGAGTTATCCTCATAAATTAAATATGGCAAAAAATATTTTTACGATAGCTCTACGATTACTTTTACGATTTTTTTACGATTACATTGCATAATTTCACTGTTTGATAAGACTTATCAAATTATTTTTAACTAATTATTATCAGTCATCATCTTAAAAAAATTAAACACCACTTTTTCTTGTGACGATCAACATGATGAACAGTAAGTACAGTAATTTTATTAAATTTATTCCATTACTTTCAAATTATTTATTATTGTTTATAATTTAATTAAATTTTAGATCTAAAAGAAAATGCAAGTTTGGGTGAAGTTTATTTTGAGGTATTTAAAAAATATGCTCAAAATGTTTGTCTGGTAAGCAATTAACAGTGATTTTTTTTAAAGATCATTAAAATTATTTAGTTTTCATAATTTTAACGCTTTCCAAAAATTCGAAGAGGTATAAAAAATTGATTAAAAGGTAATTTTTTACAGTACATTCAGGAAACGAACGAAACACTAACCTACTCAGATTTACGCACTTTGAGCGTACGAACAGCTTTAGCTATCAAAGCGAAAGGGTACAAAAAAGGTGATATCATAGCTACATGCACACACAATCAAAAATACAGCTTTTTACCTGTACTTGCTTCGTATTATCTAGGAATTATAAATACGAATTTCGATCCAGCAATGTCCCATTTGGACACGGTGCATTTGCTCCGTTCAATACCACCAAAGCTGATGTTTATATCAGAAGAGTCTCTGGAATTTATGCAGGGATGCCTTAGTAAAGCAGGACTAAAGCCCGAACTGGTAGTGTTCGGAACTAGTACGAAATATCCTACGTTTGATCAATTCATTCTAAGACATCCAGAGGAAAACGATTTCCGTCCAGAGAAAATCGACCACAAAGAATTAGCTTTGATATTGTTCAGCAGCGGTTCCACTGGGTTTCCGAAAGGCATATGCCTGAGTCACTATACTATCAAAATAGGCGGGCAAAATGTCGGCCCAACGAATATCACCTATAATAATCCAACCGTAGCCCTCACTTTTGCTACCTTTTACTGGATATCTACGCATATTCTGATCCATAGTTGTTTAATTAATGGATATGCTTTTATGGTATGCAAAGCATTTAATCCTCTAGATATCTGGACCATATTTAAAAAATATAAAGTAAGTTTACCTAGGTACTTTAAATGTCTTGTTTTGAACAATAACCTATTCCTGGCTACTTTTTTATACCTTACATTATATTGACTAAATTCCAGGTTACGTACACTTTCCTAGCACCATATAACTGCTCAGCTTGCTTGAACAGCAAACCTCTAGACGCGGATTGCAGTTATTTGGAGGTACTAATAACGGGAAGTGCTCCTGTAAACGAGAAGCTTATGAAAGACCTTAGAACCACGTTTTATAATGCCAAAGTACTTCACGGGTATGGCTCAACGGAGACCGGAGGTTCGGTATCCTATTTTGATCCGTTGATCGAGGAGGAGTACAATCTGCAACTAAAGTATCCCACATCTTGTGGATTAGTGAGAAGTGTATTTTTGTGGAAGGTAGTATAATCCTACTTCAATATCGCTTCTATACTGTTACAGAATTTGAAAATGTGGCAATATTTAATTAGGTGTACGATACATTTCTTAAAATACTAACTAGTAATAAATTAGGTTGTAGATGTTGATACTGAAGAGAGGCTTGGACCCGGAGAAGAAGGCGAATTGAGGTTGAAATCGGACCATTTGATGACCGGTTACTACAAAATGGACTCGTCATCTGTATTCGATTCGGAGGGTTACGTAAAAACCGGAGACTTGGCTAGTTACAATGAGAGTAATTGCTTGTTTATAAAAGGCAGGATAAAAGAAATGTTCAAATATAAGGGTTGGCACATCCTGCCGGCTGTATTGGAAGAAGTTCTAAAAACTCATCCAGCAGTAAAAGATGCTGTAATCATTGGAGCACCGTGTAAAAATGTCAATGATGGTTTTGATCCCATGGGAGTAATTACATTACGCAATGGTTATAACAATGTAGATTTAAATGACATTGTAAAATATGTAAACGAGAGAGTTTCCGATTTTCAGCATTTAAGAGCTGGTATTAGAGTAGTGGAGAGTATTCCAAGAACAGCCACCTCGAAACCGAAAAGAAGGGATGTTTACAAAATGATATTCGAATAAATTATATAAAATAAGTTTAAATATTATCGATATTGCTTATATTTTTTAAGGTATCAATTATCTAATAGTTTTGTTTTTTTAAATTCAAGTACCTTATTGCAGTATATAATTGGTTTACTAATTTTATCAACGCTTGTTACATCATGTTATATTTACTTAAAAGTGCATGTTATCATGCCATTTTTAAATGTTCAAACTCTACTTATCGTTAAATACATATTATTGCCTTAAAAATTGCATTAAAATCTCACTATTTTTTCTATAAATATAAGTAACGAAAAAATGAAATAGAAACATTAAATATTACTCAAACGCCATATTTCACCCGATAAACAACATGATGAACGGTACGTACCTATTTTATTTTAATTTAAATGGTTCGATTTCCTCAATTTAATTAATAATAAATTCCATTTGATTAAAATTTTAGATATAGATGAAAATGCCAGTTTGGGAGAAGTTTATTTTGAGGCATTTAAAAAATATTCACAAAAAGTTTGTATGGTAAGCAATAAAACTACTATTAAAATAAAATTAATTTAGTTATTATGTATGAGAATTAAAAAAATGTGGTGTCAAACAAATTAATATGTAAAAACGTAAAAAGGTTTGTACCTTCGTATATTTGAGGATTGGATTACTTCATTAAATACAAAAGAAGTAGGGCAATTTTATTATTAAAAACTTTTCCAGTACATTCCAGAAACGAATCAAACCTTAACCTACTCGAATTTACGTACTTTGAGCGTACAAACAGCTTTAGCTATCAAAGCGAAAGGGTACAAAAAAGGTGATATCATAGCTACATGCACACACAATCAAAAATACAGCTTTTTACCTGTACTTGCTTCGTATTACCTGGGAATTATAAATACGAACTTCGATCCAGCAATGTCCCATTTGGACACGGTGCATTTGCTCCGTTCAATATCACCAAAACTGATGTTTATATCAGAAGAGTCTCTGGAATTTATGCAGGGATGCCTTAGTAAAGCAGGACTAAAGCCCGAACTGGTAGTGTTCGGAACTAGTACGAAATATCCTACGTTTGATCAATTCATTATAAGACATCCAGAGGAAAACGAGTTCCGTCCAGAGAAAATCGACCACAAGGAAATGGCTTTGATATTGTTCAGCAGCGGTTCCACTGGGTTTCCGAAAGGCATATGCCTGAGTCACTATACTATCAAAATATGCGGGCAAAATGACGGCCCAACGAATATCACCTATAAAAATCCAACCGTAGTGCTCAGTTTTGCTACCTTTTACTGGGTATCTACGCATATTCTGATCCATCGTTGTTTAATTAATGGATATGCTTTTATGGTATGCAAGGCATTTAATCCTCTAGATATCTGGACCATATTTAAAAAATATAAAGTAAGTTTACCTACACTGAGAAAAACGTATTGTACATAACGTATATTAAAAATTTTATTTTACCATTTACTATATATTTTATTAAATTTTATAATATTGTATTCTTGACGGAGCAATATTTTTATATTAAGGAATTTTAGTAAATAATATATTAAAGGAAGAAATATGTATATGTGATTTTAATATAATTTCTGTACAAATACAGTATTGCACCAAAGCGATTTAATTTATTAATAGTTACTATTATGAATTCTTAAAAATTTGATACAATTTTGTTGCGAATGCAATCCCGTATTGTTCTCACAAGAGCTATTATACTTTTTGTTTGTTTTTAATATATAAATTTGCAAAAATATGTATATTCTTTACAACAAAACGTTTATTCATAATTACAATTTTTCATATTTAGAATTTTCATACAGATTTGTTGTAAGTGCAGTCCTTATGGCACTTTTTTACAGAAACTAATAAACTGTCTATTTGTTTTCAATATAACTTTGCATATAATTGATACATTCATTACAGCAATACGCTTATTTATAATTACAATTTTTCATATTTTGAATTTTAAAATAACTGTTATAAATGCAATCCTGTATTGTTGTATTCACAAAAAATATTAAAAATATACCAAAAAGTTATTAGTACTTCTATCCTACTTTACTTTAGTCTACTTTATTATTCAGGGTGGAGACTTAATTGTTGGAATAAATTCATTATTTCGGTTACTGTATATATGTATTTATAGAAAATCCCGAAACACGTGAAATTTTAATCATAAATTGGTATTCTTCAACGTGAAAATGTGATCCCTATACCATCAACTCCCTTCGAGTAACAGTAACAACCCCTAATTTTTTAAATGGGCTTTAAGTATGGGCTTGTGATATATCGTTTGAAAAGTCTCCTCATTCTCTATTCAAAAATGTTATTGTTTTCCAGTTTGTTTCAAAAACAATAATTGTTCATAAAAGTATAAAAAATCTCATTAATCTTAAAGAATCTCAATGGAGTACCTAAATGTTCCAAATGCTCACCGCGAACTTGGCAACATCCTAATCATAAATAAAAATTTCTTATAACTTGAAGTAACATTAATATTTTCATGTTTCATATTTTTTTACATTGTGAACAATTAAGTATTATACATATTAAGTGTATAATAGCTAATTTATTTAATCAGATAATTTTATTTTTTTTGTTAATTTTTGAAATAAACTTACAGTGGAAAAGCAATAACATTTTTGGATAGAGAATGAAGAGACCTTTCAAACGATATATCTCAAGCCCATATTTCCCATTTAAAAAATTAGGGGTTGTTACTCGAAGGGGGTTGATGGTAGGGAGGGATCACATTTTCACGTTGAAGAATGTCAATTTAAAATATAAATTTGACGTGCTTCGGGATTTTTATAAATATTATGTACAATAACCGAAATAATGAATATTTATTCCAGTTAAGGTCCCACCCTGTATATTATCGTAGTTATCCTGTGTTGCTCTATAATAAAATTTGATATCGTATGAATATTACCTATAATAAATATTACGTCAATCGGCACTCAAATAAATTTCAATTTCTCAAATTTCCCTCTTTAATTTTAAAATTTCCCGCCGTACACACCACAGGAAGTTCAGAATTTCGTCAGGATGATCGGTAACGGAAAGGCGCTAATGAAAAGCCGCTAATTTATCCTCGTGACCAGTGAGCGCGACCGCGTGGGGTCTTGGGGGCGGGGGGGGGGTCGCGTGAGCGACGCGAGACGCGAATTAGTGTGCATCATTTTAAGAAGCCAAAAGTCCAAAAGTGGAAGAAAAAGCGTGGACCCGGTGGACCGCCTAAAAATGAGTGAGGAAAATTCAAGTAAGTACTCGTTACAAAATTATTTTCAACTTGACATCAAATTGTGAATTACTAGTTAATGAGTAGGTCAATTGTTTTATTTTATACCAAAATTTTAGAAATAACCACGTGGTAATTATCGTACCTATATATGTAGGTACCACCACCTGTAGTATGTATAGATACCTACCTACTTACTTAAAGGTGCATACCAATAAATACTTGATTGAATATGATCAAATTTTCACAATCAAAAGTGTATTAAATTAATTAAACATAATTAGATAATAATTTACGTATAAAAACATGCCCGCAACTGATCTAATCTATCATGCTACAACTGCATCTCACGCACTATTTATAGGTTTTATTAGAAACATGCCATACATCTATTCCTAAATACACATACAGTATTGTAAAATTCTCACATTCGATATTGTAAAATTCTCACATTCGATATTGCAAAATTTTACTATACTTTATTGTTAAATTTATTATAATAGTACAATAATTTAATTATTTAGTGCAATCAATTCTGGAAAATTGGGGCTTCTCGGACCTGGTTCCAGTCTTTGAAGGCAAGTTTATAAAAATTGTGTTTTCACCTGCTTATCAAAGTCTTTTTAAATTTTATTTATAGAACATTTTTTAAAATAAATAAATATAAATTTATATTTATTTATTTAATTTCTATTTTGTATTAAAATTAAGTTACAAATAAAAAACATCAATGCAGTAGATAGAAAGAAAACAGTAAAACAATTACAATACTTGCAATATTATTAATTTCTAATTGATGTTTTATTTTTAGACTTTAGCTGAAGTTGATGAGCTGAAAAGAAAATATATTGAGCGGGCTCAACAACTATCCAGAACAGTTCAACCCTTCATAATTGTGTGCGGCAAGGATGCCGATATCAAGGTATATATTGCAATGAATAATACATTGTATGATCTGGGAAATATTGTCTCGGCAATTGATGCGGCGTTTAAAATCCATTTTGCCCTCAATTTAGAATTTAACGTAGCCTGTGCGCCTATTTGGACATGGTTACAGACCTGTGTGTATGGGATCCAAACCGAATTTGACAAGCAGTTCGGATCAGTGGAGGTCTTCAAGGCGGAGTTTAATAAGGTCGTACTGTCTAACTCTTTCTGATTAACGCTTCTGATATTATTTATATTAGCTTTTTTATTTATTTTTTTATATTTCTATATGTGTTTGACACATTACAATATAGAAAGTTTCGTATATTTAGAGACACCGTTTTTTTCAATATGTATAGAAATGTATAAGAGAACTTGTGTCTTTATCATAGATATCTAATATCTAATATTTTTTTATTATTATAAATTACATTTTTGTAGTTTTTACAATCGGAATTATGAAGGCTGTTCTTTTCTCAATATCTCTTTTAAATAACTAATTGTAAGTCTGATAACATTGACTGATCAACAAGTCTGATTTACTTTGTAATATACGTTATAAGTTTGTATGTATGTAAGTTATACGATTTATATTATTAATAATTTATATTATTTATAATTTATAATATTTTTGTACCTACCTGTTCATGTGCCATAACTTTGCCTAATAACTTTGTCTAATGTATGTTTTTTATTGTTCGTTTTTATTGTTTCAGTTTTATTGTTCAGTTGTATTGTTCACAGTGTTATTTTTATTATATGTTCAAATTTTGTATATCAACGTTTTTAAATTCCCCTACACCATTTCCTTTTTCACACTGGTATTGCTGAAAGTATAGCAATACTATAAATTGTTTTTTAATATACCAGAATAGCTAAAATATACATATTAATTTACTTATCTTAACAATGCTTTATTGTTGAGTAAGCGATACAATATATTCTGTAATTAGCAATATTACATATTTCATTTTAATATTTCAGAAAAGTAAAAGTAGACATTCAAATTGATGATTTCAGCAATACATTATTTGTAAATCAATAAGAAAATATAATAGAATTTATTAGATTACTATTGCTAAAATTAAAATATTGGATCTTGGCTCCAATAATACTAGAATACGAAAAGCTAATATGAAAATATGTTTAAAACAATAATTCGAGAATGTGAGGACTTAGTGTTTAATATTTGCTTGCAACAATATGATTTAAGTGAATTTAAAATATGTTGTGTTCGGTTTTACTATACCATATTGTCAGTATATTTAAATATATCATATCGCATTTTGAAAGTAGCAATAAAAATGTATTCATTTTAAACAAATTGAATGTTAAAATTTAAAATACAAAGCAATACTGTTTTGCTAATAATAATAAAAAAATATTGTTAATTTTAAAATAAAAGTTAAACATAAAAGTATTTTAGACATAACTATACTGAGTGTCTGTCACATATACTGCAATATCTTATATTAAATCATAATAGAATTCTATTTAATAATACAATACTTTTTTCTCAGTCTAGGTACTTTAAATATCTTGTTTTGAACAATAACCTATTCCTGGCCCCTTTTTTATACCTTACATTATATTGATTCAATTCCAGGTTACGTACACTTTCCTACCCCCTTATAACGCCTCAGCTTGCTTGAACAGCAAACCTCTAGACGCGGATTGCAGTACTTTGAAGCTACTAATAACGGGAAGTGCTCCTGTGAACGAGAAGCTTATGAAAGATCTTAGAACCACGTTTTATAATGCCAAAATACTTCACGGGTATGGCTCAACGGAGACCGGAGGTTCGGTATCCTATTTTGATCCGTTGATCGAGGAGGAGTACAATCTGCAACTAAAGTATCCCACATCTTGTGGATTAGTGAGGAGTGTATTTTTGTGGAAGGTAGTGTAATACCTACTTCAATATCGCTTCTATACTGTTACAGAATTTAAAAATGTGGCAATATTTAATTAGGTGTACGATACATTTCTTAAAATACTAACTAATAATTAATTAGGTTGTAGATGTCGATACTGAAGAGAGGCTTGGACCCGGAGAAGAAGGCGAATTGAGGTTGAAATCGGACCATTTGATGATCGGTTACTACAAAATGGACTCTTCATCTGTATTCGATTCGGAGGGTTACGTAAAAACCGGAGACTTGGCTAGTTACAATGAGAGTAATTGCTTGTTTATAAAAGGCAGGATCAAAGAAATGTTCAAATATAAGTGTTGGCACATCCTACCGGCTGTATTGGAAGAAGTTCTAAAAACTCATCCAGCAGTACAAGATGCAGTAATCATTGGAGCACCGTGTAAAAATGTCAATGATGGTTTTGATCCCATGGGAGTAATTACATTACGCAATGGTTACAACAATATAGATTTAAATGACATTGTAAAATATGTAAACGAGAGAGTTTCCGATTTTCAGCATTTAAGAGCTGGTATTAGAGTAGTGGAGAGTATTCCAAGAACAGCCACCTCGAAACCGAAAAGAAGGGATGTTTACAAAATGATATTCGAATAAATTATATAAAATAAGTTTAAATATTATCGATATTGCTTATATTTTTTAAGGTATCAATTATCTAATAGTTTTGTTTTTTTAAATTCAAGTACCTTATTGAAGTATATAATTGGTTTACTAATTTTATCAACGCTTGTTACATCATGTTATATTTACTTAAAAGTGCATGTTATCATGTCATTTTTAAATGTTCAAACTCTACTTATCGTTAAATACATATTATTGCATTAAAAATTGCATTAAAATCTCACTATTTTATCTATAAATATAAGTAACGAAAAAAGAAATAGAAACATTAAATATTACTCAAACGCCATATTTCACCCGATAAACAACATGATGAACGGTACGTACCTATTTTATTTTAATTTAAATGGTTCGATTTCCTCAATTTAATTAATAATAAATTCCATTTAATTAAAATTTTAGATATAGATGAAAATGCCAGTTTGGGAGAAGTTTATTTTGAGGCATTTAAAAAATATTCACAAAACGTTTGTATGGTAAGCAATAAACTACTATTAAAATAAAATTAATTTAGTTATTATGTATGAGAATTAAAAAATGTGGTGTCAAACAAATTAATATGTAAAAACGTAATAAGTTTTAACCCTTCGTATATTTGAGGATTGGATTACTTCATTAAATGCAAAAGAAGTAGGGCAATTTTATTATTAAAAACTTTTCCAGCATGTTCCAGAAACGAATGAAACCGTAACCTACTCGGATTTACGTACTTTGAGCGTACGTACGGCTTTGGCAATAAAAGCGAAAGGGTATAAAAAAGGTGATATCATAGCTACATGCACACGCAATCAAAAATACAGCTCTTTACCTGTACTGGCCTCGCATTATTTGGGAATTATTAACACCAACTTCGATCCGTCGATGTCTCATTTGGATACGGTGCATCTGCTCCGTTTAATACCACCAAAGCTGATGTTTATATCAGAAGAGGCTCTGGAATTCATGGAGGGTTGCCTTAGTAAAGCAGGCCTGAAGCCTGAACTTGTGGTATTCGGAGCTAGTACGAAATATCCAACGTTTGACCAGTTCATTGTAAAACACCCAGAGGAAAACGATTTCCGTCCAGAGAAAATCGACCACAAAGAATTGGCTTTGGTGTTGTTCAGCAGCGGCTCCACTGGGTTACCTAAAGGCATATGCCTAAGTCATCGGACAATAAAAGTTGGCGGAGGAAACGTCTGTGCAATGAATCTAACGTACAAAAATCCTACGGTGGCCCTTATTTTTGCTTCTTTCTACACTGAGAAAAAAGTATTGTATTATTAAATAGAATTCTATTATGATTTAATATAAGATATTGCAGTATATGTGACAGACACTCAGTATAGTTATGTCTAAAATACTTTTATGTTTAACTTTTATTTTAAAATTAACAATATTTTTTTATTATTATTAGCAAAACAGTATTGCTTTGTATTTTAAATTTTAACATTCAATTTGTTTAAAATGAATACATTTTTATTGCTACTTTCAAAATGCGATATGATATATTTAAATATACTGACAATATGGTATAGTAAAACCGAACACAACATATTTTAAATTCACTTAAATCATATTGTTGCAAGCAAATATTAAACACTAAGTCCTCACATTCTCGAATTATTGTTTTAAACATATTTTCATATTAGCTTTTCGTATTCTAGTATTATTGGAGCCAAGATCCAATATTTTAATTTTAGCAATAGTAATCTAATAAATTCTATTATATTTTCTTATTGATTTACAAATAATGTATTGCTGAAATCATCAATTTGAATGTCTACTTTTACTTTTCTGAAATATTAAAATGAAATATGTAATATTGCTAATTACAGAATATATTGTATCGCTTACTCAACAATAAAGCATTGTTAAGATAAGTAAATTAATATGTATATTTTAGCTATTCTGGTATATTAAAAAACAATTTATAGTATTGCTATACTTTCAGCAATACCAGTGTGAAAAAGGAAATGGTGTAGGGGAATTTAAAAACGTTGATATACAAAATTTGAACATATAATAAAAATAACACTGTGAACAATACAACTGAACAATAAAACTGAAACAATAAAAACGAACAATAAAAAACATACATTAGACAAAGTTATTAGGCAAAGTTATGGCACATGAACAGGTAGGTACAAAAATATTATAAATTATAAATAATATAAATTATTAATAATATAAATCGTATAACTTACATACATACAAACTTATAACGTATATTACAAAGTAAATCAGACTTGTTGATCAGTCAATGTTATCAGACTTACAATTAGTTATTTAAAAGAGATATTGAGAAAAGAACAGCCTTCATAATTCCGATTGTAAAAACTACAAAAATGTAATTTATAATAATAAAAAAATATTAGATATTAGATATCTATGATAAAGACACAAGTTCTCTTATACATTTCTATACATATTGAAAAAAACGGTGTCTCTAAATATACGAAACTTTCTATATTGTAATGTGTCAAACACATATAGAAATATAAAAAAATAAATAAAAAAGCTAATATAAATAATATCAGAAGCGTTAATCAGAAAGAGTTAGACAGTACGACCTTATTAAACTCCGCCTTGAAGACCTCCACTGATCCGAACTGCTTGTCAAATTCGGTTTGGATCCCATACACACAGGTCTGTAACCATGTCCAAATAGGCGCACAGGCTACGTTAAATTCTAAATTGAGGGCAAAATGGATTTTAAACGCCGCATCAATTGCCGAGACAATATTTCCCAGATCATACAATGTATTATTCATTGCAATATATACCTTGATATCGGCATCCTTGCCGCACACAATTATGAAGGGTTGAACTGTTCTGGATAGTTGTTGAGCCCGCTCAATATATTTTCTTTTCAGCTCATCAACTTCAGCTAAAGTCTAAAAATAAAACATCAATTAGAAATTAATAATATTGCAAGTATTGTAATTGTTTTACTGTTTTCTTTCTATCTACTGCATTGATGTTTTTTATTTGTAACTTAATTTTAATACAAAATAGAAATTAAATAAATAAATATAAATTTATATTTATTTATTTTAAAAAATGTTCTATAAATAAAATTTAAAAAGACTTTGATAAGCAGGTGAAAACACAATTTTTATAAACTTGCCTTCAAAGACTGGAACCAGGTCCGAGAAGCCCCAATTTTCCAGAATTGATTGCACTAAATAATTAAATTATTGTACTATTATAATAAATTTAACAATAAAGTATAGTAAAATTTTGCAATATCGAATGTGAGAATTTTACAATATCGAATGTGAGAATTTTACAATACTGTATGTGTATTTAGGAATAGATGTATGGCATGTTTCTAATAAAACCTATAAATAGTGCGTGAGATGCAGTTGTAGCATGATAGATTAGATCAGTTGCGGGCATGTTTTTATACGTAAATTATTATCTAATTATGTTTAATTAATTTAATACACTTTTGATTGTGAAAATTTGATCATATTCAATCAAGTATTTATTGGTATGCACCTTTAAGTAAGTAGGTAGGTATCTATACATACTACAGGTGGTGGTACCTACATATATAGGTACGATAATTACCACGTGGTTATTTCTAAAATTTTGGTATAAAATAAAACAATTGACCTACTCATTAACTAGTAATTCACAATTTGATGTCAAGTTGAAAATAATTTTGTAACGAGTACTTACTTGAATTTTCCTCACTCATTTTTAGGCGGTCCACCGGGTCCACGCTTTTTCTTCCACTTTTGGACTTTTGGCTTCTTAAAATGATGCACACTAATTCGCGTCTCGCGTCGCTCACGCGACCCCCCCCCCGCCCCCAAGACCCCACGCGGTCGCGCTCACTGGTCACGAGGATAAATTAGCGGCTTTTCATTAGCGCCTTTCCGTTACCGATCATCCTGACGAAATTCTGAACTTCCTGTGGTGTGTACGGCGGGAAATTTTAAAATTAAAGAGGGAAATTTGAGAAATTGAAATTTATTTGAGTGCCGATTGACGTAATATTTATTATAGGTAATATTCATACGATATCAAATTTTATTATAGAGCAACACAGGATAACTACGATAATATACAGGGTGGGACCTTAACTGGAATAAATATTCATTATTTCGGTTATTGTACATAATATTTATAAAAATCCCGAAGCACGTCAAATTTATATTTTAAATTGACATTCTTCAACGTGAAAATGTGATCCCTCCCTACCATCAACCCCCTTCGAGTAACAACCCCTAATTTTTTAAATGGGAAATATGGGCTTGAGATATATCGTTTGAAAGGTCTCTTCATTCTCTATCCAAAAATGTTATTGCTTTTCCACTGTAAGTTTATTTCAAAAATTAACAAAAAAAATAAAATTATCTGATTAAATAAATTAGCTATTATACACTTAATATGTATAATACTTAATTGTTCACAATGTAAAAAAATATGAAACATGAAAATATTAATGTTACTTCAAGTTATAAGAAATTTTTATTTATGATTAGGATGTTGCCAAGTTCGCGGTGAGCATTTGGAACATTTAGGTACTCCATTGAGATTCTTTAAGATTAATGAGATTTTTTATACTTTTATGAACAATTATTGTTTTTGAAACAAACTGGAAAACAATAACATTTTTGAATAGAGAATGAGGAGACTTTTCAAACGATATATCACAAGCCCATACTTAAAGCCCATTTAAAAAATTAGGGGTTGTTACTGTTACTCGAAGGGAGTTGATGGTATAGGGATCACATTTTCACGTTGAAGAATACCAATTTATGATTAAAATTTCACGTGTTTCGGGATTTTCTATAAATACATATATACAGTAACCGAAATAATGAATTTATTCCAACAATTAAGTCTCCACCCTGAATAATAAAGTAGACTAAAGTAAAGTAGGATAGAAGTACTAATAACTTTTTGGTATATTTTTAATATTTTTTGTGAATACAACAATACAGGATTGCATTTATAACAGTTATTTTAAAATTCAAAATATGAAAAATTGTAATTATAAATAAGCGTATTGCTGTAATGAATGTATCAATTATATGCAAAGTTATATTGAAAACAAATAGACAGTTTATTAGTTTCTGTAAAAAAGTGCCATAAGGACTGCACTTACAACAAATCTGTATGAAAATTCTAAATATGAAAAATTGTAATTATGAATAAACGTTTTGTTGTAAAGAATATACATATTTTTGCAAATTTATATATTAAAAACAAACAAAAAGTATAATAGCTCTTGTGAGAACAATACGGGATTGCATTCGCAACAAAATTGTATCAAATTTTTAAGAATTCATAATAGTAACTATTAATAAATTAAATCGCTTTGGTGCAATACTGTATTTGTACAGAAATTATATTAAAATCACATATACATATTTCTTCCTTTAATATATTATTTACTAAAATTCCTTAATATAAAAATATTGCTCCGTCAAGAATACAATATTATAAAATTTAATAAAATATATAGTAAATGGTAAAATAAAATTTTTAATATACGTTATGTACAATACGTTTTTCTCAGTGTACTGGATTTCCACTCACGTGTTTTTCCATAGTTGCTTAGTTAATGGAAATGCTTTTATACTGAGCAAAAAGTTCGATGCTTTAAATGTTTGGACACTGTTTAAAAAATATAAAGTAAGTATAATCACCCACATTTATTATACATAGATGGTATTTGTCTCTTAAATTAAATGTATTATACTATTAAATTTTAGGTTACATACACTTTCCTAGCACCTTATAACGCTGCAGCTTGCTTGAACAGCAAACCTCTAGATGGGGATTGCAGTTCTTTGGAAGTAGTATTAACGGGAAGTGCTCCCGTGAACGATAAGCTAATGAGTGACCTCAGAACCACCTTTTACAATGCCAAAGTACTTAATGTATACAGTCAAACAGAGGTCGGAACTCCGGTATCTTGTTTCGATCCGTTGAATGACGAAGAATGCAAGCTGCAGATCGAGTATCCCACATGCTGCGGAAAAGTGCTAAGTTCACTACAGTGGAAGGTACATACTGCAAATAACTGTACGTACTGTAAATAACTTACAGTGATTTAGGTTGTAGATGTCGATACAGAAGAGAAGCTTGGGCCCGGGAAAGAAGGCGAATTGAGGTTGAAAGCGGACCATTTTATGAGCGGTTACTACAAAATGGACTCGTCATCTGTATACGATTCGGAGGGTTATCTAAAAACCGGAGACGTGGCTAGTTACAATGAGAGTAATTGCTTGTTTGTAAAAGACAGGATCAAAGAAATGTTCAAATATAAGGGTTGGCACATTCTGCCGGCTGTATTGGAAGAAGTTCTAAAAACTCATCCAGCAGTAAAAGAGGCTGTAATCATTGGAGCACCGTGTAAAAATGTCAATGATGGTTTTGATCCCATGGGCGTAATTACATTACGTAATGGTTATCACAACGTAGAAGTAAATGACATTGTAAAATATGTAAATGAGAGAGTTTCCGATTTTCAGCATTTAAGAGCTGGTATTAGAGTAGTGGAGAGTATACCAAAGACTGCTACTTCCAAAACCAAAAGAAGGGATGTTTACAAAATGATTATTGAAACGAAATCGTAAATATGAGCACCTATAATAAAACCGTGTTAGTTCTGGGATCTAATTTAATCGCCTTATACAATAGATTAGAATTTTTTTGCTTGCCAACTTCGATGCTGAATTAACAACTTCACAAAGTAGGTTATAGCTGCAACCGACTCTATTATTAATTTAGTTTAATAAACCTAATAAAACAAGTTTGAACTAAAAACCGTTTCTCCAAACTTAACTGTTTGATAATTCCATCAATAATAGTGTACCTATATGAACCAACAATTAAAAAAGAACCTACGTATTAGATAATTATATAATTGTGTAAATATTATCCTTATTTCTATATTTAATCTTTATCTACGTATTATTTAAATAAATAAATATTGGGATAAAATTTAATTAATGTGTAAACATTTTCTCTCCACTTTGCGTGTCTGTTTGATTGGAAGAATCAAATTTGAAAGTGATATCAATGTGTTAGGGGGAAAGAAAGGGTCTGTTGGAGACTTGTAGAGTTCTTCGTCTTCTAAGAGACATCATCTGGTAGAAACATATTAATGTACAAATGTTACTTGGCCCATTGTTCGCTTTAAGTGTATCTGACAAATCGGCTTCGAATTAATTAGTTTAGAATTGGAAATTGTGTTGAAATTTAATAGCTACTTAGATGCTTTGCGTTGATTTCTTTAGCGCGTTATTCTAGTAACAATGAAGAAAATGCGTCGAATACAATTCGATGAAATTTAAGTGAGGTTTGGAGTGGGTCGCTAAACAAAATACAATTTACATTCAAGGAACGGGCGAAACGAGGGTAAAAAGTTTCACCTAAATTCCAGAACGCCAGAAATATTAATTCTCGCTAACCTGCCGGTCATTTCCCCGATTTCACGCTTTTCCGTTTCCTCCGTTCTCCCAATTTCTTTTTCTTAATTATTCCGTTTCGAATCTCGATTTCAATTAAACTTTAAAAGCGCCGTAAAATTGCTGGGAAATTACAGCCCGAGAGAAGAAGATCTGTATAGTTTCCAGCAGAACGGCCGAATTCCAGAAAATGTCTACAATTTGGAGTTCTAACTGTTGAGAAGAGTTTCGTCCAAGCTAATTTACTCATAAATGCCGATGAATTAATAACCCATTTCATCCATTCCTTATAAAAAAATCGATAATACAAATTAAATATAAAACATTAATTAATTTGGAAATTAAATAATTTTCTTGGGAATGCATTTTAGCTGATGAGAAAGTTCGTAAACGTATACAAGCGAAACGAGTAGGAAGTATCTAATCAGCAGAACGAATTTAACAATAAACATAACACCCCCGTGCAGTTACCACTTGTCGATATCGCCCCGGATATATCGGAAGCCGGCGATTACCCCTGAAGTTTGCGAAACTCCGTCGGACATTCGGTTAATCGTATGCACCCCCTCTATCGGGCGATACAAACCCGATGGATTTTATTTGCAATCAATGAAATGGGGTAAGTGAGTACACGAAAGGGGACGACTCGGATAGTTTCAATCCGGCTACTGCTACCTCACTAACTATGCTAAGTTTCTAAGATTAAACAAGTTTCTCGGGGTAGTTCCGCGACGGTCGGGGGTCATCGTTTGTGTTGGCGCGTCGGCTTTGTGATATTACTTCCGTTTGATTTACTCCTAACAATGTGGGAATTAATTAAAGTTCTCCTATATAACCTCCATTTTATTAAAAAGCAAAAGAATACATTGTTTATACTATATCTTTGACTAACTCGATTAGGGCGCTCTTTTTGACCTTCCCGCTGACCGTTTTGGGGATTTTCTCGACGATTCTGACGCCGGCTCGCAATTTTTGCACGTCGGTAACTCTGCTGTTTACGAAATCGGCTATTTCTTTTTCGGTCGTTTTTTTATCTACCACCACGATTCCCATTGGGTGGTCGACGTCGATCTCGTGCGGTATACCGATCACAGCGGCCTCGCTAACCGCCGGATGCTGTAGCAGCACGTCCACTATAAAAGCGGGCGATATTTGCCAACCTCTGTATTTTATCATTTCCTTGATTCTGTCTACGATGAAGAAGCACTTGTCTTCGTCATAGTTACAGATATCTCCGGTCTTGAAGTAACCGTCAGAGTCGAAGACTTCGGAGGAATCCACTCCGAAATATCCGTTCATTAAGATTTCCATTTTCACCCTTAGTTCGCCATTTTCATTAGGACCCAAGATTTTGTTTGTGTTAACATCTACAACCTGTACAAAATGTGCCTATTAGAATTCGATAAAATTAGATAATGAAAGAAATACCTTCCATTCGACTCCTTCGGGCATCAGACCGGAGGACAAAGGCTTGGCGAGCTGCATTTCATATTGCCGGTCATCTGTTGGGTCGAACGACATAAAACCTCCCGTCGTTTCGGTCATGCCGTATAAAAGCAAGATTTTCGTGTGGGGTAAAGCCTCGCAAAGAGACTTCATCATATTTACGGTTACTGGCGAACCGCCTGTATAACAAAGTTTCAGGCTGCTAGCGTCGATGTTTTCCGGCTTGCTTTTAACGAAATCCATTATACTGAAAGTTCCGATGAACATTACCGTTACCTAAAATTAAATACAATATACTGCAATTGTAAATAAAGTGTTTATGAAACTAAATTTGCAGTAATGCTAATGAAAATGCAACTTACCTTGTATTTTTCTATATATTTCCAACATTCCACTGTGTCGAATTTTCGGCATACCACACAAACATTTCCAGTGTAGATAGACCTGACTATGTTGAAAATGCCTGTGATCCAATATAATGTGCTGCAAAATAAAAATACGTATGCATCATCATCATTGATGGTATATCTTATCGATATCGGTTGGGCTATCTTGTACCAAGAGTTGTGACTGAGGCAAACGCCTTTAGGCAAACCGGTAGTACCGCTACTGAAAATAACGACGGCAGTTTCGGTTACAGAATCGATTGTCGCGGGTTTGAAGTCGCTTTCATCGTCGCGTTGAGCGATATAATCCGAAAACGAAGACCCGAAAACCACCAATTTCGCATCGACTCCAGCTTCCTTCAAGCACCTCTCCACGTACTCCCGATCATCTTTGGACACGAAGAGTACTTTGGGCCGGATCGACCGCATCAGCAGGACGGCCTCCTCCGGGGGCAACATCGAGTTGAAATTGGCAGAGATGCCGCCCAAAAATTGCGTCGCCAGGAACGGTATCCAACTGTATTTGTGGTTGTCGGTGCAAGTGCTGACGATGTCGCCGCGACGCACGCCGTCCTCTCGCAACCTCAGCGCCGCCCGGACGCTCCATGTCAACAGTTCCGAATGGGTCACTCGCTCGCCGGTGTCGGCTATAAACTTAGAGACTTGGTTAGTTTGTGCGTAGTTAATTCCATTGGAAGGTCAATTTATACTGCTTTGACCGGTACTTGTTACATACCAATAATGTTTTATCTCCGTATTTTGTCAACGAATCGAACAACAACTGGCCCACTGATACAGGCGATTGATCTATAAATAGGAAATTATTTATAGTGTGTACAGATAAAACAGAGAACTTACCATTCATTGTGTATTTGTGTTGCTGAATAAAATTTATTTGGAAGAGAAATATCGTTGTTAAACAAAACGTTGTACAAACTGAACTGGACCTGTACTTTCGCTTCCGTTCGGCGAATGAAATTGACAACAATGTAGATTCGAGGTTTTTTAAATCCTATCACGCATGAAACAGCACGTTTAATTATACATAAATAGTTGAAAACGGAGACATCGCTTGCCTTGTATTGCGGAAAACTTCTACCAATATTCTACCAATACCAATGAATACTGTTTCTATGCGTAGCTTTTTGATTACTTCCGATAAACTTGTTTATCAGATAATTGTCTAAATAAATTTTCTGTTTTTATTTCGCTAAATAAATAGCCACTCTCTAAGGTTAACTACACAATTATCAAATTTTTGCATAATAAATCATTTTGCATAATAAATCATTTTGCATAATAAGTAATAAATTTTTTCTCATCACATAATTAAATTTATTTACTTAATTAAAATTAATTAATTAAAATAATACACAGAATTGGAATAAGCAACAGTGCAATATCATTTCCGCAAAATCGGATAATTATCAAATATAGGACTTAAATTCATTATATTGAATTAAAAGAACCACCCTTTTACAAATCAATTTCGTTTGCGCATATTATTCGAAATTTTTTCCGTTTTTCGTATTTTTTACAAAATACAGTTTAAATAAGTTCCCTTTGGACTCGTGCATTGTTTTATGTTTTATCAACGACGTAAGCTATCAATTGAAATGTCGAGTTACTTTCGTGAAACATCACGGTGAAACATGAAGCTTGTGATTGCTTTAGTCTGTTTTCTAACGATATCGCGCGCGTTTTCGAACCAAACTGAAATCGAAGCCGAAGAATCATCTCCAGAAGCAGAAACTAAAACAGAAACTGAATCTGAAAGCGCACGGGAAATACACCCGGATGAAGATACGACCGCCCTTCCAATCGAAACTACAAAATTTATGAAAGAACTTAAGCTGGAAGCCGAGAAGTTTCATGAAAATTTGGCCGGTCCCTTATTCGAAAGAGACATCGAATCCTTAACGTCCGCCTGCAACAAGGGCAATAGAGGTAAATACGAACCGAGCAAAATCATGGTGTCCTTAAGAAAAGGGGACGGTCTCAATGGTTACCGACACATATGCTCTGGAGTTTTACTCAACGAAAATTTCGTACTGACCGCTGGAAATTGCGTAAGAAACGTCCAAGAACGCCCTGATGTTGCTGTGGAAATGTGGCGAATAGGTAACACTCTATTATCTTCACTCTAACTAACTCCTGAATTAAAAAAATTCTAACAATTTACAGAGGAATTCATGGACCAGAAGCAAAGCGAATACCAATACTACACGGGCGCAGTCAACCATATTACCGGCTACAGATTGTCCGAGAACGAAGGGGCGTTGTTGAGACTGGCCGAGCCGGTCCTCGAAGGGCCGAACGTGACCTACGCCATCCTGCCCAAGTCGGGAGTGTCGGGCATCTTCCATCGCTTCTGCCCCGCCGTAACCACCATGGGCTGGGGCATCAGGAGCAAGCGGTCGCAGTACGTGCAGTGCTTGGAGGTGGTGAAATTGCCGGACGAGGAATGCGAGGAGGCTTACCGATCGCTGATCGACGAAGGCAGGTGCACCTACGACAGCGACGTGTCGTTTTGCACGGTGGCTTCCAAGGAAGCCCACCCGGACGTCGGGAGCCCTCTGACCTGTAATGCTGCTATGGTGTTCGGAATGGTGTCTCTGGTGGTGAACGATTCGTTTCCGTTGATGAACTACAGGGTGGACAAGGAGCTGCGGTTTATAAACAAATTGATCGGTCACCGGAAGGTTACGCACTTGAAATTGGGCAAATCTGGTGGCGGTAAATCCTCTTTTGCTGCTTACCTATTTCTATTGATTTTGCTTGTTACTAAATTTGTCAATTGATATTTGGAAATAATTTGTTTTGTGAAAAATAAATTCTGAATTAATTTGTGCGAACTTTTTAACTTCTGCTTTTTTTTATAGAAAATCTGGCTAATACTGTTTGTAATGAAAATTTTTAGGGTACCATTACGTTTCCGGAGGAAGGAAAAATATGTGTGAGTATTTATAACTGGCATTATCGTAAAAATACCTCGACCGTCTTAAATGCGCCATTTTTCACGACTCGTTTCATTACATACGCTATAAATTTCTCGTTCGTTACCTCACGTTTTTGAAGGTAAGTGCAATTTAATATTAACTAAAGTAACCAGTTTGTTGCTTACGAAAACTCCTGTTTATTTACCTAATAAAAAAAAACACTTTTTTCAGTTAAGAAGACCTATATTTTAAAACTGCAGAAGAAGTTAACTATTACTTGAGAAGAAATAATACCTAACAAAGTGCGACAAGCATTTTCACTTCAACAGGCCGAGGCTTGCACAATTCCCACACGATGCCAGCCTCTGCCGATTCCTTTCTACACTCTGAAAGTTTCCAACTGAAATTGCTTTATATAATATGTGTAAGTTCGTTTTTCGCAAAAACTTAAATTCGAATTTATATACGAGCCATTGTTTTTAGTAATAAACTATATATTATATTAAGAACCGTCCGTGGTTTTTCGCGAAAATAGCGAAACGAACGAATCGGAAAGGAAAAATTGACGCAAAAGCAACAATTCCGTATTATTAAACATAACAAACAGGAACGTTCCATGTACAGCGTGTACGGTAAAACAACTTGTAAAATACACATGATATTGCACTTCATCATAATCGATCTGAATTTGTTAACTTCTAAAAACAAAACGTAATTTTCGAGAGCCATCAGCTGCATCATTGAATGTAATGTTTGCTGTTGAATTATTGTTCGAAATTACAAAAAATGGGCGTCATTATATTAGTTTCATAATGTTGGCGCACGGGAAATTATAAAACAAAAATTTTATCAACGATAAAGCCTGCTAATTTCAATTAATTCATTATTAACAATAATAATCTGAAATTCAATTGAAATGTCACCGTATTCTTCGCTTTAATCGAATGAGATTTCCAAGGAGCGGAAATGTCGGTACATTTTTCGGGCGACAAACGAAATCTGAATACGCCGCGAATTGGACTAATTTACGTTCTATTCTACGACATTCCGTTTCGAAAACCAATAAAAATATTTTCGTTGGTCATTGTTCCGAAGAAACGTGACTGCGGTCGATGACGTCGCCGGAATACTCTTCCCGACTCGCGGCATTTTCCAGACGACTAATTGTTTTATGCCCTCCTTTTTGCTCGCGTCTTCATTCGAAAATTTCGACAGGGATGGACCGCAAAATCCCGGGCTCCGTCGAACGCCCGCAACAAATTTCACTTCACGTGCACGTACCGCACGAAAATCGATCAAATCGCAAACCTCTTTTTGTGTTATTTACTATAAACTACAATAACTTCTACAATATACGTTCCTCTCTTCGAAAGGTAGTGGATTTTCTCCTGAATATTAGTTTTATAGAACACGTAGTTTTATATACTATATTGTTTCAAAAATATCGATATTGGAATGTTATTCGATTGGGTTTTGATCCAAAATTTATTTGTTTTACGATGCGCAAAAGACCAAAGTTGTTTCGTTTAGTTTTGATGTTTTGACATTTGATTAAGTTTAAAATGAGATGAACCTTGGATGATTAAACCGAGAAATATTTTTTAAACAGTATGTTCAAAAGAAACGTATTGAAAATCCGGTTCTGGATTGGCACAGAAAGGCATCCGATTTAATATCTGGTGAAATTGTAGGTGAGTGTAGTGGTACTAATGAGTAAATACCGTGGTGCCCCTATAACGGCAGGTATGCGGGATTCCGAGCCAAGTTTGGCCTTTCCTTCTCAACCGCACTCCTACATATTTCATGCGCTCGGCTTCAGCGAGATGCATTTCAATTTTTTTCTATACGTCGAGCGGCTCTCGAGCGGGCGGCATAAATACGAAAAGCGATAACAAAATCTAAAAGAAACGCTATTTGTATTGTACATCTACACCAAGATTTCTTAAATAAAATTCCCCGTTAATTCCAATGCGCCCGTTTGAGCAACAAGATTATCCTAAAAGGTTGTTGAAAAAGGAAATTAGTCGAGTGAACGCAGTTTGTATATAAACTTAGAACTTGTTTTTAATTAGTTAGAAAGAGCCGCCATCCGGGCCTTGACAAACTAAATTTCTCTCCGAGTAGGAAAATACGCATTTAAACAAATATGTATTTTATGTTTCAGGCCCGGGAGTTTTACGAAAAGTTTAAAGAGGGATAAAAGTGAGTCCTACAAAAGCGACATCCATTTAGAAACGTTAATAAGAAACGAAATTTCGGTTTTTTATAATTTAATTCGTTATTACTTATGGGCAACTATTAGAGAAGTTTTGTGTTTTTTTTTCAATTTTTAGTCCAAAAACTAATTGATGTTCTTATACAGTAATTCCTTCTACTAAACCAAAAGCCATCTATTAAAGCATAAACTAGAATATCTAATTTTTATAATTTAAAACGTGTAGGTATACAAATATGTACGATATAGAGTTGGAAAATCAGAAGTTGTAGATAAAATAAATCATCCGAAGGGGAGCGAATGATATATCAATTTTCCAGCTTACAGCTCGTTAGAAATTATGGATTAATCGCAGCATGTACAGAACATAAATACCTTAACATCCCGAAAGTAAATTCGATCGACGATATCGCGTATGATTTACATCGGCACGATGCGAAGATACATTAGTCATGTGTATCGGTCACGTGACGGCGAGGCGGTCGAAACGCGTGACCGGCATTTCCAAAATGCACACGGAGGAAAGCCGGAAAGGCGTTTTTCTCTCTTTCCGTTACGCGTTCGATTTATATACGGGCGGAAAAACAACGGGAGAAAAACGACGAGCGAGAATCGAATTTTGTCTAAGTGCTGACCATTATTTATCTTACGGAAAGTGGAAAAATTCTTCGTACCTACTCTTTCCCGATCAATTGTATTACTTACCAGATCATAGATGAAAATACCTACACATCATCGACTGTGATGGATCTATTAATAGTTGGAGTAGATCGTAGAATATAGATATTGTTAATAATTTTAATCACGAAAAAATCATTAAAGCGGAATTACGCAATTCCGCATCGCAGCGACTTGGCTGGCAGGCAGTTCGTAATGAACGAATTCCGATTCGATTAAATTTCCCTTTCTGTTTTATGCGCGGTATTTTTTTCCTTTCTTTCTTTCGTTTCGCCGAATAATGAGGTCCGATCGTAAATGAAATGGTGTCTGTTTGCTCCGGCGGAGCAATCGTCGATAAGAAGTAATGGTTTTTTCATGGAAATGGCCGTCGATACCTTTCTAATTGAGTTCGATAAGCGTCGATTAATATTCATCGAGGAACCGGTCACGGCGAAGACGCCGTTAAGGGACCCATAAAAAATTTTAGATATACTTTTTTATGAAGCCAGCTTTTTGGAAAATTATTCAGCTTTACGGGGATTCTGGGTTTTCAGGGATAATTATATGCACGCCGGATCTTTAATTGAGCGCATTAATTTTCTTTAACTTAAGATATTCCTGGTCAAAATATTTTTAGAAGGTATAAATAATTCTTTGTACCCACATAAACGTTAGGGGATAGTTTAAAATAACTAGGTATTTATGCATTTAATACTATAGAGAGTTTCTCCATGACTAATTTCGTTTGAAGATGAGCGACGAAAGGACGTTAAAAGTTCCCTGTTATCTCGTTATTTTTCGCAGTGCCTTCGAGAAAAATGATAATGTTTGTTTTTTATTTTTGCGAGTTGAGACAAGAGCATCGTAAATATTTGCATTTTTATGCGAGTTGCCGGGTTTTTCTGCGGTTTTTCCTCGGAATTAGGACGCATCCGACCGAAGTTTTTTATTACGCCGTATCTTGTCGCTTAAAATGACCTATAACAACGAAACTTCCCCTATTTGCACCGAGTTTGTCGATTGAATAGTTCGTCTTTTACGTACGAAAAAATCGACGTGAAAATAACTCGGAATAAACGCATTTCGCAATATTTATTCCAGCTAACTTATAGGATGACTTTTTCATCAAAAAATACATATTTTCGAGCAGTATCTGCCGATTGAATTTTCCAATTAATCAACAATTGAACACGCCCGTTTGGAAAATTCCACAAACAATGTCGATTCTCCCAAACGAATGCTGAAGCATAAAAAATAATTTCCGCTTTTAATGTACAAAAACTGCAGTTATACAAAACTTCACGTCATTTATTAACGAAAATCATCGGAATTCCGTATTCGATGACCTTTTTTTTCCTCAACATTCGACGTTTCCGAAATCGAATTCGATGCGCACACATAATGGAAAACTAAGTTATCCGATCTGGCAATATGTTTGGTAATGTTTGAATTTCAATCGACACGGCGCATCGCCAAAAATGTATGTATGTACCTTTCACAGGAATATAATGTGAAAATCAATCATTTTCAATGAAACGTTTAGTTTAACAAATTCGATTAAACGTTAAATCGAGTTTAAAATTTAATTAGAGAATTAATTGCGAAATAACACTCTATAGTCATTTTTAGTTAGATACAACGAAATAATTGTCAAAATCAACTAACGCGCAATATTTTATGTAATAAATTAGATGCATCGTGTAAAAAGTGAGGCGATTTTCCGACGAAAAAATTTGTGAAAAACCATTCGTCATTCGAAATTTGACTTTTGCGGTATTCGCGAACTTATGAGAAAATATGAAAACGCGTTCGAACGTCAGAAGTTGATAGGCGGTCCTCGAGACCTCAATCCGTCTGTTTCGATATTCGATATTATTGTATTGAATTTCATAGGCGTAGTATTACCGAATTTTCACTTATAATCGCACGACAGTATATTGAGTAATAGGCCAAACTTCAACTAAACTTTAATCAATGACCCGAAGTACACAGTATTAGAGATATCTACTCGCTTCCAATTCAATTC